TGGGGTTTGATAATTTAAAGAAAGAGGAATTAGTGTTGCTTGCTAAACATCTGAAATTAGATTTTAGAGTATCTATAAGAAAACAAATTATAAAAAATTTGGTAATAGACAAATAAGTTGATGCAGAAATTTAAGGTGAAGTAGCTCTTGAACTTGAGGTCGAAAATGTTGACGCTATCAAATTAAAACAGCTTGAATTAAAACATGAACTTAAAAGAACTGGAAATGAAGGAATAGTTAGAGATGGAGAAAATAAAAGAAAAAGAAGATGAATTTAAATTAAAACAGGCAGAACTTGAAATGATGGAAAAGTAAGAGATGGAGAAAATGAAAATTGAAATGGTCAAAGAAGAAAGCAACACTAAAGTCCAGTCAAATCAGAACATTTTGATGCAGCAAAAATATACGTTTGGTTCCCAGATTTTGTGAAAAAACAGTCGATAAATATTTTCCACAGTTTGAGAAAATTGCCCATAATTTGAAATGGCCAAAGCCGTATTGGACTACGATGCTGCAAAGTGTTTTTGAGGGTAAGGCCGCTGAAATTTACTCAGCACTTTCATCAGAAAAAAGTTCTGATTATGACACGGTAAAACAGGAAGTTTTGAAAGCTTATGAGCTAGTACCAGAAGCATATAGACAGAAATTTAGATCTTATAAAAAGTTTGATTCACAAACCTATGTTGAATTTGCTTGGGAAAAAGAAGATCTATTTGATAAATGGCTTACGTCAAAGAAAACAGATAACAATTTTGATAACCTAAGACAATTGATGTTATTAGAAGAGTTCAAACAATGTGTTCATTTAGACTTAAAACGCATTTAGACGACAAAACTGTTGAGACATTACATGATGCAGCTGTTATTTCAGATAATTATACCCTTTCACATAAAAGAAGTTTCAAGGGTCAAAATTTTAATACTTCGAGTGGAAATTACAAAAATCAAAGCACTGAGCGTACTGATAGTAAGCCTGTTGCACAGAATAAGAGTCAGTCTAGTTATTATATGTCTAGTCCAAAATTTGATACTTTTGAGAAGAAGTCACTTACTTGTGCTTATTGTAAGAAGAAAGGTCACCTGATGGCTGATTGTTTTAGACTCCAGAAGAAGAATGAAAGAGATAATAAGCCCAAGACCAGTACTTGTACGACACCCCGTGTTACCTATACGTTGGAATGTCCTGGGAGTCAGGCTTTTAAGTCCAGTTTTTGTGATTACATGGAGGATTATAAACCCTTCATGTCTGATGGGTTCGTTTCTATTGTTGATTATACTACTCCTCAGCCTATTAAGATTTAACGGACACTTGAGCTTCTCAGACTTTATTGTTAGAAGGTGTGTTGCCTTTGTCCGAGGAGACATCTGTTGGTGCCTCCATTTTGTTATAAGGTGTGCAGTTAGTTTGTATAGATGTTCCTCTCCATCGTATTTATCTGAAGTCAGATTTGATAACTGGACCAGTTGTTGTGGGTGTTCGTCCAAATCTCCCCGTTGAGGGTGTTTCATTATTGCTAGAAAATGATCTAGCTAGGAACAAAGTGTTTGCTGAACCAATTGTTACCAGTGAACCGGTTGTGGATGTTAAATCACCGGATGATGATGCTGAACTATATCCAGCTTGTGTTGTTACTAGAGCGATGGCAAGAAAACAACAAAATGAGGATTTGCAAGAAAACCAGTTTTATTACATGGACCTTTCTGACAATTTTCTAGCCGACATTGAAGGTCTCGTTAGCTCAGAGTAGGCCATAATAAGACCACCTAGTATTAACAAGAATATAATTATGCCATGGCCAGACGTGAACATTCATTCATAAGACCGAAGAAAATTTGCCGAAGAGCAAAATAAAGACCCTGAGGTTCTTCAGCTCAGCAAGAGGGCTCAACCACAGAAGGAAGCAGACAAAGTGGCCGAATGCTATTACCATCAAAACGACATTTTAATGAGGAAGTGGAGGCCCCCTGATGCTATCCCAGAGGAGGAATGGAGAGTGGTATACCAAGTGGTGGTGCCTAAAGTTTATAGGCAAGAAATTATTGGTCTTGCCCATGACACCCCCTTGGCTGGACACTTAGGTATAAGGAAGACTTGCGTTAAGATCTTGCAGCATTTCTACTTGCCAAGACTTAGAAATGATGTCGCAGAATACTGCAAATCATGCCATATATGCCAGGTTGTTGGTAAGCCTAACCAGAAAATACCACCAGCACCACTTCTGCCTATTCCAGCCTTTGAAGATCCTTTCAGCAGAGTACTAATTGACTGCGTTGGACCTTTACCAAAGACCAAGACTGAAAATGCGTATTTATTGACGATCATGTGTACATCTACTCGCTTTCCTGAGGCTATTCCGCTAAGGAATATCAAGACACCTACTATTGACAAAGCTCTTATCAATTTTTTCACGTTAGTAGGACTTCCTAAGTCTATACAGTCCGACCAGGGTTCAAACTTCATGTCAGGTTTATTTCAGCAAGTCGTTTACCAGTTAGGTATTGCTGAGTGCTTATCATCCAGAATCTCAAGGTGCCTTAGAACGTTTTCATCAAACATTGAAGAAAATTATTAGAACTTTTTGTCTTCAATTTGACAGAGACTGGGATGATGGAGTTCACTTTCTACTTTTTGTGGTCCGAGAGGCTGTTCAAGAATCTCTTGGTTTTAGTCCCTTTGAGTTGGTATTTGACCATACTGTAAGGGGACCGTTAAAATTGATTAAGGAAAAGTGGCTTACTGAACACACTGACTTGAATCTTTTAGACTGTGTATCTAGATTTAAAGAAAAATTATAAACTGCTTGTCAAATTGCTCAGAAAAACTTAAAAAATGTACAGAACAAGATGAAAATATGGTATGATAAAGATGCCAGGGACAGAGTTTTTGAGCCTGGTGATAAGGTACTTGTATTTTTGCCAGTCCCTGGGCATCCTTTACAGGCTAAATATTGTGGTCCTTATACAATAGAGAGTAAAATCAATGATTTGAATTATATTGTAAAAACTCCAGAGTGTGTCATATTAATATGTTAAAACCATATGTTGAGCGTACTATTGAATGTGAGAGTAAACCAGTTGCCACTTTAGCCATGGTTAAATTGGAGAACAATCATGACAAACCAGATGTAATTGAACCACCTTTTAGTTCTAAAACTATGGAAGATACAGTTAGATCGAACAATTCAGAAATTTTGTCAAATTTAGATTCAAAACTTGCACATCTGTCTTTTGATCGTAGAGAAAAAATAAAAACTTTGGTATTTTCTTTTAAAAATCTTTTTCCAGATGTGCCAAACAAAACCACTGCTGTTTGTCATGATGTTGATGTAGGCGATGCTTCTCCAATTAAACAACATCCTAACCGGCTCAATCAACACAAACTTGAATTCATGAGACAAGAAATTAAATATATGCTTGACAATGATATTATTGAGCCGAGTAACAGTGAATGGAGCTCTCCTTGTCTCCTTGTGTCCAAACCAGATAAAACCTTTCATTTCGTGACTGATTTCAGAAAAGTAAATTCAGTTTCAAAATCTGATTCCTATCCGATTCCAAGGATAGACGATTGTATTGACAACATTGGTCAAGCAAAATTTGTGAGCAAATTTGATTTGTTGAAAGGTTACTGGCAAGTTCCATTGACACAGAGAGCTCGTGAAATATCAGTTTTTGTCACACCAGATGGCTTATTTAAAAATATACTGTAATGTCGTTTGGCATGAAAAGTGCTCCAGCTACATTTCAAAGAATGATCAATAATGTTATAAAAGATTAAGACTGTTGTTATGCTTATATTGATAATCTCATTGTATGTAGTGATAGCTGGGAACAGCATTTAACACATTCATATGATACTTTTGATGGATTGTCACAATCAAATTTGACTGTTAATCTTGGTAAAAGTGAATTTTGCCAGGCCACTGTTGATTATTAAGGGCATACAGTTGGCCAAGGTCAAGTGAAACCTGTTATGGCTAAAGTGGATGCAATTACCAAATTTCCTCCTCCTACAAATAAAAAACAACTTATGAGATATTTAGGCATGTTTGGATTTTACAGGAAATTTTGTTCAAATTTTGCTACTGTTGTTCAACCATTGACTCATCTTTTACGGAAAGATTCTAAATTTATCCGGAGTTAAAATAGCAAATAACTTTTAATTAATAGTCCAGTTCTGATCACTCCAGACTTTGAAAAACAATTTAAACTTGCCGTTGATGCAAGCGATGTAGGAATTGGAGTTGTTTTATATCAAGAGACAGATGATAATGTTGAGAAACCTATATCATATTTTTCTACGAAATTAGATAAACATCAGACAAATTATTCGACTATTGAAAAAGAGTGTTTTGCACTTTTGTTTGCACTTCAACATTTTGATGTATATTTAAATCACACTGTGCATCATATTCTTGTTTATACTGATCATAATCCTCTCACCTTCATACATAAAATGAGAAATAAGAACCAGAGGTTGACTAGGTGGAGTTTATTGTTACAGGAATATGATGTAATTATAAAACATATTAAAGGTAAAGATAATGTAATAGCAGATGCTTTATCTAGAACTTATTAAAACACTTTGTATATACTATGTATTTTTGTACATATTATTCATGAAATGTTTTTGTTACACTCAAATTTTTTTAAGGGGGGAGGTGCTATGATATTGTAACTATCATATTTATTTAGTTGGCCTAATTTGCTTTGTGTGGCCTAAGAATGTTTACATGATATATATTTACATTGTGTACAAAATAATACACATTGTATTACAATTATGCAGTTTAGAAATCACTGGAACAATCATTGATACTCGTGGAATGATTAGAACTTTCTATTTTACTTACATAACGTTTCTAGAATGATTATTACAAAAGATGCGTTATTTAAACATCTCCAGTTATCTAGAAGTTTCCTTTACAAGCATATATAAATGCAGACCCTTAAGTTAGACATAGACTTAGATATCAACAGACGTCAACATTCTCAGCAGATGGATTGACACTTTTTATTTATAAACTACATCATACTAGATTATGACCTATTTGACGTAATATTCCTTGTGGATTCCGAGAAGATTTCCGGATAAAGAAAAGATAAAAGATTGGACTCATATTTTGACAAGTAGAAGCACTGATTTTCCCCAGAATGCATACATTCTCGGATTATTGGGTCCTTAAGAAATTATAATACAGGATGAGGGAAGACAGTTGAATTATCTTTGAAAAAATATTTCCTCACAAATAAAACAGTTTTGTAAGGGTCGTTTCAGAAACTGCTATTTGGCACTTTTCACCATCATATTCGTATTCCGGATTTGTCGATAATTGACGTCTAACTACTGTCATCATTTCATCAACATGAAGTTCAGGGTTCTGCTCTGCTGTGTCTAAGAATGCATTTATCAACCAGGATCCATTCCAGGTATTTGATCCAGATCTTCGGTGAGCTAAGTGTCCTTTATTTAAGAAAAATATAAATCATAAATATGTGATGATAATGATGATGATGATACACGGACATCTTCTTTTATATAATTAGTCAGTTTTGTATTCAAACAGTCTTCAAAGGAAAAGAAACAAAAACTTACTTTTGACTATTTCTTTTAAGATAAAAAAAATTCTTTCAGAAAGTATGAAAACCAGTTCTTGATTTTCGAGTTATTTAGTTTATGTCATTGTATCGTTTTGGAATATAAAATTGCGAATGAGAAATTCCTCTGACTTTCAAATATTGATTATATTCTGATTTCAACTTCCAAAATCAAGATATTTTCATAATGACAATTTCTGTAAACAAGCAATTCAAATATCGTTTTCATTTCATAAAGTATAATTTTAAGTCTGTTTTAAATGATTAAAACCGGAACCGGTATAAATTTATAAAGTGTATAAGTTAGCCAGATTTTTATGAAATTTATAGCAAAGTTGTATATGATTCAGCAATGTCTGGGACAAAAATTATAGCATATCAAATTATCTAGAAGAGTTATGCCCCTTTGAAATATAAATTAAAAAAACTTGCATTTTGAGCAATCTCTAGTCATGCAAATCTTGAAGAGATGTTATGAAATTTTTAAAAAGGTATATAAACAATATTATTTGGACGAGTTCGATGATCAGTGACGATCACTTAACCGTTTTGATGGTGCCCATTGGAAATATCAAATAGAAATTTATATTGTGAGCGCTCTCACGCGTGCATTCATAAAATCAGAGTAAATACACGTGAATGTATAATTATCAAGCATTCTTTTTGATCGTTATAGTAAGATTGTCAAATATATGTTAATGGTTGTCACTATTAAAAGTTGAAATGAAAGATTCCTCAACTTAATTTGTCGTGAATAAAAACGAAGTGTGGAAGTTTTTATTGAACTAATAACGGATTGTTTACACTTGAAGTTTTATAAATTGCTTTTTTCTTTATTTAGGGTGCCATTCAAGCAAAGCTTTTAAATTATATCGTCACAGATTAATACCGAAGAAAGCAATTGCATTTTTGTGTAATGCAGTTATGCGATGTGCTTGTGCTTCATAAGACTACACTGTACAATAAATTTATATCCTTTAAAATTTATTTACTAGACAAAAAGTGATTTTTTTCTATATGTTAAAAAGCCGAGTAAAAGTTTCGGGCAAAATAGAGTAACCTGGTTTATATATTTTTGAAATATTAGTTCACACGATTATTGATTGCCCAGGAAGTAAGTTGTCTTAATTCATGTTCTTTGAAATTTATACATGCAATCTTGACGATACTATATTTTAAGGACAAAATGAACATACAAAAAATAATAGCACGCTAACCAGCTTGAAACATATCTTTGTCTCACAATGAAACAAATAATATGTGCCATTTTGATAACAAAGTATATCTACCAGGAGTTGTTGCATAAATCTTTAGTATATCAGCCTCTGTTGGTAATCTATTTAGTTGGCTTGAGGAATCAAACTGGTCTATTCTTTGAATTCTTTCATTTTTCTGTTTTTGTTGAATCGCCTCACCTCGACATGATTGAACTATAAATACTTTTGGTTTGCCTAATAGAAGATAATATTTTATTTAACAAATAAAGGCAACAGTAGTATGTTCAAAAGTCATAAATCGATTATGAGAAAACAAATCCGGGTTACAAACTAAAACCGAGGGAAATAAATCAACTATAAAAGGAGACACAACGAAACAACAAAAACACTTAAGTGCAACAAAAAACAAACGACAATGCAACATACATAGAAAGCAACCATTAGATAACATCCGCCATATTTCTGACTTGGTACAGGACATTTTAAGAAAAATGGAGGGTTGAACCTGGTTTTGTGGCTAGCCAAACTTCGCCCTTTATGGCAATGTTAAGTATACCGCTAATTAAAATGACAACATAACAAAACAAAATGAACTATCAATATAACCATTGTACGCATATTTTGAACGGGCAATGACACAAATGCAAACAATCAACTCAGTTATTGAATGAAATAAAAAAAATTATCATTAGTAATAGGTTCCCTTAAAATTAAAATTCAACCGGCTAAGATTCTTTTCTGTTTACTACAAAGTACGCACAAGACTACTTTAAGATACTTTAACGACTTTAAGTAACAAAGAGGGTCTTAAATGTAATCATAATCGTTGAACAGCCCTTTATTGACAGACAATATTTTCTGATTCTTTAGATACATTGTTTCCCATGGCAATGAAGATCTCGATAAAGTTCTATAAATATTGTCTATTATTACTGCCCTCTATTTGTTTTTTTTAATTATTTGTGTGTTTAGGTTGACTTAAAGATAAAACAATGATGGTCGATTGAAAACAAAACTTTACGACAAAAGAGATGATTTCAGCTTCTCAGTTGTGAAATTACAATTTCGAAGAAGCACCATTCGGGAGGCACCTGCATATGAAGTATATATATATATATATATATATATATATATATATATATATATATATATATATATATATATATATATACAACTCGTCTAAACATCAGCCCAACAATGTTAGATCTGTAAAATTTGCTTTCGCAAATTTTTTGTTCTTCCCTCGCCGGGATTATATATATATATCCCAGTTGATACGATATGACATGGCTTGTAAATGTAGGACTCTGAACCGCGATGGTCACGCTAAGATGCGATGGTTTGTGGCTGAAGTGCGTTTCTGATCACGATGATGTGCGATGGTGATTTTGACCTATCTTATTGATATCTAAGCCGATGTGCGAGGGTGGTACCGCTGAAGTGCGATGGTCTTCACAAACAACTTTCTCAATGCTTTTCATATGTCGATGTAGAAGTCAATGTTTTTATTAAAGTAATGTTTAAGGTTGTTTAAATTGACAAGGGACTGATAATTTTTTAATACTACGGGACACGGGTAGGATTGGTAGTGGAAAGTTAACCATCTGCAGCGATTTTGTATTTACAAAAGTTTCTGTTTTACGTAAGATTGAGCGTGAAATTATATAATAAATACAGGTCTGTAGACAGACTCTCTTCATTAAAATATTACGATTTGATTTGATTTTTTTGTGTTTTAACGCCACTTTTAAGCACCGCTGATGGGCTATTTCATGGCGGTCAGTTTTTATTGGTGGAGGAAGCCGGAGTGCCCAGAGAAAAACCACCGACCTTCGATAGGAAAACTGACAATCCTAGTCAATTAAGATTGGAGTCGAGTGAACCTGCACGAGCGGGGTTCGAACTCACAACCTCAGTGTTGACTGGATAGTGATTACAGTAGTAACTACTTAGACCACTCGGCCACCGAGACCCCAAAAATATTAAGATAAACGAGGGGAATTCATGAGAGAAACAACATACAGTGTATAGATAAAATGTTAACGCAGATTGTTGTCCTCTTGTACAAATGAAAGAGGACGACCTCTCATTTAGTATTCAAGGACAGCCATAGACAATAATAAATGTAAATTTATAAACTAACTATTGAAAAGTCTACTTCTCTTGATAATTGCATGTCTGTATATTTAAAACTAGGAATCATGCGACAAATAGACCAACGCATATCAGCGTACAGACCATCGCACTTCAGCGTAGACCATCGCACCTCAGCGTTACCATCGTACTTCCGCGTCCCCATCACACCTCCGAGTTCTACATATATCCTATCATGATTACCTGTATAGAGGATTTCTGCTCACAAGGACGCTATTAAACCAAGAGTTCAAATTGGTGAAGTTGGAATCATCCCTTCGTAAATTTTATGGACGCAATCATGAGTTGGTTGACCGTTATGGAATATCTGCTTCACAGATTATAACAGATATGTTCCCAATGTCGTTACTTCAATCCCGTAAAGTTTTTCAAAATGTGACCTACCAAATGAGACTTATTACCGGGTTTGTACTACCATGAGGAACACGACAGGTGCCACAATTGGAGCAGGCTCTGCTTACTCTTCCAAAGCCCCTGAGATCATCCCCAGTTTTAATTGGGTTCGTGTTGCTCAGTCGTAAGTTTTTTTATTCTGTGTTTGTATAGTATTGTATGTCTGTTGGTCTTTTTTTCTTTTTTAGTCATGGCGATGTCAGTTTGAATGTCCCTTTTGTATCTTTCGCTTCTCTTTGAACGAAGACTTTCTTTTAAAAAGAAATCCTTTATGGATGTGCTAAAGTTGAATAAAAAAAATGAAATTTAAATTTTGATACTTTAAGTTGGAAGAGAATTAGTTAGGGAACAAAATAAGCTAAACATATTAATAGGTTTTGGAGCTACTTTTCTAGAAATTTGAGTGTTAATATTGGGGGAAAATGACGACTCGGACTACCTTATATTTGCATTGGTATAATTTGGGTCTCAAATCGAAAGAATAGAAATGTACATTCTGCTTGAATTTTGGTAAAAGGCCTTTTATGAGCTATCGAAGTCTTAAATGAAAAGAAAAATGGGTGTTATGGGGCAATTTTTTTTACCCTGTACCCTGGGGAAAAACATAAGGAGTCCGAAAATCTGACACGAATTCATAAACCTCAACTAAGTACACCGGATCTTTAATTGATCAAAATCTTCAAATACATACTGATATTGAATTATTGTCTTCCAGTATTCGAATTGGCCGACTTCTTTTTCCTTTGCAATGACCTTAACCACGACATCTCTAGTTAGAAATTCACCAATTTCATCGTGCTTATAATTGATATTCAAAAATAATTTTTTGGACTACAAACGATAAGATATTACAGATTATCCAATCATAAACATAACAGAAACATCAAAAATAAAACTATGAATGTTGGATGTACCAAACACCGAGACACGCCGCACAGCTATTCAAATTTACATTAAGTATAACAGTTATATTTGGTATTTCAAAGCACCATTATTTTTTTATTTGGGGTTTCTATAGAATATTTTGGAAACTTGAGGTTACATGGTTACGAAAGCTTGTGCACAGGTTAAATAAGGGGGAAATTTGATTGGTTTAACATCCAGTGATGGTTATTTTCTTATATGCAATGAAATGTTATGTGAAATTTCTTCTATAGTATTGGACAGGATAAAACTTTATTCATGCCAAGTATTTCTTTATTTGAAAAAAAGATAAATTCTGCACAATGTTTTGAAAAGTACAAATTTAACAAAGACTAATAGGGGAAATTCAATGGTGGTATTACACCTAAATATGGGAAGCTGAACATGAACCTTTGACCTTGTGAGTACTCTCATGTGTTAAAATTTCTTGTTTTTTAAGTGTAATATTACCAAAAAATAAAATATTCTGAGTGGATCAAGTCTCCAAATAAAATTGAGAATGGAAATGGGGAATGTTAACACATTTTATGAGAAAATTTCCACGAAATAGGACTCTACCATGAATATTAGTTGACAGAACAAGCCATCTTAGTGTTTTGGAGGGCTCATTCTTCTTACATGTATTTCTTATATTCGGCTATAATAGAAAATTATTTTTCATAAGATATACTTTGATAAATATATAGTAATAAGTAAATGAAATTATTTTTAAAGCAGTAACAACAAATTATTCACTAAAAGAGAAGCTTTTTATGTCCCTCTCTGCAACGCGGCGTAAATTTAAGTTTTACGTTAAGACTTATTGAAACCTATTTGGAGACAGTAAACTTTTAAATGGATTGTTCATTCTGCTTGAATACTTCAATTACTCATTTCTATCATAAATGAGTGAAAGCTACCCCATTATTTTTATTTATTGGCCTGAAAAGTTGAAATTTTAAGGAAATGACAGGTATAAATGGACCAAAAGAGACCTTATAAAGAAGACAAAGAGGTCCATTAGTGGTATTTATTTAGAGTCATCTTTTGTATTATATTCAACTCTTTGTAAGCAGATGAGAAAAATATTTGATCAATTATTGGTCCACACTATATTCTATCATGATGCGGCTTGGTTTGGATTTGTCGAAGACATTTTGCTCGAATTGCTGTAGACGTCGTCTTTCATTATACTAGATTTTTCTCAAACTATTGAACAGATTATGACAAAACTTGACAGGAATGCTTAAAATAACCAGTATTACAAAGGAAAAATGTCACATTCAGTTTATTCAATTAAAATTTCATCTTTAGGTGTAATACCATCAAATCATGGTACGTCACATCCGGTTGCATACGAAAAAAGGTCGACAAAAATTTATATTTGAATTTGACAGATGTAGGCAATTAAAATTAATCCTACATTTTATTGTAGTAAAACATTTCTGGGTCCTAAACATATATCTTGGGTATATCAAAGCACTATAGAAAATTTTGGAAACTTGAGGTTACATGGTTACTAATTATAAAAAAAGAAGAAGTGGTATGATTGCCAATGAGACAACTCTCCACAAGAGACCAATATGACACAGAAATTAACAACTATAGGTCAACGTACGGCCTTCAACAATGAGCAAAGCCCATACCGCATGGTCATCTATAAAATGCCCCGAAATGACAATGTAAAAAAAAAAAAAAAATATGTAACACATAAACAAACGACAACCACTGAATTATAGGCCCCTGACTTGGGAAAGGCACAGACATACAGAATGTGGCGGGGTTAAACATGTTAGCGAAATCCCAACCCTCCCCCTAACCTGTGACAGTGGTGTAACAGTACAGAATAAGAACAAACTATAAAAATCAGTTGAAAAAGGCTTAACTTATCAGATGGATAACAATACAATTACAAGTGGACGTGGCCGAGAACTTGTACATCCCAACAACAAAACGACACAAAGTACAGATCTTAGAGTACTCACAGTTACTGACAGCCAGTTCAAAGCTACTAACAACTAATAAAAAACCATGCATCTAAGACTAAAGCTTGTACACAGGTTAAATAAAGGGGGACATTTGAGTGGTTAACTTCCAGTGATGGTTATTTTCTTATATGCAATGAAATGTTATGTGAATTTTTTTCTATAGTACTGGACAGGATAAAACTTAACTCATGCCAAGTATTTCTTTATTTGAAAAGGAGATAAGTTCTGCACAATTTTTTGAAAAGTGTAAATTTAACAAAGACTAATAGGGGAACATAAATGGTGGTATTACACCTACAGCAATGTAAATTCACTCTCGGTATAACATATTTGGGAATAGGTCCCCGTTCGGTTCGTAACAGGCAAACAACATAGATGGTAACCCACAATCTAAGACGTGGTAAAAACGTCATTAGTTAGTTTCGACACCGGCACTTCGTGATGGTGATGGAAAACCTAAGCAAAATAAGAAACAGTCATCGAATAAAGGCTTCAAATAAATGCATTAATCTGAATTAGTATGCATTTTTGTTATAGGTGGTCAACTGAATTCTACCTCCGTATGTGGGATTTTCTCGATGCGTTGAAGATCCATTGGTGGCTTCGCGCAGTTTTAACCTTTTTGGTCGGCCTATTGTCTATTTCAAACATTCCTCTTTTATTCTTTATTCTATTAAACACACAAGGAATCAATATTTGCGTTCACAACAAATTATATTGATATAAAGTACAAATATTATTAATGCAACCTAGGTCGTTCCAAACTATTTTTGTATGATTTTACAAACAAATACAAATTCGAATGGCTTTTGTATACTCCAATTCTGTCTGGCTTTTGCAAATGCCCCAATGTATTAACGTCTAGAGATATATTATTTTCACTGAAAAATTCGAATTAAAGATAAAACAAAACTACGCCTATCCTTGCAAATTTTAGAAAAAATTAAGAAAGTGTGACAAATTTAAGAATATATTTTTAAAACTAAACAATGATTTTGCCAAAATACTTGCATATATACCAAATACTTTTTTTACGCAATGCTGATTGTCAAAAACTATTTTTGTAGTAACAGACGTAAGAATTTTTATCTCTGATTTATTTGTATCTTTATAGGAGCTTAATATTATGTTTACATAGAATTTGATGACCTCAATGATTATATTAATGCATTTGATTTCAAATAGATATAGAAATATGAATTATTGTACTGCTTCAGATTCAGAATAAATAAAATATTTATTTTATAAAACTCTAAAACATTACTTTTTCATTAGGAACATTAATTTAAAAATAGTATATGTATCCTAGAAAGGAGAAAAAAAATAAAATTTTGCCTTATCTGTATATTTTGAAAATATAAATTTGTCATTTTCTTTTAATACTGCAGTTACAGAAATGGTTTGGAAAAATCAGGGGTGCTTTGAATACAAGTATTTTTTTAACTTCAAACGGATAGAAATAACAAAATTCTGAAAAGTTTGAAAACCAAAACATGTTTTTTTTTTCAAAGTCTGTAGCTACAGAAATTCTTGGAACAAACCTTATTGCATAGAACAAATACATGAAAGCAAAAAAGTAAAAATGGTGTTGTTCTATGTGTTTGGCGGGATGCATTTAATTTGGAACAAAAGATATGTGATTTTAACCCTTCATATGCCAAATTAGTGGTTTCATTGTGAAGCTTGCAAGGGGTAGGATAAATGTTTTCCTTTGTCATACCTTTTTGAAATAGAAAATGACAGAAATCTGGGTTGTTTTAAGATTTTGAATATATGGTTCCATGCAAGAAAACCTGATTAACAAGAGCCAATGTTTAATATTTCAAACTGATAAAAATTACAAAACTAAGAAGGTCTGGATAATTTATTAATCCCAAATTTAGCTCTTTTTCAAAACCGAATCTAAATGTTCAAAATGACATTAAGCAGCCATACATTTGAATTTACATATCTTGTATCAAAAAAATTCTGATAAATGTGATTTATTCGTGAATTAGTAAAGGGGATCAGTTTTTTGTAATGTACAGTAAAATGCATGAACATGATGAATGATAGTATTGAGTAAGATATATTAATACAGGTTCAGTGGAAATCATGGGTAGTAGATTTAAAGCATTTTTACTAAAGCCCCTCAATTAAATAATCTAACATTTCATCATCGCAAGCAATCAAAACACAAGGATGAAATACAAAAATGAACATGAAAATATCTTTAATATCAAATGTATAATGATACGCATTGAATATTTCTAGGTGAAAATAGTGTGTCAATTTCAAATGTTCGAATCAATAATGAAATCTTTGAAGTGTGTCAATAATAATAAGAAAAAGCAACCCTTTTTATATTTCGTCACCCGAAGCGCTTTTTTCGATTTACCAACATCAGGAATGCTTAAGCCTAAACATAAGAGAGCCATGCATGACTAAATACGCCAAAAACTTTTATTTACAAATATGACCGAACGGGGCTTTAAAATAATAGCTAAATGGATATAAGTCCAATTTTACCTAAAGGAACTGCTTGTTTTGATAATAGTGATGATGTAACCAACGTCATAAGCTTTACCTCATTTCCGTGACTCATAATAACGCATATGAAACAATAGTATTTTGATGAATCCCTGCTCAGGTAGTTATGCCGCACATTTTCTAGACAAGTTCTAAGTTCTTCTGTGGTCATATCGACTCGACAATCAACATCATACTTTAAATTAGTGAAAAATTTACACAATTTCCCAACGTCGTCATCCGAACCTTCAAAATATAAATGAAATGAAACATCTGTTTATTAGAAATGGGAAATTTATATCAAAGAAAATTGTCAGAAGGCGTTTTACTATGACCATGGACGCATACCCGATTTCACTTTTAAGTCGTATAACAATGTAACCTGAAAACGTTTAAGAAACCTGAAGAACCCCAAAAAGACAGTTTTATTTTTCAATGTCTCATATCTGTCGTAAAACTTATTATAAATCTTAAATGTTTTCTAAATCTGAGTTTTTATTTATTTCACAGAGTAAGTTTTATTTTCATTTATACTCGGAACGATTGAAGAAACTTTATGATTCCCTTAACCCAGTTTTTGAAAACTTATAGACACATTCATTTAATCTAAAGTAACATATCTTGTACCAAACATTTTATGTTTTGATAACTATATGGGTTTTTACACATGTAAGATAAGGTCCTGGATGTACCAAATTGTTTGAGAGGAAGACTAAATCATAATACAATTTTTCAATAAGTTAATTTCTTTTTCAAAATGTTTGATCAGCTTTTGAACGTTCGAATTTATTGTTGGAATTTGTTTTTGTTTTTGTCTCCACCCTGTCTGAAAAGATATAAGTTGTACAAACGCGCATCTCGTGTACAAAGAAGTGGAACCGTAACTATCATCAAACCTTAAAGACAATGAAAAAGGAAATAATTAACCACCCCTGCAAACACTGCAGAGTTGAACCTTTCAATGATTTTGCTAGTTCTGTCTGATGCGAATACTAGTAATTACAAAATTGTAAATAAAGTAAAAAATAATGAGAACAAAACAAACCCAGGAATCCTAATTACCAAACAATAGTCGGATTTGGAAAATAGCAAGCGAAAATGATAGCATAAACATTTAAGTTTACAAATGGTTAATAATGTTGCTAAAGAAATTAATTCTTCGTGCATTTTGTCTTCGTGTTTATTTTACAAGAACACGCAATTTTTCCATGTATAACGCGAAGAAAAATGAATGTGCAAAGTCGCTACCCAGCTTTGATTATAATTTTTGAAGTTTATTGACTTTAAGATGAATATATGTGGTGTGATTGCCAATAAGATTTTAAGTGACAGTAGGTATGTATCAAGTAGCATAATATGTTTGGTTAAGTAGCCATCGATGGTCCCAGCTTGATAAAATGTGAAACAATTTAACCGAGAGAAAAAATAATTGCTTGCACAATAGAAAGATTTCCTTTATTTATTATTTGTGTACGTATTTAATGATGAACCGCTTATGATATAAAATTCAAGTAAAGATCGTTGAATACGTCATTTGAAATGCTCAAGATTATATGCATTAATCATATATAATATTGTATAAATGAACTACATGCAGTTACAAAATGTAACGCCAAGACTAATCGTTCTTTAATCTACTGGAAGCATTGTTTAGGGAAAAGTTTGTGAACTATAACACAAAGTTTAACATTTTAGCATACAAAACTGAAACAGGGAGATGTGCAAGAGCTTGTTTATATTGCAATGTTTATTTTGTCGAGTATTTGAAAAATTGTGCTTTGATTGCAGATCTTTGATAGTTTAGCAAATGAAATATTCAAGTAGATACACAGCAAATATCATACGATATGCATTCCAGAAGATTAAATGTTTATGTCAATATTTTCTGGTATTCGACATACAATATTCTCACCCCATAATGAATTTATTGACCCCGTATATATCGTATTAGGTCACTAGCATACTATGTAACGAATATATCTTACCGACTATCTTTATTTGTTGAATTTAGACTAGAGTTGTCTCATTTGCAATCATACCACATCTTTTTATTTTTATATTAAAGTGTTTAAGTCTTCAATTTTAAGAACCTACCTCCGTTGGTCTGCACAAAAAACTAATGTCAACAATTATAACAATTTAATATCAACAACCTTGATATAACAATATTAAAAAGAACTTTCAATACATTTACGTAGATCGACATAAAATGACCCAAAGTCTCATTCAGCCGCACACAATCAATTTTTCAAAGTCATAATCTTGTTCTTTCTCCTGAAGATATTCCCGGAGTATATTTGCACACTTTCTGTTTGCTTTCGAGGTATTATCGGCATTCACATTTAATCTTTTGGCATCAATTTCTTGATCTGTTGTGCTTGCAAATTGTTTCGTACTTCTCGTCGACGTATGGAAAGGGACGTAACGCCAATACTAACCGTGTACTGAAATAAGCCCCACCTCCCTACTAACCTAATATGGAATATACATGGTCTCCACGCGGACGCTTTTAACCAATCATATTCCTAGAAATGTATAGGAGGTAAGATATCATTAGTTACATAGTGTGCTAGTGACTTAATACGATATATATGGGGTCAGTTAATTTCATATGGGGTGAGATCGAAGCTTGAACTTACCCCATATATATTGTATTAGTTCACTAGCACATTATAAAACGAATCTATCCTACCGACTAATTTAAAATGTCGTATTTAGACTTGTGGCCTATAAAAGTGATCATGTCTTCAATACCGTTAGTATTAAGAACATATACTTCCATTGGTCTATACATAAACAAATGCCAACAATAACAACTTGTTAGCTTTAAATATGCTTTATGAATTTATTTCAATAGTTCATTACCAATTTCATCGTCTGTTGAAGTCTTTAGGATTTTTTCTCAACACCGTGATGTTTGTAAGAAGGGACACAACACCACGACTAATCGTGTATTGAAATAAGCCCCGCCTACTAACCTAATATTGAACCCTACTAACTTATATTGAATATACACGGTCTCCACGCGGTTGTTTAAACAAATCATATTCCCAGAAATGTATAGGAGGTAAGATAAATATTGTTCTTGTGATGACTCTCTGGAATATCGTCAGATATGTTATACGTGTTAAAATAGTTTATAGTAAATACCTGTTCGTTTATATTTGCCAGTGAACATAAAGTTTATGACCAATAAAAATCCCTTTTTCTGAAGTTTGTCGTAGCTACATAGCGCCTATCAAAACAATAATACATTTTCAGTTAACTTATCAACAGTGTCAAAGTAATATAAAATAACAGCTTTTAAGGTTGTATCTTCCTGAAACACTATCAACGATGACTTTATTTATTACGCTAAAGCTATTATTTTAGGTGAGTTTTTGTGATTTTAAATCGCAATGCAACGGTTTCATATTTCATTCTTCGTTCTTTACTCACAACTTAAATTGAAGAAAAGCAGACGATCACTATTGTGTTCCTCTTCTACCATATTTCAGTCATATAAAGTAGACTGTTTACAAATGATTCTCATTAACTTACGGTTCCGCTAACGGAATGGTTCTCCCACGAAATAATTCAGTGTACTGACAATTGTGTACTCGTATCCCACAATGAATAAAGGATACATATGACGTTGGATATGTTTCAATTGTCGTAAACACAATTCCGTCCTTTTTCCAACATAATGTGACCTACCGAATTAAACTTATCAGCTGGTTTGTACTTACATGAGCAACATAACGGGTGCCATTTATGGAGCAAGATCTGCTTACTTCTCTGGAGCCCCTTGTTACACCCCCGGTTTTTTAATGGGATTCCTATTGCTCAGTCTATTGTAAACTATTTGGGAACCAGCACGTAAACAAAATCTATTGTAATGAATATTATATATCTCTTCATAAGAGGCGTGGTTAATGAAAAACACAATTTACAAACTGCAACCTTTAAATCCTCATAAATTTAAAATTCAACTTACAGATACTTTTCTTTTTTCCAATGTAGTTTGTATCTCTGGTGCTCTTGAAGTAGATATATCTGTATAAAATAAGCCGGAGATTTTTTATGAATTAAGTGATAATAGATTACTCTCCGCATTCCAAAAGGTAATTGAGTTTTATTAGTTTATCTTCATACAATTGTATGTAATTGAATTGTATCTGAAATTGTCATGATGATACAATTTGTTGTGTTTGAGGTTGGTTTTAACAAAAAAAAAAAACCCAAAATTGACTCAATATATCTGAAGCTGGACTTCGAATTTCCATTTTTACAACAGCAAATTGTAGTCAATACATTTTTCAATAATATAAGTCATAACAAAAGCATATATCTACATGACCAAATGAACTCTCTACTTTATTTTAACAAATGAAGTGTGTTGTACGTTATAAACGAGTAATATATATTTGATTTCTAACTGAAACATACTCATGGAGTTTTTAGGTCCGAATGGACATGGACTGGTCACAGTCTACAATAGAATCAAATATGTAAAACATTATTCTCTCATTGAAATTTTTCAAATCGCCTTCATCAAATTAAAATGGGTAAACAAGAATGAAAGATCATAATTTATTTTAAAAGAGTGTCGAAAGATACCAGAGGGACATTCAAAATCATAAGTCGACAAAAAATAAAACCAAAAAAACTGACAACGCCATGGCCAAAAAAGAAAAAAAAACAACAGACAAACAATTGTACACATAACACATTACAGAAAACCAAAGACTGAGCAAAATGTACCCCATCAAAACTAGGGGTAATCTCAGTGGCTCGGGAAGGTTAGGCATATCCTGCTTCAAATGTTTTAAAAAAGTAATGGTGCATACCTTTTTAGTTCGATGTTTAAGCTTTCCGCATGCTTATATTTGACTTTTAACGTTTTGGATGAAGATATATTAAAAAAACGCATAAAATTTCAAAAAAATATTCATCAAACAAATTATTAAGAATGATTTTAAAGTCTTTTGACATTTTCGTATGTTGATAACTATAGCTTCTTCGTCAGATTTCCTGTATTTGGTTTTAATTCTGCAAGATAATGATAGAGGCTAAAGGAATGAAACAGTGTTTAAATGAAAATCGATTTACTGATAAATTAAGCCAAGCCAATCAATTTCCTCAATTTTGGAATTTCTGTTATAAAGAACACTTATATAAAAATATATGAAATATAGGATTGTATAGTTTACCACATGAAGAGCTATAATGACAAATGAGGTGTGAAAAACATAGCTAAATATATCAAAGGTGAACTTTAAAGTCTTTGATAATAAAGAAGATGTGGTATATTTGCCAACGAGAAAACTCTCCACAAGAGACCAAGTGACACGGAAATTAACAACTATAGATCACTGAACGGCCTTCAACAATGAGCAAAGCCCATATCGCATAGTCAGTTATAAAAGGCCACGAAATGACAAATGTAAAACAATTCGAACGAAAAAACTAACGGTCTAAATAATGTAAAGAATTTGAACGGAAAACAAATATGTTACACATCAACAAACAACGACCACTGAATTACAGGCTCCTGATTTGGGACAGACACACACATACAGAATGTGGCGATAATAAGCATATAAGCAGGATCCCAACCCTCCCCTAATCTGGGACAGTGGTGTAACAGTACAACGAAAGAACGAACTATAAAAATCAGTTGAAAATCATTTAGTTCATTCATGATTCTAAATCGATGACGGACAATCTAAGGACGGTGTGTTATAGATCATGACAGTAAACTCAAAAACTTGGTAAATTAGTCTTCTTCTTGCTTATAATTTGTATAAAAATTTACATATTGTCACTTTTGTTTTTCATGCGTTCTTTTGTTATAAATAGAGCCACTGAATTAATTTTTCGTTTGAATTGTTTCACATTTTGTCATGTGGGATCCTTATATAACTGGCTTTTCGTGTATTATACATTTGTCTACAATATAAGGTATATGCATGAGGTATAAGCATGAGATAGATCAAGTTGTAACCATTTAATTTCTTTGAGTCACAAAGCATTGATCACCAATGTTAAAAAAACAAATAAAAAGTTACCTACAGGTAATAAAATAACAAAACTGAACTTTTACCTATCATGTTTAGTGAAAACTATCAGTGCGAAATTCAAAACAAACAAACATATTCTTGTCCTTGTGTTTGATGGCAATGTTCTAATAACATCCGTAAATTTATTCACACACATATTAGTTTTTCTAGGATGATTTAAAAGAAGATCAGTTGTTATGTTGCTAAAAAGTAAAATCACAAAAATACCGAACTCGGAGGAAAACTCAAAACGGAAATTCCCTAAACAAATGGCAACATAAAAAGCTCAAACACATCAAACGAATGCATAACAACATTTATATTCAAAGGCATGATCACACGACGACCTTGGTGTATAATGTTTTGCTCTTGCTCTGTCGGCGAGGCCTCTATTTGGGATAATTCTGAGGTATTCATCAACATGCCTACTTCGAAAGTGTGTAATACAAAAAGTGGCGTTTTATATCTCTTCTTAAATAAAAAAAATCAACTTACATGTACTTTTTCTGGATAAAATACCCTTTCCGGGTTGGGTATACTTTGTATTTGTTTCCTCAGTCTCTGATTTTTAACATCTGTTTGAAATAAACCGGATGTTTTTTATGAACTACTTATACATGACTCTCCGTATTTTAAAAATGAAATTTTGATTCGCTGTTTTAGAGAGTTTCATTAGTTTTCTTCATGCAAGTCACATGTGATGAATATGTTGTTATGAAATGTTTTTTGATACAATTATGCAGTGTCGTCTTTTTTTATACACAAGTAAACAAAAGACTATAGATACATATCTGAAGTTTGACTTTACATTTCAAATATTCAAAATATTGTCAAAACATATTTCTATTAATAAAGTAATACACAAAGAACATTGATTTACACGACTAAATATAATCGTAAAATTATGCAAACAAATAAAGTGTTAGGTATGTTATACGTGACATATTCCCGAATATGACTGTGATACATAGAGTGAATTTTCATTGCTATACGACGTGTTTCGGTATTTCGTACATCTAACATTCATATATTTAATTTGTATGTTTTTGTTTTTGTTATGGTTTCGGTTGAATAATGTGTTATGTCGTATCGTTTGTTTTCCAAATAATTATAAAATTGCCTTTCAATACCATCATCATGATCATTTTCATATTCCCGAATATGACTGTTATACTGAATGTTAATTTGCATTGCTGTGCGGCATGTCTCGGTGTTTTGTACATCCAATATTGATGGATTTATTTTTATGTTTCTGTTATGGTTTCGGTTGGATAATCTGTTATGCTTTATCGTTTGTAGTCCAAATACCATCATGGTCATGAAAACTGTTTGGACGAATATTGTGAAAATAATTGTAAAAAGTTCGAGATTGCAAGTTAGTTACGTAAGCGCGCGTCACTGTTTTTGATATCCTGTAGTGTTTGTCGCTGATGGAATATGTTTGTTGTTGTTTTGGGGTTTGCATGTTGTGTCGACTATTATATAATTTGTTTGTGCGTTTCTCTGATATCAATTTTCTTGTTTGTGTTTGTGTTATATTTTTGTCACGTAGTGTGTGCGCGATATTTTTTAACACTGTCATAAAGCGGGAGGTTAAGCATGCCATGAAACCAGGTTCAATCCACCATTTTTTCTTAAAATGTTCTGTATCAAGTCAGGAATATGACAGTTGTTATCAAATAGTTCGTTTCTATGAGTGTTGGCGTTTGTTTTTGCTGCACTTTTGTGTCTTGTTGTTCCTTTGTTTCCCCTTATTGTCGATCTTATTGTTGATGTGTTTCTCTCGGTTTTGATTTGTAACCTGGATTTGTTTTTTCTCAATTGATTTCTGACTTTTGAACACTGATAACTGTTGCCTTTTTATATACGAGTAACATGAGTAATGAATAGTCAATTTCTAACTAAAACATACTAGAACTGTACATTTCGGCTGGTTTTAATTCATTTGACCAGTTCACTGCCTACAATAGAATCAGTTTACACCATAATTCTCTTTTTGTAATATTTGAATTATTGGACTTATTGAGATCACAGCGTTATATTCAAAACGGGTAAAGATAAATTAGAGATCATTCATGTTTTAACATATTTACTGAACATATAAAAAGAAGATGTTGATAACTAATGAGACAACTCGTCACAAGAGACCAAATGACACAAAAATTAACTACTATATGTCACCGTACGGCATTTAACAATGAGTTAAGCCCATACCACGTAGTCAGCTATAACAGGCCCCAAAATGACAAATGTAAAACAATTCAAACGAGAAAATAAATGCATAATTAATGTACAAAAATATGAACGAAAAACAAATATGAAAAACAGCAACAAACGACAACCACTGAATTACAGGCCCCTGACTTGGGACAGGCACATACATACAGAATGTGGCAGGTTAAGCATGTTAGCGGGATCCCAATCCTCCCCTTAATTGGGACAGTGGTGTAACAGTACTACATAAGAATGAATTATAAAAATCAGTTGAAAAAGGCTTAACTCATCAGATGGATACAAAAAAAGGACTAACTAAAACCTGTCGATAAACTTTGTTACCGAAACATACATAAATATGAGTTGCAGCAAATATATTTGCATACAGATTTAGCAAACGACCAATTAATCAAATCGGAAAATTTTTGTTTGATAAGATTGTGTGCAAGTGTAATGTTAAGAGTTGAAAAGTCAAAACTGCCAACAGCATCAAAAAGAAAATCAAAAGCACGTAATTTATCTAAAACATCCAAAGAATTTTGTTTACTGCAAAAATAGTTAATTCCACTATTTGCATATATGTTATTGAAAAAATTATTGATCAGTTCCTTGACAGTAGTTAAGATTAGTTGTAGAACACTTATTAAAGGCCGAGATAAAAAGATATTTTATTGTTTTTGTTGTGTAGTGTAGGTAACCAATACAGTGTAGAGACCTGCAAATGTTCAGAAGAGGCCTAAAACTGTGATGTGGTTATGATATGTTTGTTTACTATATGACTCTCTGTGGAGCGCTCGGACTTGAATGTAGAGGAATTTAAGATTTTATTCTTAACAACGCCTGTGTAGTATTTATTGCATACAACCACCAAGTTGTTTGCTGCTTTGTCGGCCGGTACAAACACAAATCGCTTTGAAAGTTCTTGAAGTTTATTTCTTTTTCTGGAAATAGGCGTATTATGTACTCTTTTATTTATTTCTGAATTAATTTGCTTCCGAAGTGCTTTCCTGGATCAATCATAATCCGGTAACCATAATAAGTGCTTACGTCCGCTCAAAGATCTGGTCTGTTCGTGAAATATACATTGTTATAAAATACAAGCTATTTGCATATGGTATAAGCATAACATATTGACCTGAATGTAATTATGTTAATTGCTTTGAGTAATAAAGCATTTATCAACAACGTAAAAATACAAATACTTAGTACAGACGTTTTCTACAGAGTTTATAAATAACAAAACTGTACTTTCACATATCATGTTTTGTGACAACTATTAGTGCTCATTTCAAGATTTCGTCAATAAATTCACACATTACTATTTCTAGGATGATTTAAAAACTTGACCATTTGTTTCGGCGCTAAGTTCTGGCCACAAGATGACTGGTGTTTTAGATTGTTTGGGTGCTCTGTCGTTGAAGCCTCGATTTTGAACAAGTCTATAGTTATCATCATCAGTTCTACTTAAAAAATTAGTAATACAACAAAGTGGCATTTTATAAATCCTCAGAATTTAGAAATTCAACTTACCTGTACTTTTTCTGGATAACTTATTTCTTCTACCAGTGTAGTTTGCTTTTTTGGTGCTATTTTAGCATGTTCAGTTATCAAATCTGTTTAAAATAAGCCGGAGTTTTTTATGGATTAACTTCTTATACATAACAGACCCGTATTCAAAATTTAATCTGATTCTCTAGTTTGAAGAGTTTAATTAGTTTCTCTTCATCCAAGTTACATGTGATGAATTGTATCTAAAATTGTATTTTTGATACAATTATGCCGTGTCGTCTTTTTTCTTAAATTCATTATAAAAAACCCTATAAATGTATATCTGAAATTTGACATTATATTTCTATTTGTAAAACAGCATACTAATTTCTAGTAATTAAGTAATACACAAAGCACATTGATTTACACGACCAAATATATTCATAAAATCTTGCTAACAAATAAATGTTTTATACGTTATACAAAAGTAATAAATAGTCAATGTATAGCTTAAACATACTTGAATTGTATTGTTCGGCTTGTTTTGATTCAAATGGCCTGCATACTGCCTACAATAAAAATAAGTTAATAACATAATTCGCTTTTTAAAATGATTGAATAATTGAACTAATTCAGATTGCATTTTTATATTTAACATGGTTAGAAATAAATTAGAGATCATTCCATTGTTTTAACAAATAAATTGTACATACCTATTTTTATTCAATGTTTTTTATATTTTTTAATAGCTTTTCGTAGGATGTTTTTTGTCTTGAACGATTCGGAGGAAGGATAAATAAACAAAACATGAAGAAATGGGTAAAGATTTTTTTTTTTTTTATTAAAATAAAAATAAGAATTCCTATTCAAAGTCCATTGACATGTTAATATGGGTATTCTTTCCACCAGTTTTCTTGTGTTGAGGTATTATGTCTTAAAGAAAACAATAAAGTATACGGAAATATACATTGTTATAAAATACAAGCTATTTGCATATGGTATAAGCATAACATATTGACCTGAATGTAATTATGATAATTGCTTTGAGTAATAAAGCATTTATCAACAACGTAAAAATACAAATACTTAGTACAGACGTTTTCTACAGAGTTTATAAATAACAAAACTGAACTTTCACATATCATGTTTTGTGACAACTATTAGTGCTCATTTCAAGAATTCATCAATAAATTCACACACTACTATTTCTAGGATGATTTAAAACTTGACCATTTGTTTCGGCGCTAAGGTCTGGCCACAAGATGACTGGTGTTTTAGATTGTTTGGGTGCTCTGTCGTTGAAGCCTCGATTTTGAACAAGTCTACAGTTATCATCAGTTCTACTTAAAAAATTAGCAATACAACAAAGTGGCATTTTATAAATCCTCAGAATTAAGAAATTCAACTTACCTGTACTTTTTCGAGATCACTTCTTTCTCCAACCATTGTAGTTTGCTTTTTTGGTGCTATTTTAGCATGTTTAGTTATCAAATCTGTTTAAAATAAGCCGAAGTTTTTTTATGGATTAACTTCTTATACATAACAGACCCGTATTCAAATTTTAATCTGATTCTCTAGTTTGAAGAGTTTAATTATTTCTCTTCATCCAAGTTACATGTGATGAATTGTATCTTAAATTGTATTTTTGATACAATTATGCCGTGTCGTCTTTTTTCTTAAATTCATGATAAAAAACCCTATAAATGTATATCTGAAATTTGACATTATATTTCTATTTGTAAAACAGTATACTAATTTCTAGTAATTAAGTAATACACAAAGCACATTGATTTACACGACCAAATATATTCATAAAATCTTGCTAACAAATAAATGTTTTATACGTTATACAAAAGTAATAAATAGTCAATGTATAGCTTAAACATACTTGAATTGTATTGTTCGGCTTGTTTTGATTCAAATGGCCTGCATACTGCCTACAATAAAAATAAGTTAATAACATAATTCTCTTTTTAAAATGATTGAATAATTGAACTAATTCAGATTGCATTTTTATATTTAACATGGTTAGAAATAAATTAGAGATCATTCCATTGTTTTAACAAATAAATTGTACATACCTATTTTTATTCAATGTTTTTTTTATTTTTTAATAGCTTTTCGTAGGATGTTTTTTGTCTTGAACGATTCGGAGGAAGGATAAATAAACAAAACCTGAAGAAATGGGTAAAGATTTTTTTTTTTATTAAAATAAAAATAAGAATTCCTATTCAAAGTCCATTGACATGTTAATATGGGTATTCTTTCCACCAGTTTTCTTGTGTTGAGGTATTATGTCTTAAAGAAAACAATAAAGTATACGGAAATATACATTGTTATAAAATACAAGCTAATTGCATATGGTATAAGCATAACATATTGACCTGAATGTAATTATGATAATTGCTTTGAGTAATAAAGCATTCATCAACAACGTAAAAATACAAATACTTAATACAGACGTTTTCTACAGAGTTTATAAATAACAAAACTGAACTTTCACATATCATGTTTTGTGACAACTATTAGTGCTCATTTCAAGAATTCATCAATAAATTCACACACTACTATTTCTAGGATGATTTAAAACTTGACCATTTGTTTCGGCGCTAAGGTCTGACCACAAGATGACTGGTGTTTTAGATTGTTTGGGTGCTCTGTCGTTGAAGCCTCGATTTTGAACAAGTCTATAGTTATCATCATCAGTTCTACTTAAAAAATTAGTAATACAACAAAGTGGCATTTTATAAATCCTCAGAATTTAGAAATTCAACTTACCTGTACTTTTTCGAGATCATTTATTTCTCCAACCAGTGTAGTTTGCTTTTTTGGTGCTGTTTTAGCATGTTCAGTTATCAAATCTGTTTAAAATAAGCCGGAGTTTTGTATGGATTAACTTTTTATACATGACAGACCCGTATTCAAAATTTAATCTGATTCTCTAGTTTGAAGAGGTTAATTAGTTTCTCTTCATCCAAGTTACATGTGATGAATTGTATCTAAAATTGTATTTTTGATACAATTATGCCGTGTCGTCTTTTTTCTTAAATTCATGATAAAAAACCCTATAAATGTATATCTGAAATTTGACATTATATTTCTATTTGTAAAACAGTATACTAATTTCTAGTAATTAAGTAATACACAAAGCACATTGATTTACACGACCAAATATATTCATAAAATCTTGCTAACAAATAAATGTTTTATACGTTATACAAAAGTAATAAATAGTCAATGTATAGCTTAAACATACTTGAATTGTATTGTTCGGCTTGTTTTGATTCAAATGGCCTGCATACTGCCTACAATAAAAATAAGTTAATAACATAATTCTCTTTTTAAAATGATTGAATAATTGAACTAATTCAGATTGCATTTTTATATTTAACATGGTTAGAAATAAATTAGAGATCATTCCATTGTTTTAACAAATAAATTGTACATACCTATTTTTATTCAATGTTTTTTTTATTTTTTAATAGCTTTTCGTAGGATGTTTTTTGTCTTGAACGATTCGGAGGAAGGATAAATAAACAAAACCTGAAGAAATGGGTAAAGATTTTTTTTTTTTATTAAAATAAAAATAAGAATTCCTATTCAAAGTCCATTGACATGTTAATATGGGTATTCTTTCCACCAGTTTTCTTGTGTTGAGGTATTATGTCTTAAAGAAAACAATAAAGTATACGGAAATATACATTGTTATAAAATACAAGCTAATTGCATATGGTATAAGCATAACATATTGACCTGAATGTAATTATGATAATTGCTTTGAGTAATAAAGCATTCATCAACAACGTAAAAATACAAATACTTAATACAGACGTTTTCTACAGAGTTTATAAATAACAAAACTGAACTTTCACATATCATGTTTTGTGACAACTATTAGTGCTCATTTCAAGAATTCATCAATAAATTCACACACTACTATTTCTAGGATGATTTAAAACTTGACCATTTGTTTCGGCGCTAAGGTCTGACCACAAGATGACTGGTGTTTTAGATTGTTTGGGTGCTCTGTCGTTGAAGCCTCGATTTTGAACAAGTCTATAGTTATCATCATCAGTTCTACTTAAAAAATTAGTAATACAACAAAGTGGCATTTTATAAATCCTCAGAATTTAGAAATTCAACTTACCTGTACTTTTTCGAGATCATTTATTTCTCCAACCAGTGTAGTTTGCTTTTTTGGTGCTGTTTTAGCATGTTCAGTTATCAAATCTGTTTAAAATAAGCAGGAGTTTTGTATGGATTAACTTCTTATACATGACAGACCCGTATTCAAAATTTAATCTGATTCTCTAGTTTGAAGAGGTTAATTAGTTTCTCTTCATCCAAGTTACATGTGATGAATTGTATCTAAAATTGTATTTTTGATACAATTATGCCGTGTCGTCTTTTTTCTTAAATTCATTATAAAAAACCCTATAAATGTATATCTGAAATTTGACATTATATTTCTATTTGTAAAACAGCATACTAATTTCTAGTAATTAAGTAATACACAAAGCACATTGATTTACACGAACAAATATATTCATAAAATCTTGCTAACAAATAAATGTTTTATACGTTATACAAAAGTAATAAATAGTCAATGTATAGCTTAAACATACTTGAATTGTATTGTTCGGCTTGTTTTGATTCAAATGGCCTGCATACTGCCTACAATAAAAATAAGTTAATAACATAATTCTCTTTTTAAAATGATTGAATAATTGAACTAATTCAGATTGCATTTTTATATTTAACATGGTTAGAAATAAATTAGAGATCATTCCATTGTTTTAACAAATAAATTGTACATACCTATTTTTATTCAATGTTTTTTTTTATTTTTTAATAGCTTTTCGTAGGATGTTTTTTGTCTTGAACGATTCGGAGGAAGGATAAATAAACAAAACCTGAAGAAATGGGTAAAGATTTATTTTTTTTGATTAAAAAAATAAATAAGAATTCCTATTCAAAGTCCATTGACATGTTAATATGGGTATTCTTTCCACCAGTTTTCTTGTGTTGAGGTATTATGTCTTAAAGAAAATAATAAAGTATACGGAAATATACATTGTTATAAAATACAAGCTATTTGCATATGGTATAAGCATAACATATTGACCTGAATGTAATTATGATAATTGCTTTGAGTAATAAAGCATTCATCAACAACGTAAAAATACAAATACTTAATACAGACGTTTTCTACAGAGTTTATAAATAACAAAACTGAACTATCACATATCATGTTTTGTGACAACTATTAGTGCTCATTTCAAGAATTCATCAATAAATTCACACACTACTATTTCTAGGATGATTTAAAGCTTGACCATTTGTTTCGGCGCTAAGGTCTGACCACAAGATGACTGCTGTTTTAGATTGTTTGGGTGCTCTGTCGTTGAAGCCTCGATTTTGAACAAGTCTATAGTTATCATCATCAGTTCTACTTAAAAAATTAGTAATACAACAAAGTGGCATTTTATAAATCCTCAGAATTTAGAAATTCAACTTACCTGTACTTTTTCGAGATCATTTATTTCTCCAACCAGTGTAGTTTGCATTTTTGGTGCTATTTTAGCATGTTCAGTTATGAAATCTGTTTAAAATAAGCCGGAGTTTTGTATGGATTAACTTCTTATACATGACAGACCCGTATTCAAAATTTAATCTGATTCTCTAGTTTGAAGAGGTTAATTAGTTTCTCTTCATCCAAGTTACATGTGATGAATTGTATCTAAAATTGTATTTTTGATACAATTATGCCGTGTCGTCTTTTTTCTTAAATTCATTATAAAAAACCCTATAAATGTATATCTGAAATTTGACATTATATTTCTATTTGTAAAACAGTATACTAATTTCTAGTAATTAAGTAATACACATAGCACATTGATTTACACGAACAAATATATTCATAAAATCTTGCTAAAAAATAAATGTTTTATACGTTATACAAAAGTAATAAATAGTCAATGTATAGCTTAAACATACTTGAAATGTATTGTTCGGCTAGTTTTAATTCAAATGGCCTGTCTACTGCCTACAATAAAAATAAGTTAATAACATAATTCTCTTTTTGAAATGATTGAATTATTGAACTAATTGAGATCGTATTGTTATATTCAAAATGGTTGGAAATAAATCAGAGATCGTTCCCTTGTTTAAATAAATAAGTTGTACATACCTATTTTTATTCAATGTATTTTTCATAGCCTTTCGTAGGATGCTTTTTGTGTTCAACGTTTCGGAGGAAGGTTAATGAAACAAAACCTCAAGAAATGTGTAAAGATTTATTTTAGTTGTTGTTAATAAAATGAATAAGAATTCCTATTAAAAGTCTATTGACATGTTGATATGGGTATTCTTTCCACCAGTTTTCTTGTGTTGAGGTATTATGTCGCGTAGAAATTAATAAAGTATACGGAAAGCGTAAGCGTAGATGAAAGGAACTAGTGTACAAATGAAGATTAATGTAGTGCTTAATCAAACCAAGGCAATACATTTCCTAAGTTGTAAGCGTCGGAATCTTTTTTTTGTCTGGATTATCGTTGATCATGAAAGCTAAAATCTAATATAAGAAAGATTGGGTAGTTTAGTTTACACGTGAAGATGTATAATGACACACAGGACCTAAAAACAATCAATTTGCCAAATATATCCAAGATCAACTTTGGCTAAAAAGCTGTTACCTTAGTTTTTTTTAATGATTTTCTAAATCGATGACAGATAATCTTAGGAATGTATTTTATAAACCACACTAGTTTTGAAGCACTGAGTACTAGATAAAGATTCCGTCTTGGGCTAATACAATTCTGGATTAACCAAAAAAACAGGACCTTGCAAAGCCTCGTTTTTGAAAACCAATGATGTTTAAACATCTAAAATGCGTACATATATTTGCCCAAAAAGGGGAAAATGTACCTGCCTCGGGCCTTCTATAATGTTATTCTTATATGCGTCAAATCGGAAAAAACAACTTTAGATACATTTGTTTTATTCTCTGTTTAGAGAAGTTTACAAACAAACCAAAATTTCTCTCGATACATGGTCTTTTTCAAAACAATATCTCCTTTTCATAAATAATTGATATTTGAAATGTTTTTTGTTTGTGATTGTCTGTTTTAAATTATTTATTCTCTTTCATTCTTCATTTTTTTGAGTCTTGAGATTATAAATTACCATAATGGTCAGTAGCAGTTTTTCTTTAAAGTTCTACGTTAGCCTCATTGTAGTATGTTGTCTAAAATTTTGATTGGCGCCATCATGATATATTGACCGTTATGAATATCTGTATTTCAGAAAATGATAGATATACATAACATGTCATAGCATATATACTTCGATTGAGGCATTACGAAATTTGATTTAGAACATTGCCGATAGCAACTTAAAAAGTAAAATCACAAAAATACTGAACTCCGAGGAAAATTCAAAACGGAAAGTCCCTAATCAAATGGAAAAATGCACCAGATGAACAACACGGGATTTGATCTTGTATAAGGAATACGACGGATGCAATATAAGTAGGACTGTTTAACTTAATAAACTTGAAAACAAAACTAGCTGTATAAGTCTTCTTCTTGCTTCGCAATTTATTTTAAAAAATCACATGTTGGCATTTTTATTTTTTATATATTGTAATGTTATCAATGAAGCTATAAGCATTCTCGATTGAACTGTTTCTCATTTTGTCATATGAGAACATGATATTGCTGGCTATATAGTATGTTGTTAAGGGTTGTTCAATATCTTAAATTTGCTAACGTCTGTTTAATTTGAACTCTGGTCTGTTCGTGAAATATACATTGTTATTCAACATGTTCAATACAAGGTATTCACATGTGTTATAAGCATAATATTTACCTAATTGTAATCCTATTTATTAATTGGAGTCATAAAGTATTTATCATCAACGTAAAAAAACAAATAGATAAGGTCTGGTAAGATGACTTCGATATTTTATATTGTTTGGATTGTCTATCGTTGAAGCTTCTATTTAGAACAATTCTGTAGTTATCATCTACAGTACTACTTCAAAGTTGAAACAACAAAAAAGTGCCGTTTGTTTTATAAATACTCATGAATTTTAAATTCAACTCACAGTTACTTTTTCTTGAATACATCGTTTTTCTTCCGGTATAGTTTGTTTTTCCGGTTTCAAAAAAGGATCTGTTTGAAATAATCGAAGTTTTTCATTAATTTAGTGCCAATGCATATAATTCCATATTCCGAAATGTAATTTGGTTGGCTGGTTAAAAGTGTTTCATCAATTTACCTCTGTGCAAGTTACATGTGATGAATTTTATCTAATATTATTATGCTGATACAATTATGTCATTTTTGTTTTGTTTGATCCAGAATGAAAAAAAAGGATCATACATATATATATATATATATATATATACAGTTTCAGGTGGGGTTCGTGTTGCTTAGTCTTTAATTTTCTATGTTTGTCTTGTAAACTACTATTTTTCTGTTTCTCTTTTTCTTTTTTAGCCATGGCGTTGTGAGTTTATTTTCGATCTATGAGTTTGAATGTCCCTCTGGTATCTTTTGTCCATCATATATATCTGAAGCTGAACATAACATTTACATAACAGCAAATAGTTGTCAAAACGTTTTTCTATTATTGACATACTATACAAAGAGCAATAATTTACATGACCATGTATAGTACTAGAACTTTTTTTTACAAATTAAGTGTTTTGTACGTTGTACACGGGAAATAATTCAGCTAACTTCTAACTTAAACATACTAAAGTAGTGTTTACGTCTCGGTGGGTTCTTCCATGCCTACAATTGAATCATAGTACAATTTTATTCTCTTATTGAATAACTTCTAATCGCCATTGTCAAATTCAGAGGAAGTAATGATAAATAAATAATATGATTGTACATGCTTATTCTAATTCAATGTTTTCTATTTTTATTAGCTTTTTGCAGGATTATGTTTGGCTTTGAGAGTTTCGGAAATAGGAAAATTAAAAAAAAAAACGCTTGCAATTTGTAAAGATTTATTTTTACGAAACAAAAACATAAGAATACTTTTATTATCCTTTGACACCTTCGTGTATTTATAATTCTTGCTTCTTCGTTCGATTTTTGTGTTTGAATTATTCTTCTTGTAGATAATGATACAGGCTACAGGAAATACATATTGTTTAAATGATGATTCACCTAAATCAAGCCAAGTTAATCAATTTCCTAGATTTTAAGCGTCCGTAGTGCTTTTTCTGAATTTTTTTTCATTACAAACGCTTAAATCAAAATATTGGAAAAATGGGATAGGTTACTAAAACACGCGAAAAGCTAAAATGACAAATGGGACATGTAAACCATAGCTAAATATATGTATTGATAGCTGTATCCTTAGTTTCTTATTGATTTCTAAATTGATGACTGACGATATTAAGTAGATATGTTTTAAATCATGTCAGTACTGTCGCATTGACTATTTAGCTAATGATTTCCTCGGCAACTAATAGTCCACCGGCAGAGATATAGACCCAGTTCAATAAAATAAAGAAAAATTACACTTCATAAATATTTTGCGTTAGAATTGCTTTTTTATGGGATATATAATAATCAAGTCCGTTATTTTTTAGAACCAATGATGTATAAAAACCTTAACTGTGTACATATATTTGACTAATTAGGAGAATAATAGCGAATTGGCGGGTGCTACAAGTAGGAACATTTAACTAAATAAACTTGAAAAAAAATCTAAGAAAATTAGTTTTCTTCTCGCTTCCTCGTTTGAATTGTTTTACATTGTGTCATATGTGGACCTTTCATAGTTGACAATATGGAATGTTGAAAGCTATACGGTTGACTTCAATTACTTAAGTAGAATTCTGGCATTTTCATTTTCATTGATGTACATTGTTATATAAAACATGGTACTTCATATGGTACAAACATAACGTTAACATAAATGTACTTTTTGACATGTGAATTACTTTAAGTCATAAAGCATTTGTCATCAATGTCAAATATTCGAGAGAAAAAAAAATTATACAGGGTTCATAAAGCACAAAACTGATGTTTGTCATAGCATGTTTTGTGAAAAAAATATTTGAGCTAAATTCAAGACAAACACATATATTATTCTTTTAGTCTTTGATAGAAACTTTTGATAAAATTAGTAAATTTATTCACACATTACTTTATCGATGGTGATTTAGAGTTTGACCATTTTTAGACACGAAGCTTTTGGTCCGAATATAGCGTTTGATGTTTTATGTTATCTTTCTATCTAATGTAGCGTCTAAGATAACAACCGAAAGCAGATATTGCTAAATGTCATACCTTTATCAAAATAAACGCATAACATGTGTCAAACTTGGATTTGCTGGTATTTTTTTTATACCGAAAAGAATTGTAGAATTAAATTGCCAAAACGGTTAAAGTGGTCAGCTTTCATTTATTGAGAATAATTTCTGCAAGCAGTTACCAGATACATAAAAAAACTTGTAACTTACTTCATCGGAAAGCGGAATCTGCGGAGTCGGACTTTTAGGTCGATCAACAGAATAACCTGAAATAAAGAGAAAGAGTTATACTCAATGATTTGTAAACATTTAAGGTTTAACATTAAACATTACCCACAATGGTTGAAAGAGTATGAATGGTCATATTCCTTATTTATTCTTCTACACGCGGGTTTTTTTTTTGTATTTCTAATCGGATATTGTATTGTGTCTTATCGTTTGTAATTGTGATTCTGTCCTTTAGTTTCTATGTAAAAGTAAAGACAATTATTCGCCCAGATCATTTGTATGATTATAGGTTAAAACAACTATGTGCACAGTATTTATTTGTTTTACGCAGTTTGATTTGGAAGAAAGGCCGACATAGTTAGTTGCACTTTTTCTAACACAATTGTATATTTTTATTCTTGTAATTGTTATACAATACATCAAATTGCATAATTAGAAACCTAATATTGATTTATATCCAATTTTTAGAAATTTATCTGTGATGTTACTTTTTGTGGTGTTGATCCATTCGTGTTACAGACACACATTTCGTAATTCTATTAAGCTGTTTGTGTGTAATGACATAAATTAATTTAGTTATTCGTTGATATTCTGTGGTTAACATGTCGAATGTACTACTATATTATTTATTTAATATGTATTTCTCTGTTTTTGATGTTTATGCATTTATTTGTACTCTGTTCCCGTCATTTAATGATGTCATTTTAGTGGTATATTTAACATTGCCATATACGGCGGAGGTTTGGATAGCCACAAAACAGGTTCAACCCACCATGTTTTCTTTAAAATGTTCTGTACCAAGTCAAGAATATGGCAGCTTTTGTCTAGTAATTCGTTTCTATGAATGTTGCATTGTTGTTTGTTTTTTGTTGCACTTCTGTGTTCTGTTATTTCGTTGTTTTCCTGTTATAGATGATGTGTTTCCCTCGGTTTTAGTTTGTAAATGATTTGTTTCTCTCAATCGATTTATGACTTTTGAACAGCGGTATACTACTGTTGCCTTATTTTATAATCTATAAAAAGAATGAAAACGTTATAAAGGAAATTTTAGAATGCTCTATCCTACAAGAAACTGATATCGTCATGCTATAATGATTCATAAAAGGTGCTGTGAAATGTTTTTTCCTGTGTAGTAGACAAGTATTAATGATAAAACAGAGTGTCAAACATACCATTCTCGAATCTTGAAATATTCCCCCTGTCAATTGCCTGTAAAAGAATCAGTGTAAACGATAAACGTGCATTTTGTAAATCTCGATCAACATTTTGAAAATGAACATGACTGCACATCCTGAAATGCTGACCCTGACAGACGTTTAATGTCTGATTTTAATACTGATGGTCTTTGTTGTCCAGATTGTAATTTAAATATTCAAAATACCTTACATTATCAATGGTTCTCGGTTATGAGTTCAAAGTCATTCAAGCTCATCAGAAGATAACGTTTACTTTTCAAAAATAAACATACATATAGCAAAATCATAATTGGATTTCACGCATAAGCAGATCTCATCATGAAACTGTTATCCATTCAACCATTAACACGAGATTATTTAGATACAATAATTTAGATATATACAATGCCGCAAATGTTTTTTATATTTCGCAGATAAGTATGCATTTTCATTGTGGTATAATTCACTTTTACACAGTTTACTGAATTATTCATAAGTTTTATCTTTGTAAAGGCTATTTACTTTTAACTATTAGGGATTGAGAATTGTTTATGTGATGCCAATTTTTTTATGTTAGTTTGTGACTAAAAATGAACTAAAAATTTCAAAATACACGAAAAATCTAATTTCCAGACCTTCTATTTAAGATTGTTTTAAATCACGAAATAAATATTCAATCAAATACAGTAACTACTGAAATCGACAATATATACGTGATACGATGTGTCGGTGGCTCAACTCACTTGCGACATGTGTTTGCGGTCTAAGATTTTTCGATTCCATTAAAGTCTCATCTGTATTTTACTTTTTGTGCCATATTCCTTAGTGTGCATTTCAATTTGTGTGGATTTGAAAGGAAAATAAAACACACTTACCATTTCATACTTTGTTTTTTAAAAAAGATTTTCTTCATTGTGTTACCTTCAGTTGTCACTTCGTAACTGATTAACGATATTAATCCACGACTAAATGTTACAAATACAACTAAATGAATGCACAGGATTTCAGAAATATAATTGTTATACTCTATGACGTTGCAAATTAAAATAAGATTTCAGTACGATATCGGGTAAGGAATCAATTTACCTGGAAAAGTAATAAGTGAAAGATTGTGCATTTGGACCATTTTAAATAACAGCAAAGCTCATTAACAATACGAAAAAATTACCATACCAGCCCTGTTTTCGAGTATTGATTAGCTGTTTCATTGACTTCTACCGAAGTAAAATGCAATAACATTACACCGTTGAAAACAAATTTAGGTGGTCAAAATTTCATCAATTTAAATCATGCCATTCATGATAAGCGTCTAATAGTATGATTCTCTCAGATGTTTGCAGTTAGCACTTACTATCTTTAATCGATATCACGTTGTTGATACTATCTTTAATAAAATTGTGACTGTTATTGAACTATGACAAAATATTCGAAATTAAAAGTGCCTGAATAAAATACAAGCAATTGATTTCATCAAAAATGATCTACAATCAAACATTAATATTCGTTGGATACCAATTTTTGTGGATTTCGTGGGAACATGGAAACCACGAATTTAAATGATAAACGAATTGAAAATTGTCTAAACGAAACTTTAACAGACTTTGTTTAAACTAGCAAATTTAATATTCACGAATACTGATACATTTGTAACAAAGAAAATAAATGAATCCACAGTAGTCTGATTTGGAAAAGACACATGGTTGGGTTCAACAACAAGTTTTACGTTAAACAAATCTGCACATTCTAAATAAAACCTACAATGTATCGCATATACAGTTCATCTTTTAAAAATACATACTTGAACAAAAATAAATGGCATATCAATCGGAAATCAAGCTCAACATGTCCGTTTTACTTCACGTGAAAACGCTGAATGATAGAAACATACGGCTCAAAAAAGCAAACACAATTGATACTTACACTTCTGATAGGTTTAAGGAAGTTTCGCCATTTGTTATTCTTTGTTGACATACTTGTTTGTTTAAACTACATAACTATATGAAAACAAAACAAACAGACATGATAGGTAAACATGTCAATTTGGGGTACAGCAGTCCCAATTGTGTTTTAATCTTAATCTCGATGAAAACAAACAATTATGTCTGCAAAGAAAAACATATGACATATAAACAAATCACATTAGCAGTATTATTTGTGAAGTCGATACGGAATATTTTCAACAAGCCCTTTTTCTTTTAGAAAATGACAAAACGTACTTTGGGATAACCCTGGTTCGTCAACTTTCTGCTCAGAATCAGTAGTTTAACAACTTAAAGGGGCACTAGCTAAGAGATATATAAAAAATATAAAGTATATTTTTTTTTTGGTTCAATCATTTATGAAAGTGAAAAAGTGAAACAATGTGTCGCTTTTAGCAGCTACTATGGTTCAATATTGTCAAATTGAGCTAAGAAACATTGATGAAGAAATTTCACTTGCAAGTGAATAATTTGACTTCATTGAATCCGTATTCATGTTTACGTCAATGTAACCCCTTAGCAAGATATGGAAAACGCATGAATTGTGTGTGTTTGGTTAACTAAAGAAAAAGAATGTCAACATTAAAGATGAAACAAAATTCGAAGGTCTTAGGAGGTCAACTCAGTTAATAATATGGCGTCAAGATTAAAATACACACAAAACGAAGCTATATATTAGCGAGCCCATGTCCTGTAAATTGTTTATTCTAGACTTTTTATAATTTTGATTAATATTTGACATGATTATAAATCAAATATGAGAATTATGAGTCAAATTGCTGAACATGCATTTGACAGCTAGTGCCCCTTTAAACCACTAGGCCACCCTGACTTGTTTGATGTTGTTTACCTGTTAAAAAAATTAGAATGGATTAAAAGCGATTGTTCTATTTCATTGAAAATCTAAGGAGCATAACGATTTTCATCCCTTTTCATTTATTGGGCACACGTTCCTTGTGTCAATCAACTATTGTACATTTTGGTGAGAGGTTTTTCCGGGATGATTAGATTATAAGGTTTTTTGTTAGGGAATCATTTTTTAACATCCGGTTACTATCAGTACTTGTTTTGATATATAAATGAGTTACCGTTTTCTTCTTTTGTTCTATCTGCTCTTCGCCTACACCTTCATTCAATGAACGAGCAGCTACATTTGTTGTATCAGAATATTCATCTGAATGTGTATCGTCTTCATCTGAGCTATAAGATTCTTGGTTCGAGATATAAACTAAAAGTGACAGATAAAAAAATATATCTGTGTTCCAGTTATAACTACTTTTGAAGACATTTGTTAGCACATGAAGCATGTCCTTTTTAATACAAAGCTTTTAATACGAATATTAAGAACATGTAAATATCAGGCTCGTGCACTTCTTACTGTATTTTAAAAAGTAGAGTTATGTTGTGATGACACTATTGTTTCAGGTAAGGGTGAATGTTGGTACACCCGCTGCATTTGTTTGTATCTGTCATAAGTCAGGAATCTAATGTTCAGCTGAATCTGAACGAGGACAAAACGGAACTGATGCTATTTGCTCCGAAAAACCGAGTGAAAGATTTGAAGGATTCCAATCTCACCATTAAAGGAAACATCATTACAAGTTCTGAGTGTATTAAAAATTTGGGTGTTCATTTTGATAAGACTCTGTCAATGCACCAACAAGTCAGTTCAGTTTCGAGATCATGTTTTTATCAAATACGAAATATAGGCCGCATACGTCCGTACATCAACGAGGATGCATGTAAAACTCTGGTCAATTCGTTAATCATTTCTAGATTGGATTATGGCAACGCTTTACTCTATGGACTACCAGCTTACATGATTCAGAGACTACAAAGGGTTCAGAACACTGCTGCGCGAGTGGTTACAAGAAAAAAGAAATATGAACACATTACTTCGACACTTGAGTCTCTTCACTGGCTGCCTGTGCAATACAGGGTGCAATACAAAATATTATTATATGTATTCAAGTCCGTGAAACATGAAGCGCCATTATATTTTAGTGAACTTGTAAATTTATACAGGCCATCAAGATCATTAAGGTCTGAAAACAACTTAACACTCGTAACTCCTATTGTGCGAACCAAAACCTACGGCAATAGAAGATTTGATCAAGCAGCGGCCATCCTTTGGAATGCATTACCAAAAAAACTTCAAAATGCAAAGTCGGTGCCTGTATTCAAAAAGAACTTAAAAACTCACTTTTTTCGACAAGCATTTTTAATCCCTTAATTTCGTTTCTGTGATACATTGTGCCATAGACGTTAGCCTGCTTTTGATTTATCGAACCTTTCTTTTAACTGGAGATATGTTTCATTTATAATATGTACATTGTATGTTTTTAGTAGCACACATATTTTTCATTTCAGTAATTATATTTTTACATGGTAATATTCCTTTTTCATCTTTTGAATACGTTTTCAAATTTTTAACTTATATTTGATAATTTTTAATAGCAATCTTATTTTAGACTTTTTTGGCTATCGATTTTACCAACTTTATTCAGTATAATCTTATTTTGATTCATTGATATATATATTCCACTTTTTTGTAAAAATTTCCACATTATTAATCCTTTTATCTAGAAAAGTTTTAACACTTAAATATTTATTTTGTGTGTTCATGTTTTATATTTTTATCACTGTCTGTGTGTATATTTCGTTTAACATGTGATGTAAAGCGCTTTGAGTAATATTGTTTTAGATTTAGCGCTATAGAAAAATTGTAATAATAATAATAATTCAGATGATTTGATTTGATTTTTTGGGGGGCTATTTCGTGGCGACCCTTTTTGTTTTGGGGTGAGGAAGCCGGAGTGCCCGGGGAAAACCACTGACCTTCGATAGGAAAACTGACTGTCCTAGTCAAATAAGATTGAAATCGAGTGATCCCGCAGCGGGGTTCGAACTCACAAACTCAGTGTTGACTGGCTAGTGATTACAGTAGTAACTACTTAGATCACTCGGCCACTGAGGCCCCCTCCCTGATGTTCAGTGGTTGTCGTTTTATGATGTGGTTCAAACGTGGTTCTCGATTTTTGTTTTTTTGTTTAGACTAGACCATTGGTTTATTCTGTTTGAATGGTTTTACACTGGCCATTTTGGGCCTCTTTATAGCATGGATGTTAAGTGTGAACCAAAGCTCCATGTTGAAGATCGTATTTTGACCTTTAATGGTTTTATGACTTCTATAAATTGAAACTTGAATGAATAATTGGCTCATTGGCACTCATACCACATCTTCTTATAACTACTAACACATTATTTCATTGACGTATAAAATGTATTGTATATACATCAAAAAAACCTTTCTGGCATGCGAAATATATATAATTTAAATTGCATCCAATTTACTTGTGTTTAACCATGTAAACGATAATCATGTAGTATTCGTATTCGAGATCAATTGCAACATACTTTGCCGGCGGGAACGATATTTTTTTCTTGTGAAAGGTGAATGGTATTTTCTGTGTCTTGATATCGGTGTATCTTGTCTAAATTCTTCCATAGCTACAGGTTATGTGTTACCTGTAAATGAACGAAACTTTAGAAAGTAAGTAAGTTTTTAGTTAATTATAGTGACGTGTGAACATGTATCAATAAATATAACACAATTACGAAGTTTGTATAGTCAATGTTACACCCGGCCCATATGACCTTTACGTCACCTATTTGACATAAAAATTAATTTTATACAATATCACGGAATAAATGTTAATATGATACTTCTCATTCTATTCAAAATTAAAAGAAATGTTCAAAGAATTAGATTAAATATGCAAATATATCAAATGTTATACAGCAACTGATGTCTTATATGAAATGCACGAACTATATATTTTGCTAATTTTCTTATGTGGAAAGTCATTATAAAGTTCAATTTTTCAGCATGATTAAATCTGTGAGTATACATTTTTTTTTCATCATTATTAGAATAAAACAAAAGTCCGCATCTTGAAATGTTCCGTCTGACTCACATATATTGATTGAATAGTATCTTGGAAATAAAATCGTGTTTCGAACAATTTAACTATTATAAACAGAAAATGATCATATCAATTATATGTCAAAGTGTTTACTATTGGGTGAGTGATATACATTTACTTGGAGACAAAAGTTCTTTGAAATTGAAATCGATTCATAGCTTTTAAAAGCTGTTTAACGATATAACGCTTTTTGATAGGAACTTTTCTGCGATAAACGCGATTAGTCATCGTCTGACTCATCAAAGGCACTTTAACAGAATAAGTTCATTGGAAAAAAAATTAAATATGAAGTTGAAGAGCACGGCATTAAACATAATAAGTAAAATACAGTAGCATGGTTATGGTCATCAATGCTTGGATGTAGATTGACCTTAGTGTTACCAAAAAATCTGAATTTCATATTTAGACAAATAACAGAAAACGATCGTATTAAAGATATTACTTGGCTGGTGATACATTCATTGATCATAATTGGTTATGCTAGACGAGGGTTGCTTGTCGTTTGTTCCTTTTAATAATTTTCCAGTGCACAATGAACATATTTTAGGCTTATTAGTTTGAATATCACTTTGGTAACTGTCGCCTCTTTTTTTTGTATTACCAGTTCAAAAAAAAACAAATGATTATTTTCCTTTCGATTCACAAATGTGTTCTTTGTTGAGCTACGTCATTGAAAATTACATTCCGTTATCCTTGAACGTGATCAAATTGATTTATAAATAAGAAGATATGGTATAAAAGTAAATTAGTCATTTTCAATTATCTATTAGAGTTCAAAGGGGATAATATAACCAATCATAGATCACCGTACTGCTTTCAACACTGATATAAGCCACTGCCGTACAGCTCACTTTTGGAATCAGTTTTTATTGGTGGATAAAATTAAGATCTGAGTTGAACGCAAATTCCAGGAGCGTAGATCGAACTCACAATACAAGGAGATATGGTATGAGTGCCAATGAGACAACTCTCTATCCAAGTCATAATTTATAAACGAAAAACTATTATAAATCAAAGTACGGACTTCAACACGGAGCCTTTGCTCACACCCATAAGTAAGCTATAAAGGGTCCCGAAAATGACTAGTTTAAAACCATTCAAATGGGAAAAATCAACTGTCTAATCTATATAAAATTCGAGAAACACTTATAAACAACATTAACAAATGACAACTACTGAACATCAGGTTCCTGACTTAGGATAGGTGCAAACAAATGCAGCGGGTTTAAACGTTTTGATAGGTACAAACCTGCATCCTTACCCGGTCCAATAGTGTAACATCACAACATAGAGTGACTCACTATAATATATCAATTGAAATGGCTTAACTCAATCAAAAGACGTATAAACACAAATGAACATACACTGAACGAATAATGTTTATCTCTGATACAATGTAAATACAAAATCAATAAAAATAAAGGGGTGAATAAATAAAAGCAACAGTAGTATACAGCTGTGAAATGTTAAATAATTACCGAAAGTAAACCATAACCTTGAACAAATAACCTTGCCGCCAAATAGAATATTATACACTTGTAAAAGAAAATAATTTTGTTGTAAGGTATACAGTATAAATGAAGAACGGAAATATTTTTTAGAAAATAAATTATTTGTGGTTCATAGTACGATAAACAGAAGTGGAAATTTAAAGTCATACCAAACACTTATGTAAAAATTACAATTGTATCAACAGGTCAAATTTAACATGAATGTACGATTTGAGAGTACTCGCAGTTATTGAAAGCTAGTAAAAAGCCAAAACAATTAATAATTAAAAAAATCATGCATTAAAGACTAAAATCCACTAAAACTCTTTCAGGGATTTAGTATTTTAACGTAAAGGACAGTCAAATAAGACGTGACTTGTACAATGCCAGAAATAAACGTATCGACAGGCTGTAAGATTAACCTCAGTACTGACAGGCTACTAACCTCTGTAAGTAAAATACTATTACAACTCTGTCACCGAAACTTCTGTTGAAGTAGACAATACACGCTTCAAATACTCTCTGGGAGGATTGGTTTTTTTTCCGTCTTGGTATTGTTTAACTGAAATCGTTTTATATGAATTTACATTTATTGAATGTGCTTACTCACAATATTCATGAATAATAAATGTTAGTATTACATGTAAAATGTAAATATATAACTGAGTTTTTTTTAGAATCAAAGATAATCAATTGTATCGGTGAACACTAAATAAAAGTACATACTTTCGTGGAATGTAAAGTTTATTAATGGACAATCAACATAACCAAGTAAAGTTACTGTTTAATTCATTCACCATTTTTATTCTCAGATAGATTTTTAGTATGGCGATCGTATCTGATACACATCAGTTGTAGAGGACCGTGTGTTAGAAAAGTCAATGAAATAATCACTACACTACAATTACAGATATGTCACACATGAATAAAAATGTACGCAAATATTAAGTAGGATGTTCCTCCATAGATATTGATAAACAATCACAGAAAGGTTGTTTGTACTCAAATGACCGCATTTATCAAAATAAATATGATTGTTTACTACAGTTGCCTTTATTCATTACTCAAACAAAAATGCAAAAGTCGCATTATATAATGATTCATGACGAAACTATTTAAAAGGTAATGTAATGTGAACGTCACTCAGACACAGTAAAGCGGGTCAACTATAATACGCTTCGCTAGTCTTCAATTTAAGGCATACACAAATTCTCGTGGTTTTATTTTGCTGGATTCACAAAAAAAATCATTTAGTTTTTTAGATAAAAAGTGATTTATAAACGGGTCAAATTGAATTTTCATTACTAAAACTATGACACTTACCTTTAAGTGTGTGATATAGCTCTTTATAAATAACACATCTTAAAACGTTTTATTCATTAGAAATTGATTTTGATAAACATGATGAAGCACGCATTATGAGAACAATAATTACACATCAATAATTCAGTAAACATTTGTAGGATTAAAAAACCAATAGCTAGGTATTGTCACTGTTGAGTAGTCAGCTGTACGAATATGACATAAACTTTAAAGGTTTCTCCGTTACGTGTTACCATCAAAATTCATATAATATTGTATTAAAATTGATTTTTGAAGTAGGTTTTGTTTTATTTTCTATTCTATTGCATTATTCGCATATTTACTGATTTTAGCAAGTCAACATGGCGGCTCCTTAGTTACGAAATGCAAACTTTGGACACTAGCTCACGAGAAAAAAAACATGTAAATTAAAAATTGCAAATGTTAGGTTTGAGAATTGAAAGAATTTAACAGATTTTTTTCTAGCGCTTATTCACGAAATAATTCATGCAAGCTACAGATTTTATTAGAATGGTTGAGCTATATCTAACAGGGAGTAAAAAAGAACAGCCACACACACATCATACACACCCTCGCTTCAGTTTTTAAATGACCGTATTTGTCCTATTAATAAAGGACAACGAAAAATATGTCTCAAAAAAACGTATCAGTCGAAATCAACGAATTAAACATCGTTTGAATTATACCTATAATTTTTCCCTTGGTTTTGATTTGTAACCCCGATTTGTTGTCTCTCAATCGATTCATGACTCTTGAACACCGGTATACTACTGTTGCCTCTATTTAATGATTTATATATACTAGTATTTAAAAACAACGTATTAATTTCTTCGGAAGATTATGTTTGGTGTCTGTTTTTCAATACTTTAAACTTTTTATTGAAAATATTCTCTGTATTAATTGAAGTATAGTAATCAGATCAGTCGGTTTCGTGTCACAACCGGAATATGGCAAATCAAGACTATGTTATGGATTTGCATGACGTTTTTTTACCTTAAACCAGCCTCGGTGTGAAAGACAACAAAATGTATCAATGTAAAAAATTATAGATTAGCAGAAACAACTGCAATGATTCCTGTTATATGCCTGTTCCAAGACAGGATGGAACCGGTATTTGAGTGGTTGTCGTTGTTTCAAGTCTGTCAATGTGCTTTGGCAAATTGTTTAGTTATAAATTATACCGTTATTTTTTCTCAAATGAATTGGTTCAATATTTTTTTTCCCTTGCCTTTTATAGCCGACAATACGGTATTGATTTTTTTATTGTCGAAGACCGAGCAATTGCCATTAACTGCTTACTTTTGCATCTCTTTATCTTAATATACAAGTATTACATGAAATTTACAGTATCAATGTTCCATGCAAATGAGGTAAGGTCAGATAAACTCGGTCACAAAGACATGTACACTTTGCTACCACCTCATAGACAAAATATAATTGACCCACTACTTACAGTATTTGAGATAATGACTTGATATTTAAAACTTTACCTTGTTCACTGATCAATGAAATGAGGTCGAGGTCAGGTGAACCATGCATGATCGACATATATACCTTGCAAGGCTTCTACATACTAGTAACTAAATATAGTTATCCTAGAACTCATGACAAAAAAGATGCGAAGGATACCAAAGGGACATTCAAACTCACAATTGAGAAATTCACATTACGTCAAAAAGCTATACAGTTTTTTAACAGTCACCAACTATGAAAATGAGGTGAAGGAAAATAATTTTATGACAGACGGGAAATTCGTACCACAATGGATCTATATACAAAGTATTATAATCCGATTCCTCTACCCTCTAATATAAAAATATACAAATAGATTACGGTGTTGCCGCCTCACTATCAGTATATATGCTGTATGCCTCGATTTCTGCGACTCAAAGATTCAATTAAAACAGAACAATTGGAATTGGCTCTTTAACCTAAACATGGTCGGTGGGCTTTCGACACAGAAGACAATGAAACGTAATAGCTACTGCTAGTTTAGGCAATTTGTTTTATGTTGCCACAATCTGATACAATTATGATATATATCAACTCTCGTACTCGTATATATAAGCTGATATGCGGATAACGTAATCAGAGATTTATATTGTAGATTGATGTTGTTACAACCATCTTTTTGTAGGTAAACTTGTAGGCCAATGTATGCTCAATAAGGCATATAAGTGTGTAACATGGAGTGTTTATTCTGTTTCTTAATGTCATTTTGTTTTCATAACTTTTACGGACAGCCCTTCCCCTTTTCGCTGTTTGCAGTCTTTCTTATTTCTATAGAGCAAAGATATACTCAGACCTGCTAATTCAATCCATTATACGTTAATATTACACCTGTTTTGGAACCAAGTACAGTTGTATGTGCTTCCACACTCACCAAAAGATAACTGTTTTTTTTCCTAAAAAATCATTACCAACACCTTCTTTGAAAAGATGGACAAATTACATTATGGAAAGGGAACTTCTGAATGTTAATAACTAAAAAAACATCTCGAGAGATCACTTATTTCGAATCTATGAGAAAATCCGAATTTTGACATTTAAAAAGGTGAAGGTCACTGTTTTTAACAAGTGAATGAAAGTTTCAAATGTGCACTTTATAAGTACAGATGTCAATCTCGAACCATATTTGGCAACATTAATATCAAATTAGTCCCAAATATAGAAACTATAGTTATAGTCCTTTGAAATATTCGAATTTATTTTGCTATAAACGCGTATATGGAGCGACCAGCTGTCTAAACTTGACTCTGCGTTTTCCTTGAAATTTTAGCTTTGACCTTTGACCCCAATTTAAGAAAATCGTGACCACTGTAGACAACGACGACATCAATATTTCGATGCGGCATGTTCTCCTCTTTACAATGATGTCAAATACAGCCGTGTGTAATTCTGTTAACCTAAATCGATAAAATTTGTTGACTGGGCACCCTACTAAAATGACATATTTTAAAGTGTGACAAAATCGTGTATTTAATCTCACTTTTTACCCTACCGGAGCACCATTCCTTGTTGTCTGTCCTTGAGTTATATACTAAGGGAAAGACCGTCCTCTTTGATTGCATATCTGCATGTGGTCAAGAATAAAGTCTTCGTTTACATTTTATCCTTACTTTGTTCTTCTCGTAAGTTTCTACATTTACCGTAATTTTATAATACGGATACTGTAAATTCAGAAATTATTGCGTGCATTTATTATTGCGATTTTGTCATTTTAGACTTAAATGCGATTTTAATTTTTACGATTTTGAGAAAAATCTTGTTTAGTTCGTATAAAATATTTCAAAATGCGAGTTTAAATTATTGCGTTTACAACTCTGTCGCATTTGTCGCAATAATAAAAACCTCGCAATAATTTCTGAATTTACAGTAGTCTGTCTGCAGACCCGGGTTTATTCAGAAAATTCCTAGCATCATCGTTGGCAAAAGATACCAGAGGGACAGTCAAACTCATTGATCGAAAATAAACTGACAACGCACTTCAGCGTCAAACCAACCGATCTCAGAGTGACCGTAGGGGTTCGGAGTACCATTGCGGTGTAGAGTCCTACATATATATCGCAACTCGTTTGCTATGCTCGTGTCTGAGTGGAAGTTTTAGATTTTAATATAATAATCTATTTATTACTCGTAAATTATTATGTCGGGGATTTCGTTACCACAAATTATTTAAAACCTTTACTATATTGTACATCCAAAATTTTACAGTGATGTTGTAAACCGAGCCCGGACATCTTTGAAAATTGTTTTTATTGGTATAAATATTGATTTTGTTTTTAGTAAATTAAAATCATACTGAATGTTATGATATTGGTATCTATGATAATTATAAAAAAGAAGATGTGGTATGATTGCCAATGAGACAACTCTCCACAAGAGACCAAATGACACAGAAATTAACAACTATAGGTCACAGTACGGCCTTCAACAATGAGCAAAGCCCATACCGCACAGTCAGCTATAATAGGCCTCGAAATGACAATTTAAAACAAATCAAACGAGAAAAGTAACGGCCTAATTTATGTACAAAAAATGAACGAAAAACAAATATATAACAAATTAATAAACGTTTATTTACAAACAAAGGGTCTATGCAACTGCTATTGGGACTTTTTATTCCCCGAGGGTATTGAAACAAATCCGGGTAACTGTCTATTGGACCTTAACAGGACTTTGTTACTACTAGACAGCAACCCAACTTTTCCTTTAGTCAAAATCTAGGGTAGGGTTTTGCCTAATTATTTAAATTACTTAAAACATAAGCGGCAGATTATACTTAATTGGCGTCGCAATTAGAAATGTCAAAGAATAAATTCAGACGGACTAAATTAAATTTTAACTCCTCTAATGCATGTCTTCGTTGTCTTATGCCATTAAGGATACAGGTGCGAAAACACACTTTTAAAACTTTTATAAATAAAATAGTTTCGTAAGGCTATTTTCTGATAATGCCATTTGACAAGTTTCGCCGTCTTTTACATATTCCGGATTGGTGGATAATTGATGTTTCACAGCAGTCATTATTTCATCAATGTGATGTTTTGAGTGCATTTTCTTTGCCATGTCTAGGAACGCATGTATTAACCAGGATCCGTTCCATGACTTTGACCCAGTTGTTCGGTAACAAAGGTTTCCTATATTAAAGAAATGAAAAAAAATATTTTAATGTGTAAACTTGATAATAGAATAGACAAGTTAGTGAACTATTGCAGTTATCAATAAAAAAAAGACTGAGAAGGTAGGTAATTAAAACTGAAGAAAATCTGACAACGCCATGACGTAAACAGAACGAAGACATATAGACAGTCTTCAACACATTACATTAAAAACTAGACTAAGAAACACAAACTCCTGTATAAGCTGAGGGTGTCCTCACTCACACCAGAAATGAACAGAAACACTGCTCCAACTGTCAAGTTCAAATGTCTTGATAATTGTCGTTCGGTGATGTTCCAATCGATAATAACAAGACTGAAAGGTGATAATGACATTTGTGTGATGTGTTTGATCTTTTGACTTTGCCATTTCATAAAAGAGGGGCGAAAGATACCAGAGGGACAGTCAAACTCATAGATAGAAAATAAACTGACAAGCCATGGTTAAAAAATAAAAAGACAAACAGACAAATAACAGTACATAAGACACAACATAGAAAACTATAGACTAATCAACACGAACCCCACCAAATACTGGGGGTGATCTCAGGTGCTCTGGATATGTAAGCAGATCCTGCTCCACATATGGCACCCGTCGTGTTGCTCATGTTATTACAAATCCGGTGAATAGTCCAATTCTGTAGGTCACATTCGTGGTGAGAAGGGAATTGGATTGTAGTTATGACATAAGGAACATATCCAATATGATTTCAACTTAACCATTTGGAACTCTTGGTTTAATAGCTTCCTTGTGAGCAGCAACCCTCTATCAAGGAAATCATACTAGGAAATAAAAGCCCGGGAATATCGTATCAATTGGGAGATGTATACTCCGTATGCATGCGCTGCTGGAATGTTGCTACATAGAAATTGAAAGTTCACAATTGGGAAGCTGATGACGTCCCGTTTTGAATTTTCCTTAGAGTTCAGGTTTTTTTTATGTTTTGGAACATATCGGTGAATATCTTTTCCGAAATCTAACTCCCTTTTTTGTTCATATCTATGGTATAAGTTGACGATATTTAAACTATCGACACTTCAGTTTTATGCTTTTGCAAAATATCATTCCAAGCAGTGAGATTACATCAATTTAATGACAATTTGTTCAGTTTACAATTTATTTTGCACTGATACTGTAAATGAAATGTGTATTTAACAAAAACTATTGCTATCTTTTTACATATGCAGTTCGGTTGGGTGAAATGTTTTTAATGTATTTTTGCTTTATTTGGTGATGTGTCATGTATATATTAGAGTAGTATTCATTAAAAAAAGTGTAACAAAAATACCGAGCTCCAAGGCAACTTTAAAAAGGAGAAGTTCCTTATCAAATGGCAAAGTAGGAAGTCATTTAAAAACTGACAGAAGTAAACGTTATCAATCAGCTGATCAATTTAATAACAAGTGCAATATTTGTGAATTGATTCAAAGATTTTCCGACGATTATATATAGTTATATAGCCAAAATATTGTAATCAACCAAAACATACATTATAGGTTAATGTGACAATAATTGGGACACAGCAACCAAAACAATGCACATACACAATCTTCACATACGACACAACTGTCTAAAAAATTGAAACAAACTTTCACATTATTCATAAATAATCTAAGAAAGACGCAAAAAAAAAATTAGAAGCAGAAGATGGTAGATTGCAATGTCGTCAATAAAAAATGTTTTTGCTTTAAAGCATATTCTGTATGTAGTAAAAGTTTCTCTCGATAATGTTAAAATTGGGTAAATATTTACATAAGGGTAAACAAAATAGAAACAACATATTAAAAATACTCGGTGTCCAATCGTATTTCAAGACCCACTGTAAAAAAATTGCCCCCAGGTAAAAAGTCAAAAAATAATAAATTTACATAATGTAAGGAAGTAAAAATATTCCATTTTATTTCTACAACCTACCACCAATTTGCCGTCAATCTTATCAGATGTTCTCGAAACGTAAAAATGATGCATCACAAGCTTGTTAAAGTGAGATTCTAAATAAAAGTGGAACTGATATATATATAGAAAAATACACAATAAGTTATGGACATGAAAAATAGTTTTGCTCCTTTAAATTAGGACATTTGAAATCAGAGGTTCATCCCTATTCATATTACAATGACACCAATTATAAATTTTAATTCCAAAAATGAACTTTTAGCATTGTAAAATTGAAAATTGAAATAAAAAATGTATGTATCTAGAGTTGTAACACAGTACATGATATATTAAACATGAAGATGGATTTGATTGCAGATTTGCAAAATCATTTCTCGTAAGATGCAGGAAATAATTAAGTACGTCCAAACAAAAGACAACTCTGTGACAGATCCATCCATTGAATTACCAGTGCAGGTGATACACAACTGAAAACACATATATTCAAAATTACTCTAAACATCATCAAAACAATTTAAAATCTGCACTTTTTGTTCTTCGGTCGCCTGGATTTGAATTCATGCTATTGAGTTATCGAGACAACACTGCCTACACTGTGAACAGCGCTCTAGACCACTTGCCTACCTAGACTGAACAAACGTTAAGCATGTTAAGATTTCGTTGATTTTTGTTCTTCTCCCGACGGGATTCGAACCCTTGCGTCTGTGACATCGTGGCAACACCGCCATCACCGTGTTCAGTGCCGTAGATCATTTGGCCACCTTGGCTTCCTCGACGGCTTTATCTAGGGTTGTAACACAATGCATGATGTATAGCGGCAATGGATGGTGTACCTTTCAGATCAACTACTAGTCTGTCGTGAAGAATGATAATATTAATTACCATACTGCGACATCAAATTTTATTTTACATGTTTAAACATATAACAACTGTGTGACATGCATTCTGCATCGGATTACACGTGATTCTACAGGTCTAACACCATTTATATATAATTTGTCTCAGATATATATATATCGTCATTGTCATTGACGTATGAGTCATAATTTATCATTCACGGTACCTTTGTTTTACAACCCCCTATTAACCAGACAAACCGTAGCTGTACATGTATGTGAGTTCATGCATTATTCAGTTGATGAATGCGAAATGCACTGACATGACATACTGCAATCAATGTTGCCGTGTATGTTTGCACTTTTTGCACTCAAATTCAGTTTTGGGTATGATATTCGATTCAATTACACAGAGCGCCATAATATGCATTCATAAATTCGTTGAAAGGTTATTAAGTTGAGATTACATCGATTGTTCATCGCTAAATAAATCAAATTGTATATAAATAAACTTATCATGGATTCCAGGGTTAAAATGTAGTATTTGCGCCAGAGGTCCGTTTTGTCTACAAAAGACTCATCCGTTACGCTCGAATAGAAACAGGTTAAAAAGGTCAAATAAAGTATGTTAGATACAACTTTAGTTTTCTACCTTGTATCTTATGTACTACTAGTACTATTTGTCTGTTTGTCTGTTTGTCTTTTTCTTTTTAAGCCATGGCGTTGTCAGTTTATTTTCGATCTGTGGGTTTGAATGTCCCTCTGGTATCTTTCGCCCCTCTTTAGTTTAACTTTGACTGAGTTAAACATCCAGACCAGATTCGAAATACTATAAACATATCTGATTACATGAAATATATTAATTATAGATTGACTTGAAATAAATACTCATAGTTTTACAGGATATTGTGAGGGTGATTGTTGCCTTTTATTGGAAGTAAAATAAAAGGCACCAAAATACATTTAGGTCTGTTTCGTATGTGTACTTTCATGACCAAACATAACGTTAGGACCATTTGAGAATTAAACTTTACATAAACAAAATGAAGTGATTTCCCATTATGCATTTTCTGCCTTAGTATACCTACATAAGGAACTTGTGTATCCCAGTTAATATGCTTCCACAGAGACCATGTAAGAAGTAATATACAAAGGTCCATTTATAATATACCACCAACATAGAGTTGGTGCCATTAAACATGTTAAACACACCACATTTTATATGTGTCTGTCCGAAGTCAGTTTAATGGTTATCGTTGGTTCATGTAAGTCATATTTGCTTGCTTAACCTGTTTTGTATTGAAGGCAACTCAAATAAACTTCAGGAGCTTGTCATATTACAATATTCGTGTGTATACACCTCTTTTCTTGCTGACCATGAAGCTTTTGAATAAATATTTACACATGGTGTAGATGAAGTTTTAACACAGAAATAAGAAAAGTAGAAGCAATAGAAAAAATAGAAAAAGGACATTTGAATATTCTTTAAATAAATTGAATGAGCTGTCAGTAGTAGGGTAGAACTAACTAACCACGCCTATGTCTAAGACAACCTTCCGAATTTGTTCAATTGGAAGTTGTCCATAATTGCTCCAAGCTTGTTGTCCATAATTGCTCCAAGCTTGTTGTCCATAATTGCTTCAAGCTTGAACTGTTCAAATATTAGTTTATTACAGGTGATATCTGCCAGAAACGGTTCTTATGGTGTGAACATAGCTGCAGTATAGACTGTTACTTTCCACGACAGTTTTAGACAAATCTCAAATGTTTGAACTGATCCAAACAGTAGTTAGAATAGTTTTGATATTATAAATCAAATATATCAACGAAGACACGTTTAATGTTATATTGTTTTCAAGTAAAAGAAATAAAAATACAACCTGTCGATTATATAGAATTCAAATCTCAAATAGATAAAAGCTTGTTCTGTAAATTTTGTAAGATGGGATAAAATTTGAATTATTTAAGAACAAGAACATAATAGAATTTTCTTTATAATTCTCGACACATGAACAATTATCTTTCCTTATAATGTCAAAGTGTACTAACCAGGAGTGGTAGCATAAATCTTCAGTATATCAGCTTCTTTTGGTAACTTGACTAATCGGCTTCCAGAATCATGCTGAACCATTCTATGGGAAGCTTGGTTGTTTTGTATCTGTTTGATATCCTCACCTCGACATGCTTGAAATATAAACATTTTCGGTTTTCCTAAAATTGAATGAATAATTCTAATTATTTGGTTAAGTAATATTTTGTCGAAATGGTCAGATGATGAATAAAGATAGAATAGTTCTCTAGTTATTAAAACTAGCAACTATTGTGTTAATCAAATTCAATCCATGAAGCTCAAACCCCTGTATTGAAACTTAGTTTGGATTTCTTTACTTTTTTCGAAACATCTTTGAAAGTTGTCAAAACATAAACATGATAAAGCCACACTCAAAATTACGTCAAAAGGGAAAACTAAAAGCATAGAAAAAATACAAAAAGAATGTTAAAAAATTCAATAGTGCTTATATCTCATCTTATATTTTGGTATATACTAATAAGTAAAAAATATTGAGACGTCATATATTAACATATTGCTACAATAAAATATTGATTTATTAGAGTAAAACTTGAATAGTAACCTATTCATGCGTGGCAAGGAATTTAAACTGAAAGCTGAAGAAAAAATTAAAAACAACACTTTACAACTTTTCTGGATCTATCTTAATAAGGAAGCCTCAAGGCCGAAAGTTTGAAAGCCAGAGATTTTTAAGAATCAATTCAGTTGAGGAACTAAACGACCAAAAAGAGACCTAAATATAATAGCCAAATCCATCTACGGTGAACTTTTCCCAATTAATCAATTATTTTGAAAATACAATGTATGCAATTTTTTTTTACTTATTTTGAATATCAATTTCAAACGCGTCAGAATAAATATTACAATGAGGACACTTCAAAAACACTGATGTTAGTTAGTAAAACAATACACAGGTTTAACATTGAACTGTGCATGTCTAACCTACATAGCCAAACTATGAATTAACGCGATAATTCCTGAGATTTCATCAACTGGGCGCTTATGGTTGATAAGCAGTGACCATGCATGCAGATTTGGAAAAACAATCACCTGATAAATTGTTTGCGTTTACATGTACATACAACACGAACATCATTTGAATCAAGTTATAATACTTATAAATATTGACGAGATTACTTTATTAACAATGACTCATAAAAAAATTTTAAAACGGACTACTGTTGTGATGTGGGTTTTAATAACAGACGATCTGATATGCAGCCTGATTTTGTACCTTTAACTGTCACGCTGAAGTAGTTTACCTAGCGGGTAGAATAAATTAAATAAATCAGGGGGGCTCACTTCGTATACATAGTATTAAGTCATAAACTCAGAAATCAATTAACACCTTTGTCATGTGGAATCCTCGTTTTACCTTGTACAATATCACTAGGTGACAATTGATAAAAAACGTACACTTTTCTAAAAACAATTATTAACAAGGGGACGACCATTTGAGATTCTGACCGAAATTGGAAAGAAATTTATTCAACTTTTGTACACAATTATTATTTCCATTGTGTGTTTATTACAATTTACACAGAGTGTTCAATTTCATGTTACATGCCATGTATGCTGTAGCAGGACAAAACGCATGGTGACCCCATTTTTCTGTTGGTATTCTGAAAGCATCTTCTCACACTTTATTTTAAAATACAATCATTCATTTTACCTTCAAATATTCATACAATGATGCCTTTTCTCTGTATAATCCATAATACTTCCATATTATACCATTTATAGTGGCTATTTCGTTTATTTAGTAGCAACATTCTTAACTGCCTGTAACTCGTCCTTGTACCCATAAAGTTGCACGCAAAATTCACAATAACAGTAACCGACTTTTGTTTATAAAAAAGATTAAAAATTGAGTCTATGGTACTTAATCTAATTGTAGGTTGTTATCCTTTAAATGCACAAGAACATGTAAAAAAAGACTTATTTTCTCGCTTGGATTGTTTTGTGTCGATACCTTTAATAGCTTACTATTCGGTATGGATTTTCTCATTGTCGAGGGCCGTTTGTTGAATTATGGTTGTTTTCATCTGTCATTTGTTCTCTGCTAAATTTATGTTATTCTCTGGGTAAACGGCCATACTATTTATTTTTAATATATGATAAAATAAACCAATATATACATTTATTCGTTCCAATCATAATACAGTATCAATTTTTAATATACAATTGTAAGATTTCAGCCAATGATATAAACTGTACATGCTGTAGTAGCTATTATATCTATGATGTCAGTGACAACTTTTCAAAATGCTGCAATCGCCCTGACAAAAATACTGTGAACTGGTATCATTTGTTTAGCTGCCCCCAGCATACACCACAAGAGAGAGATGTGTATTATCGGTTCAGTTATTATTCTGTTGCTAAATATTAGGGCAATTTGATAGCCACCTGCCACGTATGATATCGTTATTAATCGCGGAATTTAAACTAAAACGCGCATAGGATTATGAGATCAGCATTGATAAGTTGCTTATGTGAATCTGATCTATTTACACTTCGTTATTGTACGAATGTCTTAAATGTCATATACATACTTTATTTCCATTTCATTAAAAGACGTACAATGATAGATTGAAATAGGTTCACGTGATTATATTACATCACTCTAATTTGATGTGTTTGTATAATTGCTAAATCGATGATAGAATAACATCATGTTGAGGGAATTTTTCGGTTCGTTTATATACTTTTCAAAAAATCCCGGAAGTAATCTCTTACAAATTCAAAATGAATCAGTCGAGAGAAGTGGAACACAACTTGTTTACATAGAAATGTCAATCACTTCTTTATAAACATTTCGACCAAACGGAAGCAAAAGGGTCATGATTTTAAGATGCTTCGATAGGCATGCTAGATAAATGTCTTCAATTGATAATTGAGAGTGGGTGAAGGTCTTTCCACTTTTTTCTAACATGATCACTGATTGCTTGTTATTGTGACTTCCAGTGCCAAATGTCTAAATGAACATGATGAAAGCTCTTTACTCATGGAATGGTAAACGCACCGTCCTTACATATTTGCGGGGTTGTGTTTCTATATACAAACGAATCAAAAACAAAGGTCCTATATTCCTTAAAATTACACGTTTTATGATCAGAGCAAAATGTGTATTTGTATCAATTAACAAATCAAATTATTGTTCAGAACATGTAAGGTTTACACAACCCTCTTCTTTTCTTCTTCCAAAAAAATAGCTAAGTAAAGGCTATTATAATAGTATACCGCTGTTCGAAAGTCATAAATCGATTGAGAGAAAACAAATCCGGGTTACAAACTAAAATCGAGGGAAACACATCAACTATGAGAGGAAAACAACGAAACAACAGAAACACTGAAGTGCAACAAAAAGACAAAAGATAATGCAACACACACAGAAACAAACGATAAGATTATAAGCATTTCCCTGCATGAATTTCAATCGGATCAGACAATTATAAACGACCCCTTAACTACCCTTGTACTCCTTAATTAGTTTCCTTTTCCTTTCTGATTTTTTCATTTGTGGTGCTAGAATTTTACTTCTTTTATAACAAATCGGACTTTTCTTCTTTTTTTTAACATTTCTATATTAATCTGTATATTCCCTCGTACTTTCTTGTTTGACTTTACCTATATACAGTTTCTATGTATTTAATCAACGAAAAGGTCCCGTCCTGTCTGTATTAGAAGGAGTGATGGGACATTCAGACTGTTTCTCTGAGTACAGAATTTTTGTTAAATATTCGTCAAACAAACAATCAATAACTGATAAGTCAATATGAAATATGTTTTACGTTACGGGAACTGTCATTCACTCAAACAATTTATTCTATTATTTAATCAATATTTTGTTTCATTATTCAACCTACCAACCAACCAATCAATCGATATAAAGATCATATCATTTGATAGTTTACAAACAATTTATTTATTAATCAACAAAACATTCCATCGAATAGCATGTTTAACTTAGAAAAGATGAAACGAACTTTCTTTAAAAGAGGGGCGAAAGATACCAAAGGGAAATTCAAACTCATAAATCGAAAATAAACTGACAAAGCCATGGATAAAAAAGAAAAAGACAAACAGACAAATAATAGTTCACAAGACACAGCATAGAAAAATAAAGACTAAGCAACACGAACATCACCAAAAACTGGGGGTGATCTCATGTGCCTTGGAAGGGTAAGCAGATCCTGCTCCCCATGTGGGACCCGTCGTGTTGCTCATGTTGTTAACTAAACCGGCTATCTGCTTGAACAATTGTTTTAATGGTTCGTGTGTGTGTGTGGAGGTAAAGGTGTATAGGTGGGGGAGTGTGGTATCAATGTTTAAAAAGCTATAAATGTTTCCGTGAAATCAATAATGAACTTATACTTTTGAGATGATCCGTTATCTAAATATCTCAACTCTTTAGAACATCGACTCTCACTTGTCTTGTCTATTGAGTGTATGTTTTACAAAGTATATTCAGTCGTCTAAGAAGATAACGTTTGTATACCATTAGTGTTTACGAAATAAGATTGTGTGCATCCTACACGGATTATTTGGATTTGTTATTATCCATATTTGATATAGCGAAGTGTTTCACAGTATGATTGCAAAAATGATTTTGCAAAAGTTTTATTTCGTTAATTGAATTGAAAATATCTTATTCTTTTTAAATGTACATACCAACGAATTTTTTCATTTTATCGTTTTTGAAGTAGTCAACTATTTCATCAATTTCTATAAAACCATCTGTGGTTTCAATACCTTTCTAAAAAAGGAAATGCAAGATAAGATATTTTAATGTAAATCACAAACTCGAGATTGTAAAGGTTTAAGATTGTCAGAAATTATTGACATTTCTTGTTTAATCTTTTAACACGACAAGTAAAAAAGCATATGCGTTAGTATAAATACAAGCTGGATATTATCTTTTTAATCACACGTTTTTGGATCAATGGCGGAAGTGGCTGGTACTTTTTGTTGTTTGTTTGCCGTGGTTTAATTTTATTGGGAAGGAGCAAAACGTTTATTGAATGCCTTTTGTCAGAATATGTTATTTATCAAACAATAGCAAAGCAATACGCAAAAGCGTATCAAAAACACATTCCCTTACGATCGAAGCTAATATATGTAAACATTACACACAGCTAATTTTAAATGACTGCAGGGGGAAATTTCCGATGACACAAATCTACACCTGTTCCAACATTTGAGCGCTGGCAAATTAAGCCTCGTATGTATATTTGAGAGTCTCGTTCCTGTTTTCAAGAGTCTACAATTGATCATGTTGATCTTTATTTCTAATTGCATCTTTAAAACTGTCTTAAGCACCGAGAAGCATTTTGTCAAAAAAAATATGAATCATTGCCAAATTTTCATTGGCTATGTTGCTTGCTGTCATATAAAACTATCAACAATTACTGGAACTCTGTTTATCAGATTCTTAAAAATGGAATACACCAATATCTACAAAAGCCAGGAGTGAAATTAAAGGCTGAGGAAAGTAAATCAGTTTTTGTTCCAAATTTTGCATCCTTGCGGTTGTCCTAGTAAATGAAAATCCAATAATATTTGCTTGAGATTAAGTTATAATCGGTATAAAAAGGACGGGAATGTGTCATACTATCTGTCCTTTTAATGGCATTACAATATCTAAAATGAAACGTAATGCTCGTGTAACACTTGCAAATGTGTGCTACTTACACGAAAATCGACCCAGATATAAAATCGGTACAATATAAGTTTCACGGTCATCATCACTAATTGATTGACTGATAAAATATGCCTGTGATTCAACAAGATAGCTGCAAGTGTTTGTATTCTTAGATCAGAGTAGTAGTCATAGTTTTTTCTTTTGTATTGTCTTACATTTGTCATATTGGTGTCTTTTGTAGCTGACTATGTGGTATGGGTTTTGCTCATTGTTGAACATGTTGAAAGGCTGTACGATGACCTAGAGTTGTTAATGTCTGTATCGTTTGGTCTTATGCTGAGAGTTGTCTTATTGTCAATCATACAACATCTTCTTTCATATTTTTATCCTTAATGTTATCGATAAGGTCCAGTTATTGTGAACGATTGTTGACTCTCATCGCATGCATGGCTGGAGACGCTTACCGTGCAAACGCATTCTGTTGTATACCCGACCAGGAGAGGGCGTTATAGCCAGTCAACTTCGTTTAACAATTCCATCATCATCCTGTTTCGCTCATTTTACAGTTCCTATACTTTTTATTTGTTACCATTATTGTCTTCAAAGTCGATTTATGGGATTTGAAGATTCACAGTCTTAATTTATATTTGAACTTCTTAGATACAATGCGTCTTACAACTCGATAAATTTAGGAAAAAAACATAAAGAAGGTTAAATTGACCGGCTTAGGAAGAAAATCAAAACACAAACCAAATATTTAACGGTATTACAAATGTATGATTAAACTTCAATTAGATTCCTTTTATTTTCTATGAGAGGCAAATATTAGCGTCGACTGAAATCTTAAAATCATATGGCATATTGTTGTGAGTGTACCCTACATTTGATTAAGTATATTTCTTGAATATTCACGCTGGTACCATTATTTCAATAACCTCATTAAAGAATTTCCAGCAACAAGATGTACGTGCAAACGGGAATCGGGTTCATACGTTTATCTAGAGTTCTACGATTTTCGTCTCCTTACAATGTATTTTATATCTGAATGGTAGATACACTATATTTTCCAATGTCTAATGTTTGTTACTTTGATCATCTATGCATGTATATGATTGTAATAATTACATTACATGTATGTTTCATTATACTACGTTATTTTCATTGGCTAACAGCAATCTATCGTTATTCTAAAATCAGCCTTCATTTCCAAATGACATGTAAAATTCATGATGACACGATCTTTAACAATAAAGTGCACAGGCAAATTAAAGAAAACTTGATAGTCTCGTATTTTCATGATCTTATATAAAAAATATAATTATAAGTAAGTATTGATTAGTTCATTTAGTAATTTTTTAGGGTTGTAAAAGCGGTGACCGTGCATACATTTTTAGAATGAAGCGCTTCCGCGCTTCATACAAAATGTACTTCGGTCAACTCTTTTACACCCCAATAAATATACAATAAGAAACATTCAATTCTTAAGTAAACTAAATAGTTTAAGAAAATTTGATGTTCCAAAGTCTTGACCGTTATTACATGTTTTAGCGATTGCAACATCATTGTCGATTTTTTTTTTTGTGGGGTGGTAATTTCTCGTTTCTTGCTTCACTTTTTCTTATGAGTTTTGAGTGTTTTTTCGCAATCGATTTATGACTTTCGAACAGCGGTATACTACTGTTGCCTTTGTCTATATCTGTACTCGACTGTACTGGTTTTTACTCGACCAGTCTGAATTGGTCTGAAATTTACTTGACTATAGTCTGAACCATACCATGTTGTACTGTTACACCACTGTCCCAGGTTAGGGGAGGGTTGGGATCCCACTAATATGTATCACCCCGCCACATTCTGTATATATATGCCTGTCCCAAGTCAGGAGCATGTAATTCAGTGGTTGTCGTTTGTTGGTTTGTTACATATTTTTTTGTCGTCCAGTTTTTGTACATAAATTAGGCCGTTAGTTTTCTCGTTTGAATTGTTTTACATTTGTCATTTAGGGGCCTCTTATAGCAGACTATGCGGTATAGGCTTTGCTTATTGTTGAATGCCGTACGGTGACCTATAGTTGTTAATTTCTGTGTTGTTTGGTTTCTTGTGGAGAGTTGTCTCATTGGCAATCATACCACATCTTCTTTTTTATATTAACAGTCTGACCTTGTACTCGTAAAAAAAAGCCCCATTTGTCTTAAACTCGTGTATTACTTATCTAGGGAATTCAAAAGGCCTTTCGATTGAAGATAAACAGGATGATGCAATTTTGAATGAATGTTATTTAGAATTTTATACTCTCTGACCAGGTGTGATCATTTTAATGAGTTTGCCCCAAGAAGGAGCTATCACTTTATACTTCAGCACAAATCAGAAGAACCATTTTATTAATTTCTTTATTTTTTTTATTCCTTTTTGATATATATTATACATATAAATCCCAAATTATATTAATAGATATATTTCTAATATAAGTTTTAAAAAAATTCAGTGATTTTGTTTGCTGTTGTTACCTCATTAAAAAGATAATTATATAACTATTTTATGTAACCTTAAAACCTTAAAACCTATGTAGTTTTTATTTAGGAATTAAAGAAAATTAAGTTTTAAACAAAATCAAACAATTATAGTCATACTAAACAATAATCAAAGCTGTTATATATTAAAAATAAACAAACATTAAATAACAAAAAAAGCATTACAAATTGTATCAACAGGTCAAATTAACACGAGAGTTTTCGCAGTTACAGAAACTTAGTTAAAAGCCAAAAACAATTAATTATAGAAAAATAATGCATTATATCATCCCTAATACTGTTTAAAGTAATGAAACAACAAGTATAATAATAGAAGTTTCCAATCCTTCGCATCAATTTTATGTTCATAAGACCTATTGGCGTCCTCGGCTGTTTTCTGGTCGGGTTGTTGTCTCTTTGACACCTTCTCCATTTCCATTCTCAATTTCATTTTCAAAACTGATACATAAAGTAAATTGTAATTGTTTTATTTATGCCAAAATCTTATAAAATGATAATTTTTGCAACGCTTGTTTTGAATAGCTTTACTGTTGATTAAAAGAATTGATAAAAATTGTAATCTTTGTAACTGTTGTTTATCTTACCTTACTTCCGTGGCTCATGATAACGCAAATAAAACAATGATATTTTGATGAGTTCCTGCTTAGGTAGTTATGTCGCACATCTTCAAGGCATGTTCTAAGTTCCTCTGTAGTCATATCGACTCGACAATCAATGTCATACTTTAGTTTCGTGAAAAATGTACACAAATTTCCAACATCTTCATCTGAACCTTAAAACAGGTTGAGTACAGTTTTACTACATAAAGGCAACAGTAGTATACCGCTGTTCAAAAGTCATAAATCGATTGAAAGAAAACAGATCCGGGTTACAAACTAAAACAGAGTGGAACACATCAACTATAAGAGGAAAACAACAAAACAACAGACACACTGAAGTGCAACAAAAGAAATTGCAACATACATTAAAGGTGTTGATTAGCTTCGCTGACAGAGCAACGCAAGCCGAAGCATTTTTTCAAAAGGAATAAAATGCAGAATTTGCTGTTCCTGCTTTCCATCTTTATTTTGCCTCAACCAAATGTTCTGAAACTTAAACACAATGCTGATTTGCACGAAATACAGATCAAGTTCAAATTTCGGTAAGTTACTTTCAACGTTACTTTCAACTTTTCATACTTTGAACGACATTATTTTATAATTCTACTGGTGTGACGTTTTCATTCTGACGTCATACGCGCGATTCAACGATAGAGCCATGTTGATCTGACCATTCGGTCCCCATGCTTAAAACCTTTCATCGTTTATGGGTAGAATTAACACACATAAATAAAATTCAAAAAAAAGAAAGCAATGAATAAGGTTGTTACATTTGATATATGCCTTTTTGTGCATCCTTGTTAAGTATTTGTTTGTTTTTATTGGTATTAAGATACTTGTACTTGTACATTCTGTCATTATTGTTTATGATATTCTCGTTTTCTTGTCTTTTTGCTAATGAGCTTTGTCTATATGCCTTTTGGTGTTACTTCGAAAACTGGTTTGTTGCTCGTCTTTCATTTTCGCTATGTGCTTTGTCTATATGACTTTTTATGTTTTTTCGTTATATGTATGACGTGGCTCTGTACTTATTCATCCCGTCATTGTGTTATTGTACTATGGTAAATTTGTGTATACAAGACTTGAATGTTTACTAATATGCTTGGTCTGTATGCCATTTTGTGCTTCTTTGTTACATGTTTGTATGTTTTTTTAGTGATTAGGATTATAGCACAATATTTACTGCTGTATTATTGACATTTTTACCTATTATGTCTGTTTGTTTTGCTCACGCATCGTTGTCAATATAATGGAATTTGATGCTACTGTCATTTTTTCTACCTCTGAGCCAAACAAATACTACTTGTTTGTTTGCTTTGAGATATTACATTGTCTTTGTGATTTGTTCGATTCCTGAGAGGCGATCTCATATTATTTGTGTCATTGATTTGTGAATATTTAATAACTATTTTTCTCTTTCATGATCTTATGGATTTAAGGGTATTTGTCTTTTTTTCCTTCGGTTTCAAAACTTTAGTGCCAACGTTTCTGTTTTTCGTTCCGACGTTTGGCGGATTTTTGTAACAAAGTTTGGTAAACATTTCATTGTTGTATAATATTTCCTTCATACAAGTTCTTAATTTTATCTGATTAGTTGTTTTATGTATTTTTTGCTGTTCTAAATGTAATTATTGTATTTAGTTTCAAATTTCAATTATTTTTTGCTGTTAAAATTCTTAGAACGTACGCTTTAATCTGAAATCGGTTTCCTCTGTGGGTTCATTATGTATTTCCTTTATCATATAACTTTGCCTTGCCATTATAGAAATGTCAATAGATAGCTTGTAAAAGAATGTTTTACCATAATGTATAGAACCTAATAGGTTCCAACGACTTTTTGAGTCAAGGCTCAGTACTTGGTCCCTGATTATTTATAATATATATAAATGACATTGCAGAGAAACTCACATCTCTGACCAGACTCTATGTTGATGACACTTCGTTTAATTACTCGGGGCACGACGAAGAACATATACAAACTATTATTGGTCGTCACCTCCAAGAGCTGAACGAATGGTCAAGAAGGAGGCTTATGTCTTTTAATTCGGACAAAACAGAAATAATGATTTTCTTTTCAAATAATGAAGCACAGATCTAAAATTCTACTTAAATGATAAAGAAATACCTATACAAAATGAGTCAAACACCTTGAGGTAACGTTTTTCTCTGATGCTCGATGGAATAGCCACATAGACAATCTGATTATTAGTGTTACGAAACATTTTAAAAATATACTGAGAAAACTCAAGTATCAACTTTTTAGGAAAAATTTAGAAAAACACTATTTAGTATTTATAAGACCAATTTTTGAATATGCAACTGAAGTCTGGGATAATTGTGGGACAGAATATGCTAATAAACTTGAAAGTCTGAAGCTAGAAGCTGCTAGAATAGTTACTGGTTTGCCTATATTTACACATTCTGAAAATCAGAATGAGGATGTTTGGTGGGAAACTTTAGCTGATAGGAGGAAAAGACGAACATTACAAATGTCGTATAACATTCAATATAAACAAGCTCCGGATTATCTATGTAATCTTGCTCCACCTAGTGTACAGAGCACAACTGTATATTCCTTGCAAAATGGCAATGATGTCATTGTTCCTTTTTGTAGATTATCTCTTACTAAAGAATTTTTTATATCATCAACTATTAGACTATGGAATCACACCTATTTGTCCCGTCGAAAATCAGACTCTATCTCAACGTTTAAAATCAATTAAAAAGGCTAAATACTACAGATCTGTACCTAATCACTATATACATGGACCAAGGAAGCTAAATTTAATTCTAAAACAATTCAGATGCTATTCATCTTTTTTGAACTATGACTTGTTTAGAGTCAATATAATTGCTGACCCATCTTGTTTTTGTGGATCCAAAATTGAGAATGTACACCATTTCCGATCCGACTGTTCTTTATATACACACCAGAGAGAAATTCGGATGAACAAACTAAGATGGCTTCCTGATGACGTTATACTTAATGTTAAGTTACTAACATCTGGTAATCCGAACCTCTCGTATGAACAAAACGTCGATATATTTAAACATGTATTCGAGTTTATTAAAAGGTCTAACAGATTTCTTGTTATGTACAAATAGTGTTTTTGCGGTACATGCACGCCCTCATCATCAGCATCATTTCCAATTTTTACGTTATTACTGTTTCATCTTTTTTCAATAGATAGACTCATAAAGTATTGTATACTCTGAATTATTGCATGCTCATATTAATATTGTATTGTAATTTATTATTATTCAGAGCGGACTTCATAAGTATTGTTTAATTGTGTCCAATCAATTTAACTCTGAATAAATAAAATATGTTTAAACTAATCATCCCTTTTGTCGAAAAGTTTTGTTTTCAAACGACCCTCATTATCAATTTCTAGATGTTAATCAAGATATGAGGCGTACCTGTATCTGTGGTATCCTTTATCGCAAATTATCTCAAGCTCTATAGAATATCATATATTTAGCGGAAAGTAAAGTTAAAAGATACTGCTAACTTATTTTCTTTCTTTCTAATAAGTATGAAGTCAGCCTCGTAAGAATCAAGAAACCAGTCGGCAAGAAGAGGAACACAGCTGGTTCACATGGGAATGCCTATTATTTGGTTGAAAAATACGTCCCCCCAAAGGTAACTAATATGTTTTCAATCAAGCATCTTGATAAAGTCATTTTTAAAGATTTTTTTGGATGAATCAGAGTGATTTTGTACAAAGCATGAATTATCCCTCCCTAAGAAAAAAGTAAAATCAGAAAAATACTGAACTCCGAGGAAAATTTAAAACCTAATTAAAAGGCAATTAAAAAATGGCGAATGGATAACAACTGTCATACTCCTGACTTGGTACAGACATTTTCTTATGTAGAAATTGACGGATTGAACCTGGTTGTAAAGCTAGCTAAACCTCTCACTTGATGACAGTCGCATCAAATTCCATTATATTGACAACGATGTGTGAACAAAACGAGCAGACATAATAGGTAAAAATGTCACAAATAGTGGTACAGCAGTCAACATTGTGTTATAATGTTAATAGTTATAAAAACAAACATACATGTAACAAAGAAGCACAAAAAGGCATAAAGACAAAGCACATTATCAAAAATGAAAGACAAGAATACAAAAATTAAAAAGCACAATAACACAATGACGGGATGTATAAGTACAGAGTCACGTCAAAAGGATATGACCAAAAACATACTGAACATTAAAATAATATTCATAAATACAAATAAAAGAATACTATAACACATTATTAAGATGATAAACAACCAGTACCCCGAATCTATACTACAATTTTTAGCAATGAATTTTTGCTATTAAACTACCAAGTTTTAAAACGTTTAGGCATAACGAACTGTAGATAAGAGAGTGAACGTTCAGTCCCTCAAATAATAGTCTTTTAATGAATGTTGAATCATTGAAGCATTGACAATCTAACAAAATATAGGGTATGCAGTGCATATACAAAACCGAGTTTTTTTCTAAATGAATGTATGCATATTTCATTACAGCTTAAGGTTGGTTTAAATATTGGTGCATATTATAAAAACAAAAAACAAAAAAACACATACCTGTCCGTTCTTCTTCACCAGAAAACATGAAGTTAATGATCAACAGCAATCCTTTTTTTTCATATTTGTCGAATTTATTAAGCCACTAAAAAAAGTATGACTGGTACTTTATCCATTTAAACATGCCACTGCAGTTTTAGTTTCACTTCGAGATTGATTAGTTTTTTCACTTTGTTAACTTATATCGCACTCAGATTTAAAATCCATATTAAAGTTTGTGGCTTCTGCATGTTCTACGTATCAGTTTTAAAACACACTTAAAGTGAAAAGACTGACTGGTAAATAATAATGAACCAATGCATGCATATATATCATAAACTTAGTCTTTTTGCACGATTTTATCATATCAATTGTGTATAGTCGTGAACAAAATATTTCACTCGGTCAGTGCTGTTAAATATGGCAGCTAATTTATAGTCGTGTTTTGAAGCCGAAGTTTATCGATTGTCACCTTTGTAAACAATCAACAAAGAAGCATGGATATTCAGGTAAGCACGTGTATATCATGTACAATAAGATATATAGTTTATTTCGATGACGGAGCGATGCTTACGTTTTTTGACCATTTCTGCCAATTTTGTCTCCCCCTTTGCACTTGCGTATTACAATTCCCAAATTTTTACGAGAAAAGTCACGCTGAGGTAACTGCATACGGAAAAATGTTGGCGAATTGTTGTCTTGGAAGCCAACAATTAAAAAACGTGAATTTTTTTCAGAAAAAAGTATAATTACATAAGTTTTATAAAAAAAACTAGCCATTTAGTTAAAAAAACATATTAAACATTTTTTATAACTTGAAGTTTCATATGACTTTAAGATACAAACGTAATAATTTGTTACGCCAGATGCGCTCTTCGTACTCATGAATGGCGCTTCAATCCATCTTCAAAAAATTGCTTAAAAACATTTTGATATTTCCCTTGTGTTTTAATGTAATAGTTTACTGCCAAACTCAGTATAGACGAGTCTAAATTCCATTCATTGATCAGTTTAGCAACCTTATAGTTATCTTGATGATATGTGTTTTACAGTTTTTTCGTAAATATACTGCGGTAATTTATGTATAAAATTGAGAATAGAAATGAGGAATATGTCAAGAGACAACAACCGGACTAGATAGCAGATAGCAGCAAATAATATTTATATATGAATCACCAAGTTCGCTTTGCCCGTGTCTTTAGTGACCATTTTGGTTTAAATGAACGTACTCTTACTACTAGTTCAAGGATTTCGTTACCATAAGTTACTTGAAACTTTTACAAAAAAAATTCCTAGATTCTAAGATTTGGTTTAGAAGAAATATATATAAAAAAAAAAAACAGAAAAGCACATCTCGATTTTACGATGATGCTGTTTATAGAGCCCATAGTTTTGGACACATTCCAGAGTAATTTATCCACACTTTAAATAATGTTATTCTTATTGGTTACCAATAAACATGATAAATAAAGATTGTAAATGGTTGTAATTCGATAACTTTCAGTAACTGCAGGTACCCTCAGATCTGTTATTTGTATCTTTCATGTTAGTTCGTTTTATGAGTTTATCTTTTCCACTGATTTACAGTACTTGCAACCTTAGGCGTTACTGTTTGACGTGAACTTGACTGATCGGTGAATGATCGGTGACGGATGTTTGACTGATCGATGACTGATCGGTGATCGATCACCAATAGAATCCGTCAGATACGTCAAATATGCTATGTGAGAGTTACCGTGACAACGGTCAGCGATCGATCAGTAAATTAATTGTATGCACGGATCGGACGGATACGTATATAATTGAAATTCTTATGTAAAACGAACTCCACAGTATTTACAGTCGATAAACGCGACCTCTACGAAGACACCTTTACTCGTTAATTATGTACCACTAAAAAGCGATAAAATGTTATCATTTAAAATAGGTACTCTATTTGTTGTCGTTAGATGATGAAAATAAAAATAGTAGAACAGTAAAGATACATACAGCTTTGTTTGGATTAATTAATTTAGAGTGTTGTTTTAATTTTTGTTCTAGATTACCAATATTTCTTCTTCTTATAACATATAATGCAATGTTATTTCTGATTAGTCATTTGAAAGGCCTCAAGAAAAGTTTCTTTCATAGAATTTAAAAAAAATAAGTATTAAAATACTTAAACTTTAATTTGTGTTGATTAAAGATGCAATCATTTCATTATTTTGTACTTTTTGTACATCATGATTGGTCGTTTTTCATAAAATATGCTGAATTTCAGGGAAAATATACTAAATTTTTGTTCGCGTTGCTTAAAAATGCAAATATGTCTTCTTTTATATCAGAAATAATGCAACTTCAATTGCAATCATTCATAGTTAATGTATTCAGATAATTACTTCTGTATAAGATATGAATAATTCAAGGATAAATATACATACACTATTGTTTTTATTAAATAAGAATTCAATAATTTCTCTTTTTTAATGGAAATTATTGGAACGCCTATGGTTTTTTGTACTTTTTATGGTTCAGGATTGGTTGTTCTTAGTAAAATCAAAATAATATCTGAGAAAAGATACCAAAATGTTGTTTGCATTGTTTAAAATTACCAATTTTTCTTCTTTCGATAAAAAATAATGCAATGTTATTTGTAACTTGTTATTTCATAGATTTTTTTTGTAAGAATTTTGATAATGTGAGGAGAATTTTACTTAAACTTTTGTTTTGTGTTGAATACAAATTAAATAATTTCTTTATTTTGATAGAAATAATGAACCGTCATTTGATTTCGGTACATTTTGTACATCAGGATTGGTTGTTTTTCATAAAATATGCTGAATTTCAGGGAAAAGATACTAGATTTTTGTTCGCGATGCTGAAATATGCAAATATTACTTCTTTAATATCAGAAATAATGCAACTTCAATTGCAATCAGTCATAGTTAATGCATTCAGATAAGTACTTTTGTATAAAATATGAATAATTTAAGGATAAATATACATAAACTTTTGTTTTTGTTAAATAAGAATTCAATTATTTCTCTATTTTAATGGAAATTATTGACCTCCTATGGCTTTTTGTACTTTTTATGGTTTAGGATTGGTTGTTTTTTATAAAATCAAAATAATATCTGAGAAAATATACTAAAAGGTTGTTCGCATTGATTAAAATTACCAATTTTTCTTCTTTTGATAAATAATAATGCAATGTTATTTGTAACTAGTTATTTCAAAGTCCTCCAATAAGATTTTTTTTATAAGAATTTTGATAATGTAAGGAGAATGATACTTAAACTTTTGTTTTGTGATGAATACGAATGCAGTATATCTTTATATTGATAGAAATTATGAACCGCCATTTGATTTCGGTAGATTTTTTAAATCATGATTGTTTTTTTTTCATAAAATATGCTTAATATCAGGGAAAAGATACTAAATTTTTGTTCGCATTGCTTAAATATGCAAATATTTCTTCTTTTATATCAGAAATAATGCAACTTCAATTGCAATCAGTCATTATAAATGCCTTAAGATAAGTAATTTTGTATAAAATGTGAATCATTGAAGGATAAATATGCATAAACTTTTGTTTTTGTTAGATAAGAATGCAATAATTTCTTTATTTTGATAGAAATAATGAACCGTCATTTGATTTTTGTTCTTTTTGTACATCAGGATAAATTTTTTTTCATAAAATATGCTGAATTTCAGGGAAAAGATACTAAATTTGTGTTCGCGTTGCTTAAAAATACAAATATTTCTTCTTTTATATCAGAAATAATTCAACGTCAATTGCAATCAGTCATAAGTAATGCATTCAGATAAGTACTTTCATATAAGATATGAATAATTTAAGGATAAATATACATAAACTTTTTTTTTTTTTAAATAAGAATTCAATAATTTTCCTTTTTTTATGGAAATTATTGAACGCCTATGGCTTTTTGTACTTTTTATGGTTCAGGATTTGTTGTATTTCATAAAACATGTTGAATTTAAGGGAAAAGATTCTAAATGTAATGTTCGCACTGCTAAAAAATACAAATATTTCTTCTTTTATATCAGAAATAATGCAATGTCAATTGCTATCAGTCATTATAAATGCCTTTATATAAGTATTTTTTAATAAAATGTAAATAAATATTATAATGGCCTGGAGATAAGTTTGTTTAAAGAATTTTAAGATTACAAGGATACAATACTTAAAAATATTTTAAAATAATACATCGAAATTTGCAATAAATGATCATTTCATTTTATTTTCAAGAGCATTTTCGGAAAATAATAAAATCACTGAAAATCGCGATCAACACCGTTTTAGAAATGTCCAGTTTGAAAAAATATAACCTAAATTAAAACGAAAATGGCCATTCTTTAATAATAATATTTAGATTTAGATTTATATGCATATTTCTTTTCTTTTTAAATTCTTAAAACTGTGCTAAATAATTAATAAAAAAAGATGTTGATCATTTGTACTTGAATGTTTCGTATTTTCCATGTCGCCATTTTAATTAGATGAAACGAAACTAAGATTTCGTAATTTGTATTAGTTTATCATGTGACGTAGTCGAGTTCAATCCGTCAGAAAGGTCGATCGGTCCTATCCGTCCGATCCGTCCGATCAGTCAAAAACTTTAACTATAAGTCTGACGGATTGGTGACGTGAGTTTGACGCGAACTTGACTGATCGGTGACTGATCGATGACCGCTGATTGATCGCTAAAACAGTAACGCCTAAGGTTGCAAGTACTGTATACAGTATATTCGTATGTTATGCTGTTACACCATTGTCCTATGTAAGGGGGTGGGTGCAATCAAACATGTTTATTCCGATGAATTCGACATGTGCTTGTCCCATTTCAAGAGATTGTAAGGGTTTGTCGGTTGTTGCTGTGCGTATATATTGTTTTGTTAACTGTTTTATACATAAATCAGGCCGTTATTTATTTCTGTTTTTCGCTCACATTGTATCCTTTTTTCAATCTGGACTTTTTACATCTCAAAATGCTTAATAAGTTTTGCTCATTGTTGAATGCCTTTCGTATATCATTAATTGATGATTTTTATGTCATTTGGTCTCTGTTGGAGAATTGTCTCACTGGAAATCATACCACACCTTATTATATTCATATGTTGATGATATCTGAAAATATTCAGCTAAATATTTCTTTCACGACCAAACACCAAAATACGTAAAGCGCACACTCCTTTCATTCTCATGCTAATTTCCTTAATGTGTTACTGGTGACGACTTCTTTTTAGTTGCCGAATGTAAAAGTTCAAAATACTGCAAATCATCAAATAAAAAGGGTTACCGATTGTGTAATATTGTTTGATTTGTTCTTTTAACGTTATTTAGCTGAAATATTCTGCATTAGGACTTGTCTGTACAAAGTCAAAAACATGAAGTTGTTTTCCATTCGTTAGATGTTTTTGAGCGTTTGATTTTGCCATGTTATGAAGGACTTTCGTTTTTGAATTTGTCCCTTCATTTGTAGTGTTTACATATCTGAATAATGATGTTATACACATCTATATTCACACTGTATGAACTTCATTAACAGAGGTGTACTCCTGACACAAAATCAGCTGAAAAGAGTTATGAGGGAAAAATTCCATGGTAAATTAAAAAAGGGATAGTACATTAAACTTGACAAAAACAAAAGTTCGAATTCGTCATTCAACGAAACGTCTGTGAAACAGCTGTCATATTCCTGACTTGATAAAAGCATTATCCGAAGAAAATAGTGGGTTAAACCGTTATTTTCATAGCTAGCTAAATATCATTTTTTATGTCACTTTAAAACCTGTCATATTGACACATTTGTCTGACAAACCCACACAGACATCATATGTTTGTGTGGTTAAATGACAATAGTTGGGATCCAGCAGCCAACAGTGTGTAAACACACATCACAGATATTAATAAATTTCAAACAAATGTACAATTAAACCTAACAATGACGCATTACGGAAACTAATTAAACTTTAATGATGCAAAATGTATCGGTTGTTATTTCCTTCCACTAAGACCTTCCTTCATGCATAATTATTGACAATTGAATTTATTATCAATGAACAATCAAACTATTTACAACATCCAGCAGATACATTCATTACGGATTTTCAAAGATGTGCATTACATTTATCTTTGTTGTGATGTTATACTACTGTTTCAGAAAAGGGAGAAGGTTTGGTACCATTAAAACGTTTAATCCCGCTGAAATTGTTTGCACCTGTCCTAAGTCAGGAATCTGATGTTCAGTGGTTGTCGTCTGTTTATGAGGTTCATAAGTCTTTCTCGTTTCTCGTTTTTTATATAGATTAGACCGTTGGTTTTCCCGTTTGAATGGTTTTACACTAGTCATTTTTGGGTCCTTTATAGCTTGCTGTTCGGTGTGAGCCTAGGCTCCTTGTTGAAGACCGTACCTTGATCTATAATGTTTTACTTTTATATATTGTGACTTGGATGGAGAGTTGTCTCATTTGCACTCATACCACATCTTCCTATATCTAATTACGTTTCGAATTCAACTCTTATAAAATTTAATGTACTTTCAAAGCTTGAAGGTAATTCTCCAAAAGCTTATCCTTACCTATAATATTAGTATACGGTTCATTAATAACATAACATCATATGAGATGTTAATATTAGCCGTTAATAATTAAACTCGTACTCCCCTTGCGACTATGTTCTGTATTATCCTTAAACATAGCAATAATTTATCACATATATTTCTTGAACAAGTAATTTTAAAGTTATCGCAAAAAATTAACAAAATTAAACAATTTTAAGTCCAGTTATAAACTGTCTTAAAAATAATGGACAGGAACGAGTCGAGGACCAGTTTTCGTCAGTTACCAGTAACTGTCACTTTGCATTGTATGCGATACTGGATGCGTTTCGTAATTACGAATACTGCTATTATATCGTCATAAAAAACTAGGTTTTATGAATCCAATCAAGACATGGAAATTTAAATCTTTTCGTTCTTTCACCACGTGGAAAGATAATCGTGCGGCGACATGACATCATTACTGTATGACACCCTCGATTTAAAAAAAAACTGACCGTTTTTGGATAAAGTAATAGCATAGCTTACTTAAACAATAAAATTTCCTTCAAAGGAATACAAAAGTTAATTAATCTTAGAACCATTTTTTATGATCCCCTTCAATGCAGTGTAACTTGTTAAATTCAGGTCCTAGACCTAACTTTTAATATCCCTTTTCAAGTTTAAAGAATATTTCCAAAAGTAGTAAAAGTTAAAAGTTTTTACTGCGAAAAAAATGCGAGATTCTTACAGAAATTGGTACTCTACAGGTATAGAAAACTTCCAACTTACTTGTGACTCTTCTGATCTAAATGTCTCTTTATCCCGATCCAAAATAGATGTTCCTGGAATGAGTTTAAACCTATTGTTTTATTAGTAAGCATGTAAACCAACAAATATTCATATACAATCTACATCATAACAATATTAATTAAATTAGAGCTTCTGTTTAGTCATGCCTTGTCCTGATTTGAATGTGTTGTTCTATGCGACTGTCATATAAGTAAGAGGTTTAGCTGGCTATAAAACCAGTTTTTTTCCATCACTTTCTACATAAGGAATTGCCTGTACCAAGTAAGAAATATGACTGTTGTTTTCCGTTTGCTTGGTGTGTTTGAGCTCAAATGCACTAGTGTCTGAGCAGAATGTTGATGAAGCAGGATTATGTCAAAGAACACATCGTCTTTTTTCGGAGGAAATTCATCGGAAGATGTTAAGACCTTGTTGATAAATATTTCGTATCAACTTTATTATAAATACATGATGATCTTGAAGAAAAATACGAGGAGCAGACGTTGATTATCATCTGAATAACGTGAAATAGTGTTTTTATTTGTCCTTGTATATTTATAACCTTTACTGTTCAGTCCAATTTTGGTAAAGTACTTTTGTTGTGGCTCGGTATTCATACATCCCGCCATTGTGTTATTGTGCAATGGGTCTTTTTTGGTATTATTGTTTTTCATTTTTGCTTATGAAATTTGTCTACAGAGTATCTAGATATCATTTTTGTTTTTGTTGTTGTTGAAATAGTTATTTGTTTTATGGTAATTAGGATTATAGAAAAATGTTGACTGCTGTACCTCGATTGTTGACAATTTTACCTATTACACAGGCAAATTTTGTTCACGTGAATTTCACGTCAGTCTCATTTCACGTGAAAGTCACATAAAATTCACGTGAGTTTCACATGAATTTCACGTGAATTTTTGCTCACATGAATATCACGTGAATTTTTCATGTGAATTTCACGTGAACAGTTTTCACGTGAAATTCACATGAAATTCATGTGAAACTCACATGATCTGACTTACGTGAATTTAACGTGAACTTGTTAACGTGAAACTCATGTGAAATTTATGTTTATTTCACATAAACTTTTTTTCACGTGAAATTCACGTGATCTCACTCACATGAAATTCACATGATTTGACTCACGTGAAATTCACATGATCTGACTAACGTGAAATTCACGTGAAATTCATTTGATCTGACTGAGGCTAATGTTTTATATAATGTGCCTACGTGGTTGGTTTTGCACAAGATAAAATCACTGTTTAAAATAATTAAGTGTGTGCACTAATTATTGCCATTTTGACATAATCGCCAAAATGTAAAAATAATTATTGAAGAAGAATTAGAATAAGAATATAGATATTTTATTTGTTTGAAATACAAAAATTCACAAATTCTAACAAAATTTCACAATAAACATTTTAAAAACATACTCAGGAGAACATTTTTACTAGCACTTTAATATAATTTACATAAAAGGAGGACATATAACCATCAAATGATTAATATTTATCTTTTTATTTCGCATGAATTATCTCCCTTGATAGTGGATTAGATGCAACTACAAAAAGATCAGTGTTGGTTTTGAGTTGTATTTCCTATCACTGTTTATATTTATCTCTAGTAGAGCAATAAGGGTAAAATTTGTATCTTTGATTTCAAATTCCTAGGTACCTAGATTATATTGATGGGCTAATATTGATTTATCAGTAAACTTAATTTCTTTTGCACATTGAAAGTTTTCTTTATTTTTGTTCTCTTATAAAATATGGGAGGTAACTCCAGCTTATGAAATAGATTCCTGTTACTGTAATTAAGATCCTTTACTTTCCATAATTGCAAAGAAAAAAAATGATAATGAATATCAGTTACTTCAAAACCTGAGTTATCTCCCTTTTTTGCTGTGTATTAAACTTTTCCTCAAACTTATAAGTCAAGTACAATTTTTAGCTTTGAACCACACATAAGTTTGACAATAGGACATATGAATAAAAATATGTAAGTGTGCTGAAAAGAATTTTATTGGGCCAAATGTTGTCAATAAATGTAAAATTGAATGTTTATCAAAGTATATACATGGAAGTGCAGTATATTTTTAAAACTGCTTTGCTTTCAGAAATATGAAAAATGTTTGATTTAATGAGTATTACAAAAGCAGTAAATGCTAACTACTCCCTCGTCTAAAAAAAGGAAGAAAAAAGAAAAAATATCTTCTCTCAGGGATTGCATGTGTATCAACTGGATTGCAATTTATGTTTTGGTACACTTCAAAATATTTATAAACCTTTTTATAATGATCAAGATTTCTCAATTTTTCCTTTTGAGTTAATGAGTTGTCAGGGTTTGTCAATCAATGGGAAAATTTTTAAACTAAATATTAATTTTATAATTTCAGTAATAACTAGGTAGGGATTTATTTTAATTTTATGTTGTGTTTTTTTTACATTAAGTCTATGGGAGTAACATTCTGACTTAACAGTGCTTAATGAAAAATGACAAAAAAATCTTTAGGGTAGGCTATTATTAAGACTAAAAAGTAGGGTAGTTAGGGTAACGGTGAGTGGAACCACACATATATCATAGGCGAATCCAGGGGGATCTGCATCCCCCTCCCCCCCTTTTGTGGGAAAAATTTGGTTGATTATATAGGAAATCACTGAAGCATGACTGGAGCGGCACCCCCCTTAGGTCAGTTAGTGCCCCCCCCCCCTACCAACCCTATGAAAAGTTCTGGATCCACCAATGTATATTTTTATTTGGCTTATTAATAAGTATGTTTTAAGAAGATAATTAAGGATTGTCTGAAATAATTTGTTAATTTATAGTGAATGGTTGGTTAAATTTACAACTTTGATAGATCTGATATTATTTATTAAAAAAAAACTACAGTCTTGAAACATGTAAAACCAGGAATTTTACACCTAAAAATGCTGTATAATTTTCAATTTTTTTTTATTATCTTTTAAAATTTATAGATAATAAACATATTTTAAGTCCTATATAGTGTCCCAGGCAAATGCATTAATGTGCTATGTATGTTATCGAAAATTATTGATTGACATTAAATTATTACCAGAAGCATATATACTAAATAATGTCTCTAATATTATTTAGCTGTAATAAATGTGAGGTATGATTGCCAATTAGACAGGCTGTTAATTGGATTAAACATATATATTCTTCAACTAAATTAAATAACTTCATTGAAATTATATCTAACAATATAGTTTATATTATATTAAAATATATCAAATAGTTTTAAGGTTTAGGACTTCTGGTTAAACTTTATGCTCTACTATAGGGGTGCTCCTATGTAAAGGATGCTTGTAAACAAAAGAATTTGTTATTTGTTCATTTATATGTCTTACTTAGTCAGGACTTTAAGCAGTAAATATCATTTTAAAACTGAATTGAGTCAGTAAAGTCGGGAAGCTGATTATGATAAGAAACATTGGATAGTGGTCTATTGAATGGGGAAACCAGCATGTACCTATTTGCACATGGATAACTATTCTTCGTGACGATATCCGGGACCGGAGATCGGTTTTTAAAACGCTTGAAAGATTCAGATGAATGATGCAAATTTGAAGACGCCGGTAGCCAACTGACAACAACTTGTTGAACAAGTACTTGTTTCTGTTTATTTAACGAGACAAACACAATCAATGAGCTATGAGCACATAGATACTCGCGAAAATAATACAGGTAACTCAAATAAATGATTTAATAGTGCAGAAATAAACAGAAATAGTGAGAATGTTTTTCAACTTTTGACCTGATGATCAGTTCACAGTTGTAAAACTCCGTTTAAAATAAACACTCATTAGAGACTGACACACACATGTATACTCAAAAGTTGATACAAAACAAGAAAACTCGAAGAAAAAATTCCATCTTCGTCATCCAACTCATGGTTTGAAAAAAAAATGTATGATTTTATGAATTGACCTCAGCTCCGGTCTCCTGTGGAAGTGTAGCCCTAGCTCCGGTTGAATATTTCTTTGTTCAGAGTCATTTAACCATATTGTAATCAGGTTACTAGGGCAAATAGAGGTATAAAAGAGAGAAATAGCTGTAGAGAAGGAGTTACGATTTTGTGTACGAGAGAAATGTATTCAGAGATTTAAGATTATGCCACTGTATTGTTGAGCCTGCAGTTTAGATGTTGTAAACTTATATTACTGTTACTTTGGATTTTGAATAATTCAGTAATGAGTATTGAACTTTTAACCAACTTTGTGTTTATGTTCACTGGCAAGACTTCGTTCAGACTACACCAGGATTCCCTCAATCACGCTACCAGTTCTTTTCTAGGGTAATCCTGTAACACTGTAATCAGTGACACTGTGTACGAGTGAAAGGCACGACCTGAAACTAATACACTCAATAACACAGCACAAACACAAGGATACACACTTTAGTTGAAGTTGTATAACCAACTTTTCGTCACAGGTTATACTTTGAGAATTTACATGGAACTTTTGAAAAAACAATTATTTCTGAAAATTGAAAAACATACATGCACGATTGAAATAGATAAAACCATGATAACAAATATTAAAATGTTTATTAGTCCCCTACCAGCAAAGCCAAGGGGACTTTAAGTAATGCTTGAAAATATTGATATGATATTTATACATTGTATATAGTTTTACCATGACAAATTTACAGATCAAGTTCAATATTTATTCTGTTGAGATGTTTTTCTTTGCATAGCTATGGTCCTTGGACTTATAACATTCAGGCAAATAATCTGTTTTTCACTTTCTTTGTTTGATATACTTGGAAATATTGATTTGGTTATTGTCATGAATCATGATTGTTGTATAGTTTTACCATGACAAGTTGCATATACAATAATGAATTTAGGGCCCAAAAACAAGGATTTTCTGGTTTCCATACATGTACATTAATTTGAATATAATATAAAAATTAGAAGATGTGGTATAATTGCCAATTAGACAACTCTCCATCCGAGATCAAATGACATAAAAGTAAATAACTACAGGTCACGGTACGGTCTTCAATTATGAGCAAATCCCATACGTTTCTATGGATCTCTATGAAATTGAACCTCAAGGTTCATACCAAAAAAAGGAAGGTTGGGATTGATTTTGGAGGGTTATGGCCTTAACCATTCAGGAGTTAGCATGGTAAGGCCAGGGTTTTTTAATTTGTTGGTTTGCACATTTTACACATGAAAAAGTCGAGTCGGTTGGTCGAGAATAAAAAGAAAAAAATATCTTTCAAGACAGAAAAAATATATTTCACCTTACTAACAAAATGTTTGGTTTGCTATCTTGTCATCGCTTAAATTCTAGTTCCATGAACTATTATTGCTCAGCTGTTATAAACATAAATATACAATATATGTACATTGTCGGAAAATATATAATTTGTTTGTATAGGCTTTAGAAACAGGACGAAAAGCGAGGCTCGCCAAGCTTTTCTCCTGTTTCGTAGCGAGTACAAATAAATTTTATATTTTCCGACAATGTACATATAGTTTTTATCCTGAAATTTACACCCAAAACTTGAAACTTTAGTTGTTAAAATCTAAATCATTGTCTCTAATTATTCAAAGAAATCGACATCGTTTGAACGCGGACCGCGAAGAGGACCCCAAAATGAACTGGTACGCAAAAAGAAATATCCACATTACCGCTTGCTCAACATGGAAGCGGGGTAACAGGAGACTTTATTTGTACAAGTACAAATAAAGCAAAAATTTATTTATGTACCTGTTATTTGTACATTAGTTAGCTGATTGCAGGATAAAATGCATGCCATCGTCATACAATTTCCAAATAGGGGGGTTATGTCCAAGGTCATGCAATTTCCAAAAAGGTGGGTTATGTCCAAGGACATAGACAAATTAAATCGTTATTTCATGAACAAGAAAAAACAGATCCACCAATTTCAGGAAGACCCTACATCAACTGTCAAAATGAAGAACAGGAATAAAAGCCCTGTTCATTGATAATTTTCTATGATTTCCATGTACATGTATTGTGTGCGATTTTGTCCCATGTACATTTACTCCATATCCTTTCATTTTCTATTGGTGAATAATGGTCTTCAAGCACGAAAACTAATACATGAAAATTGCAAACACATCGTACGAAAATAAGCTTTACCATTCTTGTCAAAAACGTAACAGACTTGTCCACTGGAAAGATGAAGATATCAGATTCATGAGTTGTCATGCATTCCCATTTTTGATATCCAAATGGACGGGTTTTTTTTATTGTCTATGAAACAAGAAAATTCCAAATTGTTTGTGAATATCTATAATTTAACTTGAAATCTTCCACATTTAGACAGGTCCATTTCATCTATGAGATGATACATCTTACAGATTTATGAAAAAAAAGGGAAACAAACTTATTGTAATTGGTTTTAAACACAGGTTTCGCTCCGCCGCAAAATTATTTGCGCAAACAACATTTTAAGGTCAATTATGATTGACTTGTCTATTTTTAGATACGACACAGTGTTATCACTTCTGTTAGTGTTTGATGCATTTCATAAACAAGAAAATTTGTATTTATATTTCAGGGATAAGGTTTTAAGGTTTTTGTAAAGGTCAGCGGGAATAAAAAGCATGAAATGTCAATTTTACTTTTATTCTGCAAATCAGAAAAATAGGGTCGGCGGATCCGTAAACCAACAAATAAAAAAGCCCTGGCCTAAGGGGCCTAAACAATACTTTTCTAATACACTGTACAAGTTACCTATTTCTTGACCAATCTCAAAGAAGTTTAATGCTAAGTCTTGAATTTTTCGGGTACTTTAATATGCTGAATTAAACTTATCTTGTATTTTAGAGTTTGAATATTTGGATCTGTTTTTAATCAGTCAGGGGACTTACTTTAATGAGTGATTTTCTAAATCACTGATTCAAATGACATTATGTCCACAGATGTTGGAAGTAAGAGTTGCCATTCTTCAATAATCACCAATTTAAGTTGTACATGTACAAATAAATCACTAGACTAAGTGATTTCATTTTATTGTAGCTTTAAATGTATAATACATGGGTGTATTATGTTGCTCAAATTACCAGAACCAACATCTGTGTTTATAGACTGTCCAGTCATGTCAAGTGATAACCTTGTACTGAATCTGGGATATTGACATGAAGATCACTTGTTTAAGTATCATACCTCTATTTATTTTAAAAAATCACTTCTTTAAGTATTATTATTTTAATTACCCCCCCCCCCCCCCTAATTTCAACACCCCCGAACAGTGAAATTTTGATGGTGAACAGTAAAATTTTATTATCTGTTAAGAAAGGAAAGTTCATTTATTTCAATTTTACTAATAATTAGATATAAACTAAAACTGTATGTTTAAAATGTTGGTAAAACTACAAATTGACAAAATTTCTTATTTATAACATTTTTGTACTTAAATGAGTGATTCATAAATCAGTTATTTCAGAACAACCGGGCCCTGACTGTTAATTGGTCCACATTGTGATCTAAATTGTCAAAACTTAAACTTTGTTGGATTCCATCAAAAATTGAATTATTGATTTTTTTTATATGCAGAATCTAACCGTGTATTTGGATTTTTAATTTTGGGTCTGGTTTTCAAATTTGTCTTCATAAAGGCAGGGGTCATGTTTAAAGCATCCGATCTGTATGAAGAATGGTAGGTCCATGACTTGTAATTTAAAAATAAGTCCCCTCCTACATGTCCTAGAAAAGACAGGTCCCGGACCTCAGACTTGCACTATTTTGAACCCATGCATAAATTAAACAGTGTTAAAGGTCCAAAGGGCAAAAAATTTAACTTTAATTTTTCTTTATTGTTCTTAATGATGTTAATAACAACTTCAATCCATTGCTTTTTGATATTTGATAATACGTGTTTAATATTAGTAAACAATAAATATATAAGCTAATTGTTTGCAAAACTCTTTGAATACTTTTTATAGTCTTGCATCCACATGCTGTTAATAAAGCACTGTTTTCCCCCTTTTCAGCAGTACATTGTATTACAACAAATGGACAGAGGAGTTGACTATTGATAGCGACTGATAATGGACTGGAGTAACCTAGCGTCCAATGACTCTGAACATGCCTGACAGTACTGGCATGTGTACATGTATGTCGACAGCCAATTCTAAGTAACCTTAAAGGTATACATTGTATATACAAAAGACCTACAATAATTGTATGTGCATCTATGGGGGACTTATATTTCACTGTTGTCACACAGTGTTGTGTGGCTTTATTACTGGTCAGACTATCTATCCTGCAGCATGATATCTTTTTGACCTACATTTTTGTCGAGCCATTCGACCTTTTGTCGAAAAAGCGAGACATAGCGATCCTACATATCCAGAAGTAAATTTAAAAAAAAAAATTCCTGTTTTTCCGTATTTTACTTATAAATGGACTTTGTTTTTTTGCCAGGAAACATTACATTCACTCTGTGGTTAAAGTTTTAAAAATTTTAATAACTTTGTCAAACTATCCTGGATTTCTACCAAACTTGGACAGAAGCTTGTTCATGATCATAAGATAGTATCAAGAAGTAAATTTTTAAAAAAAATCCTGTTTTTCCATATTTTACTTTTAAATGGACTTAGTTTTTCTGCCAGGAAACATAACATTCACTCTGTGGTTAAAGTTTTTAAAATTTTAATAACTTTCTTAAACTATCCTGGATTTGTACCAAACATGGACAGAAGTTTGTTTATGATCAAAAGCTAGTATCTAGAAGGAAATTTTTATTAAAATTTTGTACTTGTTTTTTTCCAATTTTACTTATAAATGGACTTAGTTTTTCTTCCAGTTCACATTACATACAGTCTGCAGTTAAATTTTTTAAAACATTTATTAGATTCATAAACTATCCTGGATTTTTACCAAACTTGGACAGAAGCTTCTTACAATAAAAAAATTGTATCGAGAGGAATATTTTTATTAAATTTTTTCCTCATCTCATTTTCGTTGAGCCTGCGATTAACAGCAAAAGTAGGCAAGACACTGGGTTCCGTGGAACCCTTACCAATTTTATGTCTCACTGATTTATTAAGTACATTGTATATGTATGAATTCAGATTGTGGTACATCATGTACTTAGTTTTGAGTCTTGCACAAATACATTGCCATTGGAGTTAACATAAATTTGATCGCTGACAATGACAGAGTGTTTTGAACATTGCCTCATAGTGTTGATCAGAATACCTTTATATTAAATCAATAAAATTTTATTGTCACAGATTGAAAATATTTAGTATTTTAAAAATAAGGAGATGGGTAGGATTGCCAATGAGAAAACTTTCTGCCAGTCAAAATGAAGGGGATGTAAAAAATTTTAGGTCACTGTATGATCTTCAACAATAAACAAAACCATACTGTAGTGTCAACTGTAAAAGATCCTGTAAAAATGAGCAACAATAAATGTCAATTCAAATCAGAAAACTAGTGACGTTCTAATTACCAGTATTGGTAATATAATTTTTTTTAAAATCTGACACTTATTTTCTCTCTTGTTAAATATTTTTTTTGAAATATTCACCAACATGACCAAGAGAGAACTGTATTGCCAAATTATTTTATCGGAAAGCAGTGCATCAGGTTCAGGTGTTTTACATGATAATCACAGGAATTTAAATTTTCAGAATTAGCTCCTCAGATGTCAGTGGAATGGAAGTAATACACATCATATGTTTCAATGAAATTAATATGATTAATGATGGGATAAGACGTAGAGGAGGTCCTATAGCTACAGTACATGTACATGTAACTGGTATGTATATTTGTTACAGTATTAATAGTCCAAATGGTATTACAATAAAGAAAATACTGAATTCCAAGGCAATTTCAAAAAAGGGAAGTCCATGCATATGTTAGTGGCTGCTGGGTTTTACTATTTGTATTATTAAGCTTTACAATGTATATTTCATAGGGTAGTAGACTTGGATGTTTCATAAACTGTATACAGATGCCTTTTGTTACAATGTTTCTGTCCTTCATATGTTGGTTGGCCATGTTAGATCACATTTTAATGGTTCAGCGACTGCTTGAAAAAAAGTTTAGGTTTTTATACGATCGCAAAAATTAAAAATCGTATATTGGTATCACGTTGTCGTCGTCGGCGTCCACCCCCCCCCCCCCCCCTTTGTTTTGAAAACTTGTAAACTGTCAAGATCCCCACCCCGAAACCATATATATTCTTGTATGAGACAATAAAACAAATCAAATGAAATAAAAGGCCAGTCCCCTGGGGTCAACCCACCCCCTCCTGTTTGAGAACTTGTAAACGGTCGAGATCCCCACCCCTAGTCCATATATATTCTTGTATGGGACAATAAAACAAATCAAATGAAATATAGGGAAAGTCCATGGGGTAACCCCCACCCCCCTTCTTTTTGATAACTTGTCCCCTGGGGTCACCCCACCCACCCCTCGTCCATATATATTCTTGTATGGGACAATAAAACAAATCAAATGAAATTGAGGGGAAGTCCCCTGGGGTAACCCCCACCCCCCTTCTTTTTGAAAACTTGTAAATGGTCAAGATCCCAAACCCGAAACCATATATATTCTTGTATGGGACAATAAAACAAATCAAATGAAATCCATGGGGGTATAAGGCGAGTCCCTTTGGGTCACCCCCACCCTCCTCCTGTTTAAGAACTTGTAAACGGTGGAGCTTTTCATTATTAATAAGATAATACCACATTGAGGTCCAAAGGGTCCTAAATTAAACTTTTGTTTAATTTCATCAAAAATTGAATTCTTTGGTTCTTTGATATGCTGATTCTAACAATGTTTGAGTGTTAAATCATATCTAATTTTAGAGAACTTACCGTAGTCATCACTGGTTGTTGTTATTATATTATTGATTATAATTTGAAAAATTGCATCATATCTTATTTTAGAGAACTATTTATCCAGTTTGAGTTATTTCCATTTGCACAGAAAATATTATGGATAAAATTAACCTGATTCTAATATGTACTTAGATTTTGGATATTGGACCATCATAGGTATTTAAATGTCCAATTTCAAATATATCAGTTCTTTGACTACATTCATTTTGTGTCACAAACCTATGATTTGTCAAATATTCAATCACAATCCATATTCAGAGCTGGTTTAAGTTTAAATGTAGTGTCCATACTTGCTCAGCTGTTCAGGGTTCGACGTCTGCAGGAAAATCCGGTTTGCTGTCTCTCTGACAGCCTCTTGTTTGACAATATTCTGGTCACAAAGCAAAATATATAGATTTAGTGTAATACTTTTAGTTTTTAGGGACAACATCAAAAGACCAATATGTAGGACAAAGCAAAAAATGTTTCAGTTTGCAGAAAAACCTTTTATACCTGTCAATTATGTTTTTTTCAAATTAAGTTAAGAGGGGGCTGATTATCATTGATATAACTATGTCAAGTCAGTTTTTATAACACATTTCAATTACAACTTGATGTAGTTCCTAACTGGGATACAATTTAAAGTAGTTTGTAATAGACAAAAGGTCCTTAAATATAATAAAACTCAAAGATTAAAAGATAATTACTAAATTACAAATAGAATGCAACACTAAGAGATTAGTCATAAAGAAGGGCAATCAATGAACAAAAGACAAATCCGGGAACAGTTAAAACACAAAACGACAAACATTATAGACAATCAACAATGAAAAATGAAAATAAATGAGAAAAATGGATCTCAAAAACCAGGGGCTACGTCAGAGGGTGAACAGAACTTGCTTCTTGCAAGACACTTGCCGTGAAAACAATTTGATATGAAGACAAGCTTTTGTTTTGAAATTTCCAACATAAGGCATTTGCCTCAATGTAGTTACGGCCCTGTAATAAAAGTGAGGTAAATGTTCACGAGACAATATACCTCAAGTGAAATGAAACCCATTTTCAAACATTTCAAATACATTAATATTTATAATATTAATAAAAGATTTGGGAAGTTTTATAAAAAAAAAAACGAATTTTGGAAGAATCTGGTGCCATCTCATACTTCAAAATAGCATTTATAAAATGGCTTAAAAGACCTGCCAAGTTATTTTCAATACATTGTAAGTCAGGTTATTTATTTTCAAACTACCACAGAACAAACCATTCATTTTTGTTATATATATATATATATATATATATATATATATTATCAAGGCTGAGTTATTTATTTTAAAACTCCTACTGCCCCCCCCCCCCCCTCCCCCCCCCCCCCCCCCCGAATATCAAATGGTCGTCCCCTAACTTGAGTTTGTCTTACATTAATGTAATGAAATGTATATATAATGCTTTTTACCACAAAACTCAGTTTAATTTGTTTCCGTTCTCTAACTTAAGTTTGCCTCAACCAAATGTTATGAGACTTAAACACAATGCTTATTACCACATAATACAGATCAGGTTTGATATTGGGTGGTGTCACTTTTACCGTTCTTTAGTTATGCCCCTTTATAAACATAAAAATTGCTGAATTTTCCGTTTACACAATGCTTATTACCACAAAACTCAGATCAAGTACAAATTTAGTTAGCGTCACTTTTACCGTTCTTCAGTTATGTCCCTTTATATCTTTTATGATATGCAAGTGGGGGCATCATCTGTGTCCATGCATGGACACAATCCACATTTTTGGTTATTATCTTGAATATTATTATAGATAGAGATAAACTGTAAATAGCAATAATGTTCAGCAAAGTAAGATCTACAAATAAGTCATCATGACGAAAATGGTCAATTAACCTGATAAGGAGTTATTGCCCTTTAAAGTCAAATTTAACAATTTTTCGTAAAATTTTTTAATTTACAAAAGTCTTCTCCTGAAACAACAGAGACAAATAAACCAAATTTGGCCACAATCATCATTAGGGTATCTAGTTTTTAAAAACATGGCAGATATGGCTAAAAATAGAACATAGAGGGAAAATGCAGTTTTTTACTTATTTCTCTGAAACTAAAGCAAAAGTATAACGGTTGCATTATTTCATGCATCAATTGTAAATAAAAATATCAGGTGAGAGACACAGGCTCCTTGGAGCCTCTAGTTTGGTGTATGCAATAATTGTACATGTTGTAAGGTGCACATGTCTGTCTGGCTTGGTTTATCTGAACTTGACCTTAATATTTGCTTGACAGTATATTTTCATGAATCATTGGTAATGTTAAGTTTATTTGATACTTATCGTAAACTTATAATTATTCTTATATCTTGAGGACAAGCACCATAAAACAGTGGGGACATAAAAATACCTGGAGTCCGTCTATCCCTTTGGCCTTATAAGCGCTCTCACTTGCATGTCTTGTACAATTCTTGTCGAATTTTTAGGAAACTTATTTTGATAGGTTATATCAACAATGTCTGACAAGTTTTAAAGTCAGTGCCAATCAATCATTTTTAAAAAAGTTATGCCCCTTGGAAACATTAATTATTTGGAAAATTGCATTGTTAGGGCTCTTGTGTACAATTCTTGCCAGAATTTTATGAAATTAATATTAAATAGGTTTATATCATCAGAATGATCAGAGCATTTTGATGTTCATCTGTAATGTTTACAAATTCCAGGTTTCATGGCAAATTTCAACCATTATAAACCTCCACAACCTCCATAGCAGAGGTAATCAAAAAGTAGTGCAGCAACAAACAACAACTATTAATATTCCACTCCAGTTAATCCGACACACAATATACATGTATGATTATATACATAGATATAAGAAGATGTGGTATGAGTGCCAATGAGACAACTTTCCATCCAAGTCACAATTTATAAAAGTATATATATATATGTACCCGGTAAGTTTGAATATTAAATTGATGTTATCATTTTTGCTTGAATGGTAAGGCAATATTTAATTAATTTGATGTATATTTTACAAAATAATATATGCTGGTTTTTTTTTTTATTACAGCAAATGTATTCCAAGAGTTTATGGCTGATTATGCAACTACAGGATTTTATCATTGAAGCAACATCTTAGAAGGATAAGTGCAAATGTATGAAGGAAGCCTTGTGTACAAATACATGTAGCAATTACATGCAGGAGAGAACACTTAAACATTACTAACATGTAGTCATGATATTGGAGTGGTGCATTCTAGAAATCTAAACACCTGGAATTAAATATTGTGTATATTTTTTTTCAGCCACAAGTACTTTCAGCATATAATACAATTCAAATTCAAATTATTGTGTCAACATGGCAGTTACTGTCTAAAAATGGAAAATGCTTGTTTTAAAATGAATTTTATATAAAATATGTTAAATAACAGGAATGTTTAGCTTATTGTGCAGCCAAACTTTGAGATCTTTTAATGGCATATGCCTGTTGTTTGTCAACATTTATTTTCTTTTTGACTTAGCCTTAAGATCAGTGTTAAAATGAAAACCATATATGAAATAAGAAGGAAATGGTTGTAAATAACAGCAAGACTTTCAATATGGTATATCAAATATATTTCACAGAACTTTCTATTTCAGTTTATTAATACAATGAGATATGAGGTATAAATCAATCAGACATTAACACAACAACAAAAACATCTGAAAGGCATTAAGGTGCTAACATACAGTCCTCAACAATAGACAGGTGTCTAAACAATATGTCATGATCTGTTTAATTGACCAGAGTACATGAGTATGTGGCAGGGTGAACTACCTTTTTTCTTCAAAACTCTCATAAGAAGAATTGGCATCTTTTGCAAGTAAGACTTTTGCATAATGTGATTGGAATGTCTCAAAACTGATGAACACAAAAAGACTTATACATACATAATAAAAATGAAATGTACATCAGTGCATACATCTTCTATAAATGAATCACCTTCCATACATCAAATTAAAAAAAATTGAGACTTGAATACAACAAAAAATGTTCTAGGAGTGAACTATGATGCCCTAGATATTTGCTTGCCTTCTTGGTTTTATTGCATCTTATCTGCTGCATTGAAGATATTGTGAGTTGGAGTTGATGAATAAATATTATTTGTATTGTTTAGGACCAAGAAATTTAAGATACAAAGAGAAAGTAAAATAGAATGGAAGTATGAATACATCCTCAAGACCAATAAGAATATTTATATATATCAAAATAGAATGTGTACTAGATTAGTATTTACTTATCTAAAATATGCTCAAATACTGTGAAATTTGTGTGATTGAGACTCAATTCACCTTAATTTCATTTAAAAAAAATTATGTGAAAGCTCGATTCACATTAATTTCACGTGAAAAATTTAACGTGAATTTCACGTGAAAACTCGATTCACGTTAATTTCATGTAAAAAAATTTCACGTGAATATCACGTGAAAGCTCGATTCACGTGAAATTCACGTAAATTTAACGTGAGTTTCACATGAAAAATTTCACGTGAGTTTCATGTATAAGCTCGTTTGAGGTGAATCTCACGTGAAAAATTTGCCTGTGTATGCTTGTTTGTTTTGCTCCCACATTGTGGTCAACATAGTGGATTTGATGCGACTGTCATATAATAAAGCTAGTTATAAAACTAGTTTAATACACAATTTTCTACATAAGAAAATGACTGTACCAAGTCAGGAATATGTTTTCCAGACGTTTGATATATTCGAGCTTTTGATTTTGCCATTTGATAAATGCCTTTTTTTAAATTTTCGATATAATTTTCAGAACGACACGAATAGACCTGCTCGAGAAAAAAAAAATGGATGCAATTTTGACAAAAATGAGCAGATCGGATTTTAAACAAAAAATTGATCTTCTACTCATCATAGGAGACTTACATACTAAGAATAAGCACAATAGTTGAAGGCGATCAGAAAAAAGTCTTTATACCTGCTTTTTCCACAAACGTTTCAAGGTCCGAAGCCAATAATTTTGTAAAAGTCAGCGGAATGGAATCAAACGTTATATCGATCTGTAACGTATCATATAGTAGACATCCATACTCAAAATTCAGCTCAATATGTGAAGGCGTTTATACTGTATTTGACTCTTTGTGTGACCAAATACTTAAATTTGCATTGTTTTCTGTTTAACATTCATTCATATTTATAAGGTATTGTTGTAATTTTGTACGTTACTGATTTGAATTTATCGGAGATATTTTTTTTAAATGCGAACATCAAATAACGATTTTCCTTCCGACATTACTCAGATCAATACTGATACTGAACGCAGCTCAAATCTGTTCACATAATGAATGATACTCTTTTTCAATATAGTCTTTTACAAACTGTAAACGTTCAACGCGCTTTGTAATGATACATGTTCATCGGCAAAAGATTAAAACACTTCTGATATAACATTCGATAAACAAATCTTATTAACCTTAATTTGACAAAATCTAACAGTAAACATAGTATTACGATAATGACCAATGTAGATCAAATAACATAAAATAAAATAATGCAAAAATTTATTAAAGAACTACTCACCGTGAAAGTTTATTTCAGAATTCGTCAACTTTTTTTTATCATGAGTAAAATTTGTCTATAAAATAATTAGCGTACGATATTAAACAGTAATCAATTTTCATTTTGAATACCCTGCATCAATATTAAAATCGTCTTTATACCTATGCGCTGTGAGATTTTTATAAACACCTGGTTCGATCTTAATATAGAAAAGGTTTCGATCAAAATCAAGATGTTATCATATATAACCGGTCAATCTGTAGACAGCAAGGGAAGACGCATTTCTGTTGTGATCTGCACGACGAAGAAATGGAGACTTAACACTAAACGATGTCTCATTCAACACAAGACTAATTTGTGTGATTAAAAAATAACAGCCGCCGTTGGCAATACTGAAAAGTTAAACTTTTCATGACATCCTTCTTCTTTTTCTCTCTCGATATATTGCTCATACATAGTTCTGTAGATTTACTTTTTGTTGTTGTTGTTGTTAAGGAGTTTTGCTTAAGTTGAGTGTAGCAGTCATTATTTTAAGGATAAGTGTTGCAGCATGTTTAATTGGTTCTAGTTCAAGTACCCAAATGTGATAATAATGCTTAAAGTCAACAACAAAAAATCCTGCTGGAAACCATTTAAATGACCAATTCGACCTATTGTGCTATAATCTATACGTTGTTTGGTCAAAGCATGAACTCATGGTTGTTATAGCACATGAACAATTCATGGTTTTAATGACACATGAAAATGCATGCGTTGTGCTATTCGTGCTTCGTTTCCAGACATCTATCCTCTTAAATGAGAAGAATTCATTTTGTGTGTCCTTTTTATTCCTTCCGCAATAAACTAATCATCATGCCTCTATGTCCTACAGGTAGCATACATAGTCGGATGTGTCATCCTTTTTCATGATTATTTGTTTAAAGGAGAAAAACGAAAATAAAGACGTCCGGATATTGTTTCCGTCATCGGACGGACTTTTAGTCATAGACAATATTTCCGTTTAGGACTGTTTTAAAATTACCATGACATAATTTTCGTACTTAAGTACTTGGGAACAGGATAGTTATTTTGCGTTTTTCTGTATACTATGTATACGTATACTATACTTATATGATCATACATGAGAGTCTCTATATAAAATATCAGTGACCACCGTGGATAGTAAATTTACTATCAATTCCAAGTTTACTATCCACGGCGGTCACTGAGATATTATATAGAGAGTTATCAGTTTTGTAGATGAATATCCATCTGGTTGGTTGTTGGAATATATCATTGAATTATTATTCTTTAGCTTTTCTCAAAGTTGTTTTTGTTTCAAGATATTCATTCATCTTTTTCAACATTTTAATCTTTTACTTGATAACTCGTCAGCAATCTCTATTAAGAGTAAGCGTTTGATTTTGAGTTCAAAGTTTTTGACTTACTATTTGTAAATTGCATACTCGATTCCTTCTTGGAGTAGGATTGGTAGGTCTTATTCGATCTTCATGTGTAAATGATGCACCTGTCAGAAATATCATAACATTGTGAATGACTGAGCTGTAAATTAATAAATCTTTAACAACAAAAACAAAAACCAACAAACTTATGATTGGTTTTGATGTTGGTATAACTTGAATGATTCAAAGTATCTAAAATTGCTAACCTTAGTCTGTTTGATTTCCTAACTGATAGCATATTTTTTACATGTGGATGACGTGGTAATTTACAAACAATCAACATGTTTATTAAAACCAAAAATATAAATTTTCTTCCTGACTTGTTCATTATGAGTTCCTATGAGGAATGACAACAGTATCCTGTAACTTCCCATTCCTATATTAAGTTGATGTCCTCTCACTATCCAAAGTTTGGTGGTCTATAAAAGCCATATATCAAATCAAAATTAAAGCGTTAAACAACAGATTCAGTTAAGTCTGCTTCATATGTGAACTGCAATCTTAAAAAAATGACAGTAAGGGTATGTTAAACACTCTACAACAAAAGAGATGATTATAGCTTTCTGAGATTTCAATTTCAATGTTGTATTATTTCAGCATCGCCTTCATATGGAGTATTTAATTACTTCTGGATGTGTTATTCCAAATCTTTCATGATTTATTGATAGATGCAACTGCTTAAAAGGAGTTAATTTATACTTAAAAGAGGGACGAAAGATACCAGAGGGACAGTCAAACTCATAGATCGAAAACAAACTGACAACGCCATGGCCAAAAATAAAAAGACAAACAGACAAATAATAGTACAGATGACACAACATAGAAAACTAAAGACTAAGCAACACGAACCCCACCAAAAACTGGGGGTGATCTCAGGTGCTCCGGAAGGGTAAGCAGATCCTGCTCCACATGTGGCATCCGTCGTGCGGAATCATCGAATATCTACAAAAGCAATCCGACGGGTGCCATATAAGTAGCAGGATAATTTTTAATGAACATGAAATCAGCCATGGATTTTGATGGGATTTTTATGTACATATTGCACTATGTGGCACATAATTTTGTGTTCTTTGTCGTGTTTAGTAGACTGTTGTTTGTATTTTCACCGCTTTCCGTTTTTGTCAAGATGTTGTGAGTTTGTCTTTGACGTACAATTTTGCTGATCGTTTTGGGATCGCAGCCTCGCGGTAATCTTTTTGTGGTTTTTCCATTTTTGCCATCGCATTGTCAGTTTGTTTTCGACTAATGAGTTTGATATCTTTCGCCTCTGTCTTATGTCTGTTTTTTTTATCAATACTGTTGCAACCCTTGTACAGGATTTTTGTCGATGCAATATTTTATAAATACAATGTTCTTCACTTTTAACAAAATTGTTAATGAGCAAGTGGTGGCGTCCCATAGGTAAAAGTAGAGAAATGTTGACAAATTGCTCGAAAAAGTGCCTGAAATGAAATATATATTCCTATTTTCAACTCAAACATCAAGAGACATATAGTAGATATATGATTTTGTTATTATACTTTCAAAGATAAAACATTATGTAATACATACACATTATTTTGTCTCAATCAATTGAGGTTAAGGAAACAACCTTTACAGGGCCGTTCATTGGGGTTGCTTTCTATGGTCCTTGTAACAATTATTGTGCTCAATATGTTATTGACTACATTAACAACATTAAAAAGTTCTTTATTTTACTTTAAGTCTTTTCAAAAATGTCCTCTGTTGTTATTTATAGTCCTGACGTTAGATGTTCGCAAGCAAATCCTGGATATTGAAAAGAGGATACATAATAAGCCTATATAAAGTAAAACTTGTTACATCAATCCCGTTATACTTCCTATATATTTATATCTTAGACATAAAACTTTGCATAAGCACCGGTGTCCCTTTACAAAAGCGTTTATGTTGTTTTTATGAATATGGATGAAATATACAGAAAACATTTTTAATGCTAACAAGATACTATACAAAATCAAATTCTGGGTTGTTGACGATCACATCAAAAACTTTTCATTATGCCCGCTTTATACGTAAAATAGAACATAAACCTGGACTGACCAAGTCCTTTGTCTTCAGGAAACAAAACGTTAACTTCTTTGATGGATTTAACCTATAACAAACAATGTTGAACATTTAACGTTTTATTCAGTACTCGTTAGTGTCCAAATTTGCATAGAATATCTAGAGTATTTATATTTATATTTTGCAACTGATCTAATTTGTGCATTTATAAGTTTTGTGTTTATTTGTATGTAAATATCAACAAGTCAGAATAATGCTTCATATTTCTAGTTTATTGTTGAATTAATCAATAAAAAAAATTGTTTGTTTTAACTACTTTCTATTTTTTTTATATGCAGACATCTATTGGCAATTTCTTTTATTCTACACAATAAATTGTTGGCAGAGTACCTTTACATGTGAGCGTTTAATCAAGCAGTGCACTATAAAACCAGACATGTATATATAAACTTTTGACTTACTTCTTTGGAACTGAACAATGTCCTATTTCCTGCCTTAATAATCCGAGGTCCTAATCGATCGGCATTTGCTAATAAATCACCTGCCAAAGAAAGCCGACATTTTTTTTTATCAATAAGTTGTATATACATAAACTTTTAACTACATGTAATTAGTAAAATAAAAAAAGTACCGAACGCCGAGGAAAGTTGAAAACGAAAAGTCCCTATTCAAATGGCAAAATCTCAAACACATCAAACGAATGGATAAAAAAGACAAGCAAACTATCGTAGAAATTGTTAAATTTGTTTACATATGACTTATTGTTGCAGTGAACAAAGTTACAACCTAAGTGCATGAATGTAAGCAATTATTGCTTTTTGTTCTTTAGACAACAGTAGCTTTTTAAGCAAAGAACATATTGTGTTGTAGATAAAGGATACAACAGATACCGTTAAGTCTGTCTCATATCTTGATTTACATCTATAGAAATTGACAATGAGGATCGGTTGAAAACAAAACTTTACGACAAAAGAGATGATTTCAGCTTTCCAATTGTAAACTTTCCATTTTTATGTAGCAACATTCTAGCAGCGCCTGCATACGGAGTATATATCTCCCAATCGATACGATAATCCCGGGCTGCTTGTATGTCCTATCATGATTTCCTTGATAGAGGGTTGCTGCTCACAAGGAAGCTATTAAAACAATAGTTCCAAATGGTGAAGTTGGAATCATCCCTTCGTAAATTTTACGGACGCCATCACGAATTGGTTGACCGTTATTGAATATCCTCTTTCACAGATGATATCAGATATGTTCCTTATGTCGTTACTCCAATTCAGTTCCCTTTTCACGAATGTGACCTACCGAATTAGACTATTTACCGGGTTTGTAATAACATGAGAAACACGACGGGTGCCACATGTGGAGTAGGATCTGCTTGCACGTCCGGATAACCTGAGATCACCCCTTGTTTTTGGTGGGTTCGTGTTGCTTAGTCTTTAGTTTTCTATGTTGTGCCTTGTGTACAATTATCTGTCTGTTTGTCTTTTTCTTTTTTAGCCATGGCGTTGGCAGTTTATTTTCGATCTATGATTTTGAATGTCCCTCTGGTATCTTTCGACCAACTTTTGTAGTACTAGTAGTCTGCTAGAATATGTGTTTTTATGTAGCATAAACATAATATCAATGTTTCTGAAATTGTATAGTTTCTTTTTTTCTGTTTAATGTATTTTTTATAGAGGTTTGTATTTGTACCAGACAACAAAGCAGCCCACAATGTGTTGGTTGTATGCCGTGAATACTTCAGTTCATTTTCGGGAATAATATATAAACTTCTTCTTTATTTAAATCTGTACGCTGTATAGAGAGTCATATAGTAAGTTATCAAAATCACAACACAGCTAAATGCCACTTCTGAACATTTGTGCCAAAAGACATTACAATGATTTGTTAACTGATTGAATGGTTAAACGCGCTTCTTCTCATTTGGTTCACGATTTATTGTTTTCATTTTTCATTTTGTGTTCATTTTCTTCAGTTGTGATGATATCTTGGTTTTTTTATTTGTATTTTGACAATATATACATTCAAAATGTGCTGATTTTGAAGCCAACAATGTATTCTTATGTTGAGATTAAGTCATTCAATGGAGTAAATATTTTGAAATAGATTCATTTGAGAACAACATTATGTAAATTTGGAAATCTTATGATAGTGTTGAAATTCAAGCCAAAAGTGACCCAAAGTGAACATTGCTCTTTGAAGCCTGATATCTTTGATGAATGCTTTGTTTATCTTATTATATCCTATATCTATAATTCGAATTATAAAAATGTATAGACAAACTTAAGATGTAAACGTCCGCAATTTTTACATTTGTTGTCTTTATCTTTTCAGATAATTTTTTTTTGTGTGTTTAAAGAATATTTTTTAAATTATTTGATGTAGTTTCTCTTCCTCTTCAGAAAAAAAAATACATTAGGCTAACATTTTCTGAAAATATTGGCCTTAAAAAGAACAAGTTGGAGTATTCGAACAAAAATTTTCCTTTGAAAAAAAACCCAGACAGAGGGAAATAAAAATTTTTAGTACTGTATTTCATTCCTAGAGTTATGGATTTGGCATGCCTTTGTTGATATACTCCAGTTTTTACTACACTATGATAAAACAAAACAATAAATTGACATTACTAAAAAATTGCTTTTGTTTTGAAGTATTATCGGAAATTGGCCGTCAGTTGCCTATTTTAGGGAACCGCATAGCATCCTCTTTTGTCCGACCTATCCTTCTGAATATGGGTCAAGAGCTGCTTACCCGTCCGAAGCACCAGATATCACATCTATATTTGTTTAAAAGGGGTTCGTGTTGTTCTTTGTACTTTTTTTTAATTAACGATGTCAGTGTTGTTTATTCCGGTAGCAATCTTGTCTCACCGAAAATCCCATAAAATATGATTCAAAATGCTTAAGGTGAGTCCAAATGCGTTAAACGGATACATTCTGATTTGATTGACCGTAATGAAATATCTGTAAAGCTGAATAAGGATAGATATGCTCTTTAAATTGTAACCAAATTTCCATGTTACAGCATCGTTGCTGTGGTACATTAGTCAACTTATCGTTTAATTTTTACTCGTTATTAACTAGATAGAGTGTTGCTGGCAGAGTAGTACCTGCTTCGTTAAAAAAAACCCTGAATCATCCCGCTTTGTTTGGTTCGTTTCGCTAAATTATGGTGTTTAAGTCATTCTTTTGTGTGTTGTTTTCATTTCTTTTATCTCTTTATTTCTGACCATTGTGTGGTCTGTTTTTCTTCGACTTTTGGGAATTCTAACCTTTTACTATATATATGTCCGCTTTAGATATAAATATAAGATATGAAAGGCATTTGAATTACCGTAAAGTAACACTGTTCTAAAAATTAAACAAGTAAAGAATAAAAAAAAAACACTATCCTTGACAATATTGAAGACATCATTGTATTACTGTACTGTGAAAAATATAATCACAAACTGTATTAAAAATTTAGCTAATATTACCACTTTAAAGGTAGGAATGGACAAAATGTATACTTTAGTTCGTAGTTTCTTATCCACTAAGACAGAATACTGATCACAATAAATATCACTTGTATACTGTAAATAAACTCCTATAGCGCGTTGAAATTACGCTGGATCTATCAGTAACGCCAAACAAAGGTGCAAAGGCAAAATAAAGTGCGAAGATGAGAAAGAGCTTCGAGGACCCAAGTTCCGAAAGATTTTGCCAATTACAGCTAAGGTAACCTGTTCCTAGGGTAGAGAATCCTTTGTATATCGAAAATTCAAAGTTTTGTAAACTACAGTTAATTTAAATTTATGATAATATGATAATGATAAGTCATGTCAGCACATATGTACTGATGACTAAACCACTTTTCGAATTATGAATAACTCGACAAGATGCATCCTTCAACTATGGTAAGTTACAATGTCGACCATTATGAAAGCCTTATCATGGTATGGTATACATTTTTTGATAAAGAAATAACACTTGTAAAATTAACCAAAAAATTATTAATTAAAGCAAACTATCTTTGTTTCTGTATTTGGTCAACCCCATTAATGATATAATGTAAAGTTTGTAGGTTTAAAATAATTGTAAAATATTTGAAACATTTTACAACCCAAATATCAACAGACCTGGAAATGTGAGTAATATCCGACTTCCAACTTATTTTACTATTCATTATATCGTTTTGTTTCGAATGCATCTTTTATTCTTATAGGGGAACAAAACAGTCCTAGCTTTCCGTGTTATAGCTATCTTGAGCAACGCATCAGTTTAAATCAGTCAGGTACACACGATTTCCGAAATGACAATAACAAGCGCCATATCAAATGACTTTAAGAGATGAAACATTGAAAAACAACTCCTGTCAAAGACCTTTTTAATTTTTTATAATCATCTCTTAGCTTAGGCCGGATATATTCAGAAAGGAGAAGCTTCAAAAAAAGTGATTGAGTCAAAAACAAATCATAATGTTTGATTAATTCGTATACTTACATAAGCTTCCCAGCCAAAATGCATAGTATATTTCAATTTCATTTTTTTTTTGTCAAGGTTTGGTATCATGGCGGTTGTTTAATTTCATTGTATTCCTACTGTCATTTCATATCATAGCTTTCAATATGTTGATAAATTAATACAGTTTATGCTTATATTCAACAACAGGTAGACACAATATACATACAATTACTTTGAACTTTAGAATTACAACACATTTTGTATATACTTTTATATTTTTACTTACAATCTTCAAAAGGAATAAGATCTACTTTCGGCATTGGTGAGTATATCTGAAAAAAATACCAATATACTATGGATGGATAAAATAAGTTTTATTTCTAATGGAAATATATAAATTATTCACATGAGACATTTTTTTAAATCTAAACAAACATGCATACTGAAACATCGTTTATGGATGGTTTCATTCAACCCCTCCCCCTCCCCCATAAAATAAATAAAATAAAAGCAGGAATATTATTTAAACTAAAAGTGTACATAAGTATCAGGATATAAAAGCAAACACAATTTTACTGTAGGGAAAATAAGTGCATCTTTGATGAACTTAGAAAGAGAACTTATTTGCTGGCTATACACAAAAATGAAACCAGTCATATGACCAAGTCAGCTTTTAAAGTTATCTTGACCTTGATCCTTGGAACTTCAGTGCAATCATAAGACGAAGGAAGTCAACTTTTATTTGTCGATATATTTCGTAATCATGACACTTTGTTTACAAGCGATGATTTTTAACCATATGTTAGGTATTTTAAAATGTCATGCATTCATGCATTGTCTCTAGCTATGAACTATAACAGCTAATTTTTATTAACAAAATGTGATTCCATCTTCTTGATATTGAATATTGTTTCTACCTTGGTTCTTTGAAATATGTCATATTACTATAGAACACTGCTTAAGATATTTATTGTATAGAAATTATAACTTAGAACATTAACATGTATCGGATTGTATTTTCGGCTGCGTATCTTCTTGAAATATCAGTCGGTGAAATATCCAAGTACCTAGAGTGTTCATCACTTTTGCGGGAAGATATACAATTTGAAATTAAGGGATAATCTGTGCAATCCAATCTGTACAGAGCAACAAACAAATGCTGATTTTAAAGAACATTTAGAAACTAAAATATTCTTTAAAATGCTCCTGGAGTTCTCAATTTATACCAAAAATCTGCAAATAATGTTTTCGTTGTTGCAAAAATGATGGCAAATAGATTGTCTATGTCGATTATAAGGCATGTCTTTATTCTGTGCTGATTGGTATTGAAACGGTGCTTATGGTTTGACTTGGTCTTATTTCGAATCAAATGATGCAAAAATACCTGAATTTGCCAATTCAATTGAATTTGTGAAATCTTCTGTAGTATTAATGTTTGATAACAAATGAAACAATCTTCCTCAATAGACCAAAAGACGTTGATATTAGCAACAAAAGGTCACAAGCTGAACATGTTGTGGCGCCACACCTTATCTCTGAAATTGGACCAACTATAAATGTCAGATGAATAAGGTTTATCTCATCAAATTAAAACATAACACACCAAAAGAATAAACTTACAAAATGTCTTACGAACCAAAGTACAGATCTGAGAGAAATCACATAAATTTAATACGAGTTATTCTTGTTTATGATTTTGTTTCGTTTTTATTTACCTTAAAAGATAGGCTAAAGATGTGAAAGGGATATTTACACTCATAAGTCAAACAAGGGGATTCGATGGCCTTGTGGTCTACGTAGTTACTACTGTAATCACTAGCCAGTCAACACTGAGGTTGTGATATCGAACTCAGCTCATGCGTGTGCACTCGACACCAATCTTTTCATTGACTAGAATTGTCAGTTTTCCTATCGAAGGTCGGTGGTTTTCCCCGGGCACTCCGGCTTCCTCTACCAATAAAAACTGACCTCCAGGAAATAGCTCAAAAGCGGTGCTTAAATTGGTGTTAAAACACAAAAAAATAAAATCAAATCATAGGTGAAACACAAACTGACATTGCAATGATAAAAAGCGAAAAACGTCAAAATGCAAACAACAGTACTCAAAACACAAGATAGAAAACTAGATTCTGAGAAACACGAACCACACTGGGGGTGATATCAGTTGGTATTTAAGGGTAAGCATATCCGTCTCCCATGTGGTACCCCTCGTGTAAACTTAAACTTCGTAATTTGCTTGAATTCATTACTTTGCTTCTGGTCGTTCTCTTAGCTAGCTTGTAGATGAAAGGATCATAAACAAATCATTAATCTATATTCCTTGATGAGTGTTTTACAATGTATGTTCACAAACATGTTAGAATAAGGACTATGCATAACTGACTAAGGATATAGGCTTCTAATGTTTTTTAGTGATTAATTGATTTTTTCATTTTTGAAATTTATACATAAAAACTTGTTTGATGATGTAGACTTTATGTTAGATGCATGATTTGTTTTATTAGTTGTTAGTGGCTTTGAACTAGCTGTCAGTAACTGTGAGTACTCTCAGATCAGTATTTAGTGTCTTTATGTTGTTGGGATATATCCCACGTCCACTCTGTGTTTTTGTTAGATATATTTCTATTTGTATCCATCTGATGAGTTAAGCCTTTTTCAACTGATTTTTATAGGTTGTTCTTATGTTGGACGGTTTCACCACTATCCAAGGTTAGGGGAGGGTCGGGGTCCCGCTAACATGTTTAACCCCGCTAAATTCTGTATGTATGTGCCTGGCTCACGTCAGGAGCCTGTAATTTAGTGGTTGTCGTTTGTTGATGTGTTAAATATTTGTTTTTGTACATAAATTAGGCCGTTAGTATTCTCGTTTGAGCCTGGTTGTCGGTTGTTGCTGTATATCATATTTGTTTTTCATTCTTTATTTTGTACATTATATCAGCCGCTAGTCATACATTTGTCATTTCGGGGCCTTTTATAGCTGACTATGCGGTATGGGTTTTGCTCACTGTTGAAGGCAGTATGGTGACCTATAGTTGTTAATTTCTGTGTCATTTGGTCTCTTGTGGAGAGTTGTCTCATTGACAATCATACCACATCTTCTTTTTTTCATATTTGAGTAGTAATTAGACTACCGGAAACCAAGGAAGTTCTTTTTCTTGTTGATCACTCTTGAAACACAATATGCTTTCAATGGAGCCCTTTGAATTACTCGACGTGCCACTATTTGTCTTTACGCGTACCTAAAAAAAATATTAAAAAGAGATGAAAATTATTACACTAGAAATTGAAAGATGGACTTTTAAAAATGTATAAAATCCTCAATCCACGCAAACTTTATTATGAAGAAATGCAAAAAACTACTTTACCTAACCACCACTGTTGTGCATGGCATAGGATATTCTATAGTTCGGTTTGATATAAATATACATTAGTGAATCAGATGAAATAAATAATGAAACTCGTGAACAATAACCACAGATAATTTTATTTGTGTGTGAAAAATATAACATAAACTGCTTGATTAATGAATTAGGTATTCACAATCCCGTTGAAAACTCAACATATACCCCAACGAGTCTTTCCATTTCTTTGTAGCAACATTCCAGCAGTGACTGCATTCGGAGTATACATCTCCCAGTTGATACGACAGTTTAGAGTCGGTATTTCATATCCTAACGTTCTATGTTGATGGTTGCTGCTCAGAACGAAGCTATTAAACCAGGATTTCAAAAGGGTGAAATTGAAAGAGTCTCTTCGTACATTTTACGGACGCCGTCACGAGATGGTTGACTGTTGTAGAATATCATCGCACAAATGACAACGGATATGTTCCAATTGTCGTAACTACAATCCGGTCACATTTCCCTCGATTGTGAACTACCGAATTAGACTTATCAGCGGATTTGTAATTAACAGGAAGGGTGCAATGTGGAGCAGGATGTACTTACCTTTCTTTTCTCGTCCGTTATTAAATTGACAGGTCATTACAACATTCAATGATATACTAGACACTGATGTAAATACACAATATAGTTTTATCTCTAAATGATTCCAAACAAATATCAAATGTGTAATATCCTTATCTTATGCATTGAACAAAACAAGGACGGGTGCAATGTGGTATAGGATCAACTTACCTTTCTGGAGCACCTGAGAACACCCCCAGTTTTTGGTGGGATTCGTGTTGCTCAGTCTTTGAAAACCATGGCATTGATCCTTAATTTTCGACTTATAATCAGATACGTCTCCCATGTGGTACCCGTCGTGTAAACTTAAACTTTACAACTTCGTAGTTGGCTTGAATTCCTAACTTTGCTACTGATGTTTTCCTTGTAGACAAAGCCTCATCAACAAATCATGAGCCTACATTCTTTGATGAGTGTTTTCTACTTAAGAAAATGCCTGTACCAAGTCAGGAATATGACAGTTGTTGTCCATTCGTTTGATGTGTTTGAGCTTTTGATTTTGCCATTTGATTACGGATTTTCTGGTTTGAATTTTCCTCGGAATTCATTACTTTTGTGATTTTCTTTTTTACAATGTATGTCCACAAAAATGCTATTCAGAAAGATAAAAAAATATAAGGACTAGAAAGAACTTACTAGGGTTAAAGGCTTCTTATTTTTTTTATTGATTCATTTATTTGTTTTTGTTTGAAATCTATACATGAAAATTTGTTTGACGATGCAGACTTTTGAGAAATAATTAGCTTTACCGACGTTCCTGGAAGTTCTTCTTCTTGTTCATCACTCTCGAACAACAATTCGCTTTCAAAGGATCGAAATGAACAACTCGAAGTGCTTCGAGTCTTAAAAAATCATAAAAAGAGATGAAATTTATTACACTAGAAATTGAAAGATGGGTTTGAGATAAGCAATGGTATCACATAATCCTATGAACATACGGCTTAACGTTGCATTTCTGTAAATATTGACAATGCAATTTCCCATAGGAACTCCTTTTACGGCTAAAACTGTACCACTTTTACTATGAAGTTTTGTAAAAAATCATATCCTAGAATGGCAAGTTCATATGCACTACAATTTTTTTCAAAGGTCAAAATATAGGGCTGTGCGGCATATTTTCAACGTTTATATGCCCCGAACTTCTAAGAGTTTAAACTAACACTAAATTTCTTAACTATCCGTACCTTGACTGTAGGATTACCACAGATTTCAATATAAACAATATGCATATGTATATTTACTGGTAACATTCCCAAGTTATGTCTCTATGAGATGAAACATAGAGATCATAACTAGGAACCAGTATGTAAACAAAGTTAATTATCTATGAATATTCTATATCTCCCCAAAAGAGGCGTGGTTTGAGAAACAGCTGAATTTACAAAGTGCAACCTATACAAACATTTATTCCAATAGAAAACTCTCTAAAACACTTTTTCTCACATTAATACTTATTTATCAGAATTATAGCCTTAAAGAAATCACTGCATGAACTCTAAGTTTTCTTTTACTGTATATTTTATACCCCCTCCCCTGTTTCAATTTTTTAAAGAATTTGAAAACAAGACTTTAATTATTGCCAGCTTACCCTATTTGCATGTTTTCTGACATGAAATGCCTAGAACCTGTTTAAAACTGTTCTGATAACATATTGAAAGCATTTCAGAATATTGTAGATGTAATGTTTAGCAGTCAATCATTCCAACATTCAAGATTATATAAAGTATCCAATCCTGCCTGTGTCTCCAGTCCACACATTACTGTATGCCTATTTGTCAATGAAAGTTCACAATTTCTGCCTCAAATGGTCAGTTTAGAATTTTTGTCACAACAGTATCGTCTCTAACTATATATCTGACATAATTTAGCTAATATATGAGCTAGAAGTGTTAAAACAAAGCCATATTAGCAATAGTTGTATGTATGCAGATACCAGTCTGATGTATAAATTCACTTAAAATTTTATAGGAATGACTGCTAACATCTGATTTTTGCAAACCTTCCAAGCACAGTTATTGTTTTCTGTATAAAGACCTTTAAAATCATAAAATCATAGCATTTACAAGTTAAATTATTTATTTTATGACCCAGGGGGTAGGCAATTTTCTCTGTTTTTTGCCCCTGGGGCCTCAAATTTCCTAAATTATTCTGCTGTTTCTAGCAATATGGAATACTTAGTACATATTCAGGATAGAACACACTATTGTAAGTTTTGTTTAGATATGTTTTCTAGCTTGTATTTTTTATGCCGCGGTGACAAAAAAGCAGATTTAGGCGTTACGGCTTACTTTTGGGTTATCGACAAGACAAAAACACCCCACCAATAATATTCAGGAAGGATCTATGAGTTTCAATGACTTTGAAGAGTAAATATAAGCACTCCTAAACAATTTAACTTACAAATATGCATATATTATGAATTTATTTTGCATTCAGGGCTTTAAGTGACTATGCATACTGTAAACTGTGAATTTATGCTGAGTCATCATAGTTAAGGCCCAGGATTTTCTCAATCTTCATGAAATATTTATAAAACTTCATATTTGAGTTAATTTCTTCAAAATCTGTGAGATAAATCAAATTTGGTTAAATTCTGTATGTTCTCTTTTTTCACCCAATATAGGTTGCATTTCTGTAAATATTGACAATGCAATTTCCCATAGGAACTCCTTTTACGGTTAAAACTGTACCATTTTTACTATGAAGTTTTGAAAAAAATCATATCCTAGAATGGCAAGTTCATATGCACTTACCTACAATTTTTTTTAAAGGTCAAAATATAGGGCTGTGCGGCATATTTTCAACGTTTATATGCCCCGAACTTCTAAGAGTTTAAACTAACACTAAATTTCTTAGCTATCCGTACCTTGACTGTAGGATTACCACAGATTTCAATATAAACAATATGCATATGTATATTTACTGGTAGTATTCCCAAGTTATGTCTCTATGAGATGAAACATAGAGATCATAACTAGGAACCAGTATGTAAACAAAATTAATTATCTATGAATATTCTATATCTCCCCAAATGAGGCGTGGTTTGAGAAACAGCTGTATTTACAAAGTGCAACCTTAACGGGTTAATAATTGTTACTAATTTAGTCAAATACGTATTCAACCAATTTCTCGTCCGTTATTAAATTTGACAGGTCATTACCACATTCAATGATATACTAGACACTGATGAAAATGCACAATATAGTTTTATCTCTAAATGTTTACAAACAAATATCAAATGTGTAATATCCTTATTTTACGCATTGAACTAAACAAGGACGGGTACAATGTGGTGTAGGATCTACTTACCTTTCTGAAGCACCTGAGATCACCCCTAGTTTTGTTAGGGTTCGTGTTGCTCAGTCTTGGTCTTCTATGTTGTGATTTGTATACTGTTGTTTGTCTGTTAGTCTTTTTTTTTAGTCCGTATAGTATGAGCATGTACGAGCATAACGTATCAATTGAGATCATATGTAAACACTATACGACGGAGCAGAGGGTATGTTACTGCTGAGAAATGGAATTCAAATTAACATGCTCTTATTCATGCAGCAGTATAAAAGTGGGGGGGTTTTTTTGCTTATGTATAGGGACATTAACAAGTTTAACACTTAAACCTTATTTATAAATATTTAACCATTTTTAATTTCTGAAATCAAATTAAAACATCAAAATTAAGGGAAAACATAATATATTATGCCCAGCCACAGTCGTCTATGAGTAGAACATGTTAATTTTTTTCGGAGTCGACATATTGTGTTTTGTAATGAAAAATCAGTAGTGACCATTCAAAAATGCTTTGACTATGATTTTAACTTTTGAGTTAATGTTGTTAATTTTTCTTTAATCATGTGAAAATGTTTACCAAAGTGTTATAGTCATAATCTCATTTAAGGAAATCTGTATACAGGACACTTAAAATTTTAATATCTTATGCAATCTATACTACTAAGGAGAGAGACTGATTTCATTGAACTGCATCTCCTCTGAAACCAAACATGTACAAAGTCGGAAATATTTGTATATGTGACGTATACATGTAGTGTGTGGTACTTCCTAAATTTGTCTTTGAAACAATTTTTTTTTCCATTTTTTGAGAAAATAACCCCAATCGAAGACCGTTATCGATCCGTATTTGATACGCTTTCGCGCATGATCAGTCGACGTACTGCCTGCGAAATTTAAAATCACTTTGTTTCAACACTTGCCTAATTGTACCGCGATTTTGTGGGCTCCTTTTATTTAACTTATTTTAAATAAAAAAACAATGTTTATCGTATTAATTACCGGACTATACGAATATGTCGGACTACATGATTATATACGCATTTGGTCTTGACCATACGCGTATGGTCCAAATAATATAAAGTCGAACATTTAAAGCAGCTATTGAGCTTTCCCCATTTCTACAGTGAGTTTGTATTTTTCGGAATGTAATATATGCATAACTCAATTTTTTATTCCAAAATTCACTAATGGCCATCACAAGTGCAAATAATCGGTTTGAGTTAACTGTACATGTTGGGAAATGTTTTCTTATGAATTGCGTCTTTTTCGTTTAAGGTAGTGCTCTACAAGGAATGGGTAATTTTAGAACCGATCCTTGTAAACAGTTTGATCCTTTGACTAAAATTATCATGAATCGTTGTCAATCTGTCATTATAGCAAGATCTTCGATTTATGCCTTTATAAATTCTCAATTTGATTTAATTTTGAAATTTTTCTACATATCTTAACAAAATTGCATTGCTTCCAACTGAATTCCAATTATATTTTTTTATCAAATGAACAATTTATTTCATTATTCATTTTTTTTTTATTTTTTTTTTTTTTGCTTTAGATAATATGATACTTTCCAAACTGCGTAAGACGTTCTTGTTCTAAATTTGTTTGACTAATACTGATAACTGTTTAATTCTTGGTTATGTTGTTATGAATTAAATGTTCGAATTGTGTTTTTGATAATTCGAGTAATATTGTGTAAGTTTTATTGTGCTTAGCGTCGTTCTAATGTGGAGTATATTCATGCCCCCAGCCAACAGCATCTGGCCTTTGTAGTGTGATGATCTCACAAAACATGTTTAACCCCGCCATTGTTTTGCGTCTGTCCAGAGTCAGGAAGCTATGGTCTTTGAATGTGTTTTTTTTTTTTTTTTTATTTTGGGTCATTTATGTTTCGGAGTTTAGTGTGACGTCAATTTTCGCTGAACACCTTTTTGTAAAAGGAACAGATGAAGCCCGACTCCAGTTGCGAGACTTTTCTCGAGACCCATTAGAGGCCTTGGGCTGTTTTCTGTTCTTTGATCGGGTTGTTGTCTCTTTGATACTTTCCCTATTTCCATTCTTAATTTTATCCTGTTCAATACAAATTTGGTGGTTACTCATATTGTTCTAATTTTGATAATCAAACAATAAAAATATAAAACCGTCTTTCTACGTAATAAGAACATTAAATTTATCAGCGTTGATCTTCAAAAGCACACAAAACGAAACCAAACTATAAAACATTTTAAACCCGTAGCGTTTTCCGAACACGGCATAGCCAACTTTGCATTTGAAAATATAAATACATTATTACTATTAAAATATACTAGTAGATAACATCTTTTTTAGTTTAAAAAGAACGAATGCAGAAAAATAATTACCGTCATCGTGCTATTTGAAGGTAATTCTGTTTCCTCATCATCCACTTTAACATTATACTTGTCATCACGGGTTTCGGTCATCTAAATAACAGATAAAAAGTGTAACGTTGTTCTGTAAAATCGGGTTCTTTATATCATTTTGTCTAACATTGATAATCCAGCAATAAAATTTAAAGTCGACTTTTTGTATATTAGGTAAAACAAAATAGGTTAACTTTGATCTTCAAAAGCACATGAATAAAAAAAAATGGAAAGAATTTGTAAGTGTGACGTTGAATATTTAAAATGAATTTGAAAAATTTAAAACATGTAAACATTACCTTGTAATATATGAGCCAATCACTCGCCTATCCTTTCTGTTTAAAAATGAAAAACATAGTGTCATACATCTATTAACTAACGACCCTATGAAAAACGCCAAACATTTTCAGGTGATATCAGTGATTTTAAATTAGATTATGTCCTGTGTATTAGTTTAGGTCTTTAAACTATACTTTTTTTTTCGATAATTGGTCTTCACAATGTCAACATACATCATAAAATATCTTATTTAAAAGGCTGTATATATCTTTATCGATATGGAATTCACCCCAAGGCTACAAACTAGCCCAAGGCTACCAATGGGTCTTAAACACAGCGGTAAAATCCTACATCCGGAGGCGGACTTCAGCTAGCCTTTTAACAAAAATGTGTACAAGTTCAATGAAAATGGACGCCACACTAAACCCCGAAATATATAAATGAACTCATTTTAAAAAAAAAACATACAAGACTAACAAAAACCATAGGTTCTTGACTTAGGACAGGCAAAACATTTCGGCGGGGTTAAATTTGAAAATGGCATACCTCAATAAAAAACGAACATTAGCTCAAATATGAAATAACTTGCCGTCTTATAAAGATCGTGACAAATGAGGTATATGGTTAAGAATGAAAGATTAAAAATACGATAACAATTTATTTTTAAAGGACTTTCAAATCAAAAACATTCATTCAGACAAATTTGGTATGAGTCCAAATTACTACGTTTGTAAGTACTAAAGCACAGTAATTTAAAACTCAATTTATATATATATATGTTTCAATCTCACAAAAAGTAACAACTTAATTGAATTGAATGACGATAATTTTGTATTCACGTCCCGTATAACGTTTATTATCGCTGTAGCAATTTAACTGTCTTTAAAAACAAAATCGTGTTTTGTTCGTTGACATATCCCTTTAAATTTTATTCCGTCCATTTAACTACTTTTGTAATAGGTTTTGAACTAACACAATTCTACTTTTTGCAAACATCAATGAAGGCATATTTTGAAAAAAAAGTATAAAGGTATATACCGAACACAATTCAAAAGGCGAAATCCATATCTTCTGACAAAAAAATCATTATCTATCAACGGAAAATTTATTGTTACATTCATGAAGAAATTGGTGGGTATATCCTGGTGTTATAGATAGGCTAACACCCCAACTTGTATGATAGGTGTTTTAGCTTTTGATTTTGCCATTTGATTACGGATTTCCGTTTTGAATTTTCCTCGAAGAACGGTATATTTGTTATTTTGCTATTTAAAGTTCAATTATATTGAAAAAAAGAGTGATCAACAAAAACAGACATGATAGGTTAATACGACAATAATTTGTATCCAGCTATGGAAAGCCAACGGGGTCAAACTTCTTTATGCGTAAATTGTCAATGTGTAAATTTTCAAGGTTTAATTTGTCAATGTGTAAGTTGTCAATTGGTAAATTGTCAATTTGTAACTTGTAACTGTGTAATTTCAAAATTCTTAATTCGTAATTTGTTAATTTGTGATTTGTATCGTTGTCATTTCAAAACTCTTAATTCGTAAATTGTCAATTTGTAACTTGTATCTTTGTCATTTCAAAATTATTAATTTGAAAATTGTCAATTTGTAACTAGTATCTGTATGATTTCAAAATTCTTTATTTGGCAAATTGTCAATTTGTATATTGATGTTTTATGACTTGTAACATGTCGATTCGTTAAATGTCAATGTGTGAAATATCGATGTGTGAAATGTCATCGTTGTATTATGTTAACGATCATTATGACGACAGATGGCGCTCGGTTTCTTCTTCGGTTTATAAGCCTCCTGTAAGTAGGAGCACCTCCATATTGAATATATCCCTAAGTAATTTTAATCAAGTGAGTACAGCAAATGCGTCTTAAAGAAAACAAAACAAGAAAATAGCATGTTTACAGGATTCCAGTTTTATTTTGTTTACTGACATGGCGTTTCGTTTGAGAACGGAAACTATATAAAAATACATTTCTAATAGTTCAGTCCCTCCACGTAATCGATCTCTCCTAATTGCGAGGTTAATGAAATAGTCGTTGGTCAGCTAACTTGAATCATTCAAGCCTTTACCGTCTCCGATTCTCTCCACCTTTCGAGGAATGTAGTGATTGATAGGGAGCGTAATATAACGACTGGATTATTCGGGTTATTGGTCAGCGGAATATAACGACTGGATTATTCAGGTAATACAATAAGAAATGTGATAATAAACCGTATGGTTGCCAATGAGACAACTATCCACCAAAGCGAATTTCAAATAAAGTCGATGTTAGCAAGTATAGGTAAATTACGGCCTTCAACAATGAGAAAACCTTATACCATATAGTCGGCTATAAAAGGCTACATCATTACTGGAAAACCCGGGAACTAGTAACAAACGATTTCTATTAATCCTAAAATGCTATTATCGGACCATTTTATTCTGACAGGAGGGGAAGGGGCTGATATATATATATATATATATATATATATACATATATATATATATTAATATACATGCCTACTGAATTTTTCTGGTCAAGAAGCTTAAAAATTGCCGCTACCAGATTTCCGTTCTATCAGAATTTACAACCAAAAATACCAAAATATTCCCGATCCCTCAATCTCAACAGCTGCTTAACGCCCAGTGCTCCCGATATGAACCCCACCCGGTACCACACCTCCTTATAGCCGGCAACCTTACCTAATCTAAAATCTTGTTGATAGGATCGTTAATTAACCGAAATGATTCACGATGTTAATCATTTAAGCTATTTTTTTTAAATTTGCATGTCATATGAAATTAAAAATAATTTGCAATTAATTCGTAACAATATAATCCTAATATCCAATTGACAAACCATGTTGTATTCCGCCTGGCTCTTCTGTCGAGCAGTCAGCCAGGATCCCAGGCTACAATTTTACTCTAAAAATGACCCAAGACATACCCCGGGCCAATCCCCAAATCATGTGCAAATATTTTCATGGAGAAGTAAAATTAGTGTAAGCATATTGGAGATAATTGCTTCTGTCATGCAAATGGCGAGATGGCGAAATCTTCTCTCTGACAAGTCAAAGGGATAGGGCGTAATTTTGGTTAAAAATGGGTGACGCGTGTAGTAAAATAGAAACAGTTTCATAGTTTTACGATCATGGTCATTAACAAAATATCTAGAGGGGACACCTCCAAGAATTTTCGATCTAGTACCATGATCATTCTAGATCAGTATCTGTATCTGTAGGAATACGTTGTGAATACCAATACTGGCCTTAATATAACGATAGAGAGAGCGCCGTCGATGTATTGACGGTGCATGAGAGCAGTTTCTGAACGGCTATCAACGCTCGGTGTGCGCACTACAGTTTCTTCAAGGTGGTTTCACTCGAATACTGTTTTTACGAAAAATGAGTTAGAATATTGTGGAATTTTGCTCGTTGAGATCTCAAAACACTTTGTGTAGTTCTTGATCTGCATGTTTTTTCACAACATTTCTTGACTGATAATTCTTAAATCCCTTGGCAGCGATTCAGTGTTCTTTTTGGACGGCCTTTTTTGTTTAATTGTCTGGTTCTATAGCACTGAGAAACCAGCCCCTCGACCACCACGTACAGAAATATTAGCTTCTGGTTTAAGCGTCTTGTCTGTATGTCTTGTAGTTTCAGTTTGGTGAGCGTGTTTGAGACGTAACCAACTTCTCTGAATTGTAGTCTCCTGTTATGAATCTCACAGGTTGTTGCTGTTTTCTTTCAAGCTTGTTGATGTTTGTAGATGTGTACGGATCCCATACTATTGACCATATCACATTATTGACCTGGCCATTGAAATATATGCAGTTTCCTTGCATTCCGATGGACAATATCTCAAATTTCTTATCAGGAATCCTAGTGTTGATGTTGCCTCCTTGGCTACGTTGGAAATATTGGTAGTCCATTTTAGGTCCTCGTTTATTTTCTGGTCCCTCTAGATTTTATTACAAAATAGTGCATATTCAATACATTTTTAATATAGTATATAGTATACATTAACTAAGTGACTCATTTAAAATAATACTTCGTTCAGTTTGTTTTAGAAAGTACAAATATGATATAAAACAGTTTTTATCTTCATTACTCGGGAGCCAAATAAATAAAGATTGTTCGTCCATTTGCTTCTTGTATTAAAAAATCATTAGATAATTACATTCTTTTCTGAAATTTGCATATTGAGATTATAATATTAAGGAATAATTGGTGTCAACCCATTTCTCCCTTTATACATTAGTCCAATATTTGCGGCCCAGAACAATATTAGTATGAATTTTCCAGCACCGTCTTATATTTCAAGTATTTAGTCTAATTTTGACCCGGTCAAATAATAAGTAGAAATTTCCAGCCAAGTGACAGTAATATATTTGCGAAGTTGATAAGGAAGCCCATTCCAGTGACACATCTATATACCTTAATACAGGAAGTGACACACCCCATCCCAGGTTTGGTGACCACAGTAAACAAAAATATTTATTCGAGGTCACTTCTATATAAAACCGAGTCCATGGTATACATGCCATATAAAACATATGCAATGTATTTATCTATTTGTGTTCTTTTATATGTATGTGCTGTACATAATTGATTTAAATTACTGATAGGTATAGATTCCATATGGCGGTGCTCCTACTTACAGGAGGCTTATACACCGAAGAAGAAACCGAGCGCCATCTGTCGTCATAATGATCGTTAGCATAATACAACGATGACATTTCACACATCGACATTTCATACATTGACATTTAACGAATCGACATGTAACAAGTTACACAACATCAATATACTAATAAAATTTTAATTGACTATTAACGAAATAGGAATTTTGAACTGACAAAGATACAGGTTACAACTTAACAATTGATGAATTAAGAATTTTGAAATGACAACGATACGGGTTACAAATTGACAATTTACCAATTGACAATTTACACATTGACAACTAACACATTGACAATTTACACATTGACAACTAACACATTGACAATTTACACATTGATAATTTACAAATTGACAATTTACGCATTAAGAATTTTGACCCCGTTGGCTTTCCATATCCAGCAGCCACAAATTTTTAAACATACATCTCAACTGACTAAATATTAATAAAAAAAAAACATCCAAATAACTCTCACAAAGACTCTCACAGAAAAGGTGATGTAGTTGAGTAGTTAATTTGACAACAACAAAAAAATGAGCTTGATATTATATTGTATAGAACGTAAATAAAAAAGTTTTTGTAGTTGATAGTACATAGCATATATAGCACAAACCTTCTCGATAAAGTACAAATCAAGTATAAAATATAAATACATAGGTTAACAAAATGGAAACCACTCTCTTAAAATCTTGTGTCCGGAATGCCTCTCTGGACCAATTGACCAATGCTTTATTCGTGTATTATGAGATAAATTTATTGTTAAGTTAATTTCTTAGGTAAGTAGACATGTATGAAAAAATAAGTTTCAAAATCGTGAATATCTATAGAGTAATATAACATTAATTTCATAGTATTACAAATATTGAAATTTAATGCGAATTTACACCACTAATAAACACAACAAATACCACCTGTTCTACATTGTATCATAAATATATAATGTCCATCAATATTCGGCCTCAAAAGAGGCAAACAGTTTTAGACGGAAATAAATGCTGTCGTTGCTTTTTAGCACTGCAACTATAAATTTCCCGAACTTTTCTTCATTTTAACCAGATTAATATTAAACGTACATTTGAATAGAATATCAAGTTACAAAGTGAACTCTTTAGAAAATTGAAAAAAAAATCTTGTTGAAAACTCCGCGGCATGATGCAAAAAATTAACCAGGATGCAACTAGTTCCGTTTAAATAGAAATATTGTTTGAAGAGTTCACAAGAGGGCATACTAAAATTTAAGTTTTTGACATTAATTTCAGCCGATTTTAAATTGAATTAGTCATGTGTCAGATTATCTGTTTGTCACTAATTTCAAGCTATTTCCACCAGATTTAGAAGGGAAGTAAAAGTTAACTTGTGATGAAATTAATATAATGAAATACATAAATATTGTATGTCGCGTGAACTGAAGGAACACAAAAACCGTCCTATCTCATCGCTGAGAATATATTTCTTTTGTTTGTTGTATATTTTCAGATATTGACAGAAGAAGCGCCAAAGATTGTACAGAAAAACCATGATGTCTTTTTAGCTACTAGATACATAAATTGCTTTCCAAGAGTAAATCACCATGAGGTATTCAGATTTGAGAAAAACTGTCCGAGACTGTATTTGAATGGAAGACCACATGACCCAGATGAAAAGCTAACTTGCTTTTAGTTTTTTGGTTGTTTTTTTTTTTTTTTGCTTTGAAAGAACGGATTTTGTGTCATGCATGGATACCCCATATCCCTTGTTTTTCTATTGATATAAGGTAGTAAATTAGTTATTAAGAGTTGATGCTCAATGTCACGTTTGCTTACACTACATCAATTTCATTTTTTGTAGAAAGATATAGAATCATTCCCGAAACAGTGAGGTCCACCGTAATACTTCTGTTGGTAAAAATACAGAACCATTTACATTAAACTTGTTTGTCATTGGCTATCGTTAACAATGATTTTATGCTCACTCAGTCTATCAGAGGCCTTACAGAGTGGGTTTAGATACTCACATAAAAACACAATAGTCGATGGGGTTGATTCACAAAATATATTAAGAGGACAACTGCTCACAAGGAAGCTATTAAACCAAGAGTTCCAAATGGTGAAGTTGAAATCATCCCTTCGTAAATTTTGCGGACGCCATCACCAGTTGGTTAACCGTTATGGAAAATCCGTTTCACAGATGATATCGGATATGTTCTTTTTGTCGTAACTACAACCCGTTCCTTTTTCACGAACGTGACCTACCGAATAAAACTATTTGCCGGGTTTGTAATAATATGAGCAACACGGCGGGTGCCACGTGTGGAGCAGGATCTGCTTACCCTTCTGGAGCACCTTAGATCACCCCAGTTTTTTTTAGGGTTATTCGTGTAGCATAGTCTTAAGTTTTCTATGTTGTGTCTTGTGTATTATTATGTGTCTGTTTGACTTTTTCTTTTTTATAGCTATGTCCTTGTCATTTTATTTTCGATCTATGAGTTTGAATGTTCCTCTGGTATCTTTTGCCATTCTTTTGTGATCATTTTAGAGTAACCTACCATTTATTCCATGTGTGGCATTTGTTTGTGAAAAGATATTTTTTAACTGGATTGATCATCGTTTGAATCATTCAGTCATACAGAGAACTCAAGTTATTAGTTTGCCTTGAATATTCCAGTACTACACAACTCAATTGCTTCTTTTTATGTATACATCTATATGTATATCTAGTTAATTAAAAGACTTTTCTGTTTGTAATAATCCTTTTATGAAAAGGGGAAAACTGTTACGTGTGTGTGTGATCCTTTTTTGTCTCTTTTGCCAAAGATAGTGTGTCATAAACTAAATTGCAGTACCGTCGGTAAATCATTCTTGCATCTCTTGAGTTAATGTTCATGAGTTTATGTACTTACAAAACTTATTTTCTTGTAACGTATTTTATTGTTGAAAATGAATGTTGTCCGTTTTTTAACGTTATTGTCGTCGTTGACATACAATCGGTTCTCTTTTTAAAAAATATTGGAAAAAGGTTACTTTGTGTAAATTATAACAATTATTTCAACTTAAACTGAAATATTATATACATATTTTATTACTGCGATCTAAAAAATATGTTGATATATAAACTGCCGTCAATTATTGTGTGGGTGTAAGTTGGGCCGTTTATAATAAAAATAAATAATCGATTTTAAAAAAGAAGAGATAAAAAAAAGTAATGTAAAAATGAATATGTATGTGTATGAGAACTCCCTCTACCCAAAAATAAAACCCAGCATCACAAACACACACTGGCTTAGAAATGGGAATAGTCGGTGGACAATTAATCCGCTACCAATGGTTTTTCACAAGAGTATAGTGGTTAGCAGAAAAGTTCCAGTTTCCAAAATACACAATAAATACATTTTACCTACATGTATCTCGTGAAGAAATGCAAATTTAATTAGGCTTGGTCCAAATAGTTTTTTATTGTCAAATATATTACAAGTACGAAAAACGTACGAAAGTATGTTCTGTCTATATTTTTTAATCATTGCACAACTATTTAAAGTTGAAACCGACCGTGCGAGGGCTGTATAGCCAGTCAAGGTCGTTAATAACTTCCATTTGTTTGAAGCATTAGTTTAAAATTACAAAAGTGAAATTTTAAAAGACACTAAGTGAAATAGGCAACCGCATTGGGTTACTTGCCTCTAGTCTGAAAAAGATAATAGCTAACACATATATTGTAACTTTTTAAAGCTAGTTGAAAATAATTTTATGTTTAAAGAACGTGCGATATTATAAAAACTGTTTATCGAAATCTAAGAAAAATGAAAGTAAAGAACGTTCAAGTAGTCAATATTAATCAAAACACGAAGATGATTCCTGTACTTGTTTTTTTTCGAATTATCAAGTTTAGGCGTTGACCCCACAGTTTAAATGTCTATTATAAATAAGACGTGATAAGTGGGCGTTACAGACCATCGTTCACCTAATTTAAACCAGCCAATGGGAAACTTTAGCCCGACAAAAATGCTCAGGACTATGCTGTTTTAAAAACGATTCCATTTTTAACTTTTAATTGCAATGGATCTCTGTAGCCGATTGGTCAAAGTACTTCATATACAACAGTCACTAGCTAGCCTACCACATTGAGGTTGAGCTTTCAACAACTGAACGATACAAGTGCGTTTGACTCCAACGTACATTGCCGAGGCTTGGTGATTGTTCTTCTTAACATTTCTGTCTATCTCTCAAACATGTTAAAGATCTCATAATGATAAAAAAAAACAGAATAATAAATCGATTCTAAGAACTATAACTCTGTAAATAGTAGTATCATAATGTTAGTAAACATGACATTATGTAATATCGGACATGAGAAACATTTTTGCCTTTTTCTCTACCTATAACAATTTTCAAAATAAAAGAAATTATTTCAATACTGATATCAGGTTATTTGTTTTTTTATTTTGTTTTTGAGATAAAAAAAAAAAAAAAAAAAAAAGGGCAACCGTGGCTTTATCAAGGTAACTTACTATTTTTGATGGTAGAAAAAGCAGGACTGCCAAGAAAGAATCATAAACCGTAAGCAGGAAAACCAAAAAATCCTCGAAAACATCCCAGCTCTTTATGAGTAGGGTTTGCACTTACAACCTCAGGATAACAGGTTAGTAATCACTAAAAATGACATACTAAGGTCACAGTGGCGCCTCATATTTTTAAGTAATGTCAGGTTATGAAATTGAAAACAATAAAAATTGATAACATTTTGAATTCATTCACTGTCCGCCGTTTGAAGGTATTTAGGTAAATAAATCACCTTATGTTCCATTACGGTCAGATATAACTCAATGCAAATTGTTAGGGACAGGGAACAATAAATAGACTATGTCACATATTTTGCTAAAATTCGGCATATAACTTTGGCTCATGAAACTATTATTGAAAGTTGAAAACGATTATAACGCATTTATCTCTTATAGATGATGTATTTCCCTCGGTTTCGGTTTGTAACCCGGATTTGTTTCTTCCCAATTGATTTATGATTTTTGAACACCGGTATACTACTATTTATTATCTGAAATCTTACTGATTGAATTCTTTCAAAACAGTGAACACCTGACAACAGTATCGTCACTTTATTCCTTTAGAATAATTCCGTTTAACGGTTTGGTTAGCTTTTAAGGCGAATGACGATATTTGATTTTTGTGCTTTTTATAGAATATCACTATAAAAGATTGGATGTAAAATATCTGAACGTATAAAATGTGTGCACGTTAATTTTTATTTACGAATGGCCTTGTACCGATGATAAAATTTTGAAAAAGTTTTGACAAGTTTGTGATATCGAAAACACTGGTTCAGTAATACATCTATTGTTTTTGTAAAATGTAATACGTTTTACACACACAAGCGAATCGAATAATTTGAGATATATAAACAACATAAAATGGTGACACGGAAACGTCACGATCTAAAAATTTATAATTAACAATAGAAATTGGAAAACCATATCTTGTATCGTAAAGTTCCCGTGTAATATATATATATATATATATATCAAAATCCAGGAAGGGAAGTTGTTCATTGTTAGTTTTAGCTTTATATGAAGTCAGTTCGACAGAATAATTCTCTTTAGTTAAACCAAAATATCAATCAGTACACACCTGACTTCCAATGGATTAAGTGTAAAGACGTCATCAATTGTCAGAGAAAAAGAATGCCTCATGCAAAGTTACTTTCATTGGGAAAGATCAAAGCCGCAAATTTAAAAGTCAATAATATAAAAGAATCGAACCATTGAAGAGTCATTTGAAATAAGGCCCGCTTCATTGAACATAGTGGATTCAAAAATTTGCATTGGCTCAAATGGATTGATGTCTATGTGGTTTTACTAAACTGATAAATAATGACTATTATTGAAAACCAGTTTTCATAGAACAATAAAAGGTTTCCGCATGAAAAAAGTAAAATCACAAAAATACTGAACTCCGAGGAAAATTTAAAAAGGAAAGTCCCTAATCAAATTGCAAAATTATACGCTCAAACATATAAAAAGAATGTACAACAACTCCCATATTCATGACTTGGTACAGGCATTTTCTTATGTAGAAAATGGTGGATTAAACCTGGTTTTATAGCTAGCTAAACTTCTCACTTGTATGACAGTCGCATAAAATTCCATTATATAGACAACGATGTGTGAACAAAACAGGCAGACATAATAGGTCAAAATGTCAAAAATAGGGGTACATCAGTCAACAAACATAACGTTATTATCTTAATCACTATAAAAAAAACAAATATGTAAACAAACATTTACCACGACACAATAATACAATAACGGGATGTTTAAGTACAGAGCCACGTCTAGTCAGGCAGTGTCAGCTTCAAATGCGTATAAAATGTGCGATATCATATACCAAAAATCTAGAGACTTCTTTTCAAACAACAATACAGAGCAAGAAAAGAATTAGGCGAGAGAAAATAAGTAATCAGTACAAAATGAAAAGGTCTTTCTCAGCGAAATTGGAAAGGATCTAAGAAATTGAAAGATAAATTTGAAATAAACATATATTACGATTCCAATTACATAGGCTTGTCAGTATCATCAAAATTTGAATACAAAGTTCTACTCAAAACAGACAATTCGGGCAAAGATAGTCCCTCAGGCAAAGTTTACCTTAGATGAATTTGGCTATTTGTTTTAGGTAATTTTTTTATAGCTATTCAACTGTTTCGGTACTTATACATCCCTCGGATTTCAAATGTTTGGCATTGAGCGTTCCTGATGAAGGTAAATCTAGAAAAGCGCTTCGGACGCATGAAATTATTAAACGTGTTGTTTTCAATTTTTTTAGATTAATTATGTTTTTTTTAAGTCGATTGTCCGTTCTATTTTCTCTTCCATCAAAGCAGCAGCATTACTTTTTCTGAAAAAAGAATAAATACATTTAGATAATAACATTACCGGTACTTATAAATCAAGTATAACTACTAAGTTAAGTTAACAGTATATTCTAAAAGTATAACACAAATATCAAAACTTTTTTTGTTGTTTTATCGATTCAAACGAAAATATTACACGTTTTTATTTCAATTAATGCATTTCGTTTGTCTTACAATATCAATCAAAATTGTAAATCACTATTCCATGTAAAATAACAATTTAATTTTGACCAAAAAACTGTTTTGTAATTTTGACTTTACCATAACCGTCATTCAATTGGTACATTCAAACAAAAAGTACTGAAAGTACTGATAACAACGAGCAAGTGTTGCCATCGGCACAAGAAAAGTTTAATATTGACCATAGAAAACTAAACTCGTCAAAATTGTCTTAAGTTTGCTAATGAAATGATTAAACTAGTAATCAAGGATCATTACTTAAAATACCAGTGAATAATTATAGTGTTGCTAAATAAAATGAATAATAAATGTGTTTGTTGGACAGAGATATTGCCCCCGCTTGTAAAAAACGTTTAAAAGGGCATTACTCGAGGACGGTCAAAGGGATGCCACCAAAATTCGAGCTTGATCTGTGTTTTATGGAAATCCAGTTTCATAACATTTTGTTTAAACTAAACTAAAATTGGAGAATGGAAACAATTTTGGGACCTTCGTACGAACGTACAAATAATGCTGGCTCTCTGTCCGCTGTGGTAGGGGTTAAGAAATGAATACTTCGTTAAGCTTTATATTTCGAAAAAGGAATTTTAGGGGCTAACGTTATTGATACAGTTCAATTACGCAATGAGTATAAGACCTTTAGATAGACAGCTGTCTACACAATTTGCCTATCTTTACATCGTACCTATTCTGAACTATGTTTAAATTAATCAAGGATGTGCAACCAACCCCAACTTAATCCAAATGACATGACAATAAGATATGGCAAAAGAAAACCAAAAATGATGTTTCTGACTTTTAATGTGTCTGTGTATATCTAAAGATTTGAGATAGCAACCATTTTTCCTTCAATTTCTCGCAGTTGACTAGTAAAACGTACTAATAAAAAAAATCAGTTTATGAAAAGCTCCTTTAAAAGGGACGAATTGTTGAATTTTTCTATAAACCTTGTGCCTCAAAATAAAAATCTTAGGGTTTAGATTGTACAAGATGTTATCGCATCAGCATCTCTTGTCTTCAAGGCAAAACATTTTTCATGTTTCTTCGCCAGTTTATTCTGTGTGCAATTTTAATAGGTATAATAATTCTCGAATTTCTTTGAATCACAAATATTTATTGAAGTAACTTTGATACAAAGATGTATCCAATTGAGTATGGACTTTTTCTTGTATTCAATATTTTCATCCTTGCAGATACCATTGTTTCTGTTGAAGTCGAACTAAATAGGATCAATTGTTTTTATTTTTTTCGAATAATCTCCATGTTAAGAAATTTCCTGATTAAATTATATTTCTTTGTCCTTATGTATTACATCAGAAACGGATTACATCTACCAGTAACAATGTAATGATTTCTATTTATTTATGTGATAATATTTAATTTCTTCTGTTCTTTATGTGATACAAATCCCCATTATCAAGCAGTGTGATTTGTATGTTGTAAAATAGCAACAACAATAGAGTTGTTGTATTTGATCAGTGAGTTAATACCGGAAATAAACAAAGAAAATACCAATGGTGAATGTTAAAAATATTTATCGTCACAGAAAAAAGAATATTTTTGTTCTAATATAAACGGTACCAAATTTGCTGCACTAGATTCGCATTTAGACATTAAATGTCTCTTCAGTAATTCTCCAAAATACTTGAAAATCTAAAACCCTTATATAACCTTTGATTAGCTAGCCAGATCGACAAAAGTTCTTTTTCTTGTCAATTAAGTATATCCTCATATTTGGATAAAAAAATACTTACTCGTCCTTGTTGCTTGTGTTTTTCTTTTTCTAATCTAAAACCGAATATTAAGAGAATGAGAAATGCAATAAATATAAATAAAATGAAAGCACCTTACTCCCATAAGGATAAAAGAATAAGTAATGGAAACATGTTTACAGCCGATTGCATTGAGTGTGTAGGTAAAGGAGATATCTATGATTATCTTGCTTGCTAGCTGAACCGTGATGCATTATTAGGTTATGTAAACTTCCCTCTTTTAAGAGTAGACTAGTCTGACAGATAACCAATCTATCTGTCTGTAGAACTGTACTACTTCGAAAGGAGGGTAGTATACTTTACCTAATAATGACTTCACGGCTCAGTTAGCAAGCAAGCTAACCAAAGATACTACCTTTATCTACACACTAAATGCAATCTGCTGTAATATTTAAATCATTGAACCAAGTTTATTTGATTGTTTAAAAAATCTAAATAACATATATTTTGAAAAAAAGTCTTATAATAATTATTTAATGCATTTTTTCATTAGGGAATTTAATCAAATTATGGATGGTTGTAAAACAAACAATTCATGAAAGTAATATTTCAAAAACTAGTACCAAATGAAACACGCTAATTCATATTCACCGTTTTTGAGTCGAATGAGTTCTGGGTAATATTTTTAAAAGTGTACACCAAAACGTCTTGACTGGTTTAAAACATCGTAAACAATGAAAATTCAACCAATGACGTGACGTTATTTTCATTTTGGGGTACGAACATTCAAATTACCCGTAGTCCTTTGTATTCTGTAACGGCCAATTTTATACTTGTTCGTATTCAAATATGTTTGCAAATCTTTAATTTTGCTTTTTGTCAGATATTCGAAATCTTTTGGTTAAATCCATGACGTGTCATCACATATTTTGCCCTCTACCCCCTACTTTTCTTTTTATAATCATATTCGAGTAGTGTTAAAAGATATTTTGATAATCTTAAGCTGATCACAATTATATATTACTGTAAACTATATGTCAGTGTGAAAAAACGTCAAGGAGACAATCTCAAAATGTTTTAAAAGAAAATGCGTGCAAAGTTAAAAAAGAATGTTATAACATCTATTGGATTTATGAATGACATAGCAATCAAAGACAACGCTGGCTAATCCGAAAAAATACATGGAGAAACAAATATAAAAATATTGATTCAAACCTATCCAAATTCAAACGTGTATTTGGTATCTTAGCAAAATCGTTGTAAACATTTTAAGTCATAGACATTTATGTTCTTTTTTTAGTAATGGAGACGTTTTTAATTTTAGTTCATTCATATGTTTTTGAGTCTTTTTGTGTGTTAAGTATGAACTATTACACATTTTTATTTGGGGGCCAGCTGAGGACAACCTCCGTTTGAGTGATTTTTTCGCTGCCTTGAAGACCTATCGGTGGCCTTTGGCTGTTATCTGCCTTTTGATCGGGTTGTTGTCTCTTTGACATATTCCCAATTTCAATTCTCAATTCTATCTAAATGACTGCTCACTGTGAATTTAGATCATTTACAATGTACTGTAAAGACTCTTTCTCAGCTTCCAATCTCTTAAACTGTCTTTCTTTCTTTTCGAAAATTTCTTTGGAATGTATTTCGGAGAGTTTTACCCTGAAAAAAAAAACTGTCTCTGGTTTCAAACTTAAATTTCAATCTGATATAGCCTTTTGCATCAGATCAGTATTCAGGGATGTGGTACTGACATGATTTATTATTATTCGCCCCCAGTTTTTGGTGGGGTTCGTGTTTCTTAGTCTTCAGTTTTAAAAGATGTGTTTTGTGTACTCTTGTTTGTTTGTTTGTCTTTGTCTTTTTAGCCATGACGTTGTCTGTTTATTTTCCCTCATCTTATGAGTTTGAATGTCCCTTTGTTATCTTTCGCCTCTTTTTAATTACCTTACTTAAATTATCTGTATCAAATTTTGAAATTCTTTTAAAAAAACAAGGTTTTAACTATCCCCAGCAAAGTTAAGATTAGACATGTTAGATGTAATTGTTAACAATACATGCATATACGTACGTTTTGCGTATAACGTTACTTGAAACCCCTGTTACATTAAAAACCTATATATTTTTGCACGATTTTCTGGATAGCAATGACGTACTTTAATCAATTTTTGTTATTTCCTATTAACGCAAAATAAAAGCTTCAAAATTCCTTAAACAAACCAGCATAAAATCATTATATGTTAAACTTGCAAAAGCGAACAATATATAGAAAGATATTCAACGGAAATCAACAAATTTAGACAAACAACACCGATCCTGTTCTATTTGTATCTTCGTCTCTCTTTCCTTTTTTTCTATATACAGTTTTGTTTTTATCATTCTTTCAATTAAGGGAAACTGGTAGCTGAACGTTTAGCAACTAACCACCAATCAATCCATGTAATGCCAAAATAACCAGAAATAAGAATTCCATCAGCACTTCATTTCCAAACGCAAAGGAGATGTAAAGTGAATTGGAGCGGAAACGATTTTTGTTCGTATACACATTGATGCCTATGTTGAAGGTTTTTTTTTTTAATTTGTGTAGCCGGCACTTATACTACAATTTGTATATTCACATGGAATGTTATAATACCTAGGGAGTTTCAAATCGTTTGAGCAGAAACAATGTTTGACGGACACACGGATACATTACGGGAGTAAGCTTATTACTATAGGTCTTTAACCGATGAAAAATGTAATTCCAACAGTATACTCTGTATTAAAAAAAGGTGGATGATACGAAATGGATACTCAAAATTTATTAGTCGAAAAGAAACTGACAACGACAAAGCAAACGAAATAAAAACGACGTACAAACCATGTAGTAAAACAATCTTCAACATGCTTAACAAAACACGAAATAGACAACTGAATACTGAGCAACAAGAATATTTCCATAAACCTAAAAACCTATAAATATATGTTCAAATTTCGATTGATACTGAAAATCTTATATTCGTGAATATGAATTAATGAGTAATCCATTCAAGGGTGCTTTGATAGGATATACATATAGTCAATCCGTTTGCTGCGCTGTATTCTTTCTCATTTATTCTGCAATTTTGAATTATAATTCATATGTTTTTAGTTGTTATCAGATATATTTGTTTCGACCAATGTAATGATGGTATGGAGACGTACATTCATTCAAGATAGCATCATAAACCAAATTTTAGCTGTGCTTAATGTCCTCTTTAGGAGGAAGCAAAATCACTTTTAATAAATGCGAAATATATAAGCAACACGACAGGTGACACATGTGGAGCAAGATCTGCTTTCCCTTCCGGAGCACCTAAGACCACCCCAGTTTTGATGGGGTTTGTGTTGACCAATCTTTTGTTTTGTATGTTGTTTTGTTTAATGTTTTTGTTTGTTTGTGTATTTCTTTTACATCCAAGGCGTTGTCAGTTCATTTTCGACTTTGAGCTTGAATGGCCCTTTGGTATTATCGCCTTTCTTTTAAAAACTCCGACTAACATGCATTATAGTTAACTAATAATATTTTTAAGCATATTCTTCCTACTATTAATAAAAATATATAAAATTGATGAGTAGTTTAATTCCTTCTGAAACGTGTGAAATTACATTAGGAAAAAAAATCATACATACCACTCTTTTGACTTAAGTTTCTCTTTTTCTAGTCTGAAAAGCGGAATGAAGAGAGAGATGAAATATGCAAATGACATCATAATTATAAAAAAACGCCATTAAAAATTAGGTATTTGGAATATATTTTGAAACATTTTCTTCAAAAAATAAATCAATCTTATATTATTATAAATGAAAAGACTTGCTTTTTAAATCATACTAAACAATAAAGACAACTTACCATAGTCTTTAAGTTATTCCCAATTAAATCAAAATCAAAATGGAGTTTATGTATGAATAATTAATAGGGTTAGCTTTGACACTATAGTTTTGAAATTTTCATTGATCAGAAGTATAATAAATACCGAAAATAAATATGACATTGATTTTGTAGTTTTGTTATTTTTAATTGCCATTATTTTGATAATTGATTTCTGTATTATGTAAACAAAAATAGGTTTATAAATGTATGTGTCCACAATAAGTTTATGTTTAAGGTATTACGGTTTATGAACAGACAAAATTTCAGAGGCTTAGCTCAAATCCTAGCAATTAATTTATTTGATTTTAATATAACATTCGGAGATATGGTATGATTGCCAGCGAAACAACTATTTACTAGACTTAGTTAAAACTTAATGATATGCCCTTGAACCCAGTTATTGTAACGAGCTGATATAATCCATGTGTTTTGCTATATTAGATAACATACATGTTTGTTAGTCTTTTTGTGTGTTAAGTATGACGTTCATTTTCACTGAACAAGTACACATTTTTATTTTGGAGCTCGCTGAAGACCACCGTCGGGTGCGGGATTTTCTCACATCGTTGAAGACCCATTTGTGGCATAAGCAAGAGGGATAGGGGAAGGGATAACATCTCACAAAACATGTTTAATTCCGCCGCATGTGTGTGTCTGTCCCATGTCAGGAGCCTCTGTCCTTTGTTTGTCTTGTAGGATATTAGATTTAAGTTCATTTATATATTTCGGATTTTAGTATGACGTCCATTTCACTGAACTAGTACATATTTATATTAAGGGGCCAGCTGAGGACCATCTCCGGGTGCAAGATTTTCTCGCTGTGTTGAATACTCATTGGTGGCCTGCGGCTGTTATCTGCTCTTTGATCGGGTTGTTGTCTCGTTGACCTATTCCTTATTTTCATTCTCAATTTTACATATCCAAATAGTACAGAAATATACAAAAAAAAGATATACACTAGGCTATATCTTAATTTCACTGTTTGTATAAATGTAATATCAGGAAAGTGTATGTCATAGAGATTATTGTTTTTCCTTATTGATATTAACGAAAACTGATTGGAGTGGATAAAAGTAGGTGTATTCTATAGAATTAACAAAACGCAACATATTTTCAATATGGGTGCTTTCCCTGTTTGCAATGATTCCATTGAAGATACATTTTATTACAAAACTAACACACGGAAAACCTGAGATACAAATATTCATATAGGATCTAAATGGGAAATGCATAACTGATATCAGTATACGATCACTTTTCAGTCTTGAATTGATTCTTGCAATAAACCAATTGAAGTAACATTAATTTTTCAAAAATTGAAACAGAGGAAACATGAGTCAAAACGTATTCAGATATGTTCAAAATAAGAACTGCAGAACTTAAATCAATGAAAAAAAAACTGTACAAACACTTCTAACTGGTTGCTTACTGTTTTTTTATATCATTTAACGTATCTTGAAGAGACTCTTTTTCTGCCTTCATCAATATTTGAGTGTATTGCAATCTCTTTAATTCTTTTCCATTTTCTTCTAAAATTTGTTTGAATTGTTTTTCAGAAAGCTTAAATCTGAAACAAAACAGTAAAGATTACAATATTTAAGCTTATTTGTATTAATAAAGGCAATAGTAGTTTACCGCTGTTTAAACGTCATAAATCGAGTTAGAGAAAAACAAATCCGGTTATCAAACTAAAACGGAAGAAACACATCAACTATACTCTATAGTTTTCTATGTTGTGTCTTGTGTACTACAACTTGTCTGTTTTTCTTTTTTTCTTTTTAAGCCATGGCGTTGTCAGTTTATTTTAGATCAATGAGTTTGAATGTCCCTTTGGTATCTTTTAACCCTCTTTTTTAATAAGTTTTATGGTCAATTTTTACAAAGTAAGATTTATCTTGTCCTAAAACAAGAAACGTGTATCTACGTTGGACATTATCTATATGAAACAAAGCAATACCAACTCTTTCAATTTGTCTTTAAGCTCGGAATGGGGAATACTTATGTAATGTGTTGAAAAGTCAAATATTTAAATACTATTGCAGGATGAAAGAGCCCTCTAAAAGATATTTGGAATTTTGAAGTATCCACATCCACCTCTAGAAAAGGCAGTTTTCCATTATCACTGGTGGTAAGCGGATGGTCGTAACGTAAAGTTACGACCATTCAAAAATGGGAGACAACTCTAGGGATAAGTTTTTCTTTTCCGATTTTCGTGCAGTAAAAGGTTCATTTCAGCCAAACCGCTTATCTCATATACACCTATTGTGAGTGCGTTGATATTGAAACCAAATTTGATACATAAAATCATTCCAATTTTCGTAAAATAGTCATGCAAAAATTCGAGCATGATGATCGTAACTAAAACAAAAAAAATGTTGAGGATGGTCGTAACGTAAATTGTGATGGTCGTAACTCTTTATTAAATAAGACCGAATAAGGTAAGTCAATAGTTTTAAACGTGTTTTTTATTATATGAATATAAATATGATATATTTGTGAAGTTTTTTTATTTTTACATTCAACGTATAATAAAGCAATTTCGGTCCGTGTAACACTTATCAATTCAAAATTTTAAAAAGTTTTCAATAGTTTTTTGGAATTTTTATTAAAGTTTTCAAATATCAAAATTCCAAATTTTTAAAATGTTTTGGACTGAATACGGCAAGTCAGAGTTTTAAACGTGTTTTTTTATTATATGAATATATTATATGATATATTTGTGAAGTTGTTTTCACCACATTATAAAACTAAAAGGGGTGAAGAGAGGGGTACCTGTAAAGTGCGAAACGGAAGAAAATTGGAACGAATCGAACGAAACAATACAAACTGAAATGAACAGTCACTGTTACTTTTAATATAATGTATAAAATTAACCAAGAGGCAAGTAGTTGTAAGCGGTTATATTCAATAACATTATAAAATTTCTCAAAAGTGGTGAATTCATTTTAAAACAAGAAACACAGCTCTTGTTATGATCATTCTTAGTTAGGAATAAAAAAGAACTAAATGTATCAAATCATTTTTATTTACAAATTCACAAAAGATTTTAAGAAAAGGTGTTTTTAACATATTGGACATCACATGAAATAACAGTATCCTAATTTTTTTGCAGTAGATTTTGCATCTATTGAAAAGATATACTTTGTTAAAACTATTTGAGGATGAACCAACTAGGTGGAATTTCAAAAAAAAAAAACGCAATTTAAGATTGATACTTTAAGTCGAAAGAGCATGAGTAAGGAATCAAAATAAGTTAAAAATATTGATAGGTTATGGAGTTCGTTATCGAGACCAGACCATTCCCGCGAATTCGCAGGTCCGTACCTGAATTAAAGAACATACGCCTTATTCTTAGCCTGGATTTTAAGAAGTCGTATTGTCATTTGGTATAGTCAAGCTGATTATAAGGTGCACAGTTCCCTTACAATAACAAAGTTCAGGTATGATTATTACCAGTGGTTCTAGCAAATCCTGAATACGCCTATTAGTACCATGCCAAATTGCCATTGTTAAAATTATGCAAACATCTCATAAAGCAAATAACACGGATAATTAATTTCATAGCCGTGTTCTAAGCGACATGTACATGCAGGTCATAAATTAATTTGTTGAATGAAATCAAATCGTTAACTAGTGATAGGTGCCGTAGAAGGTCCACAGAAGTTTTGAGCGAGAATTTATTGGCATGAATTGGAATACTGAATCCATGGGGTCGCAATAAACCTTGTGTTAGCTTCGAAAGTAGGAGGTTGTTTATATCTATTCTTCACTCTATCTGCTATACACACTGAACTTAAGAACGGAATCAAATACATGTATGAGCCTAGGCTCCTTGTTGAAGACCGTACCTTGAACTTTAATGGTTTACTTTTATAATTGTGACTTGGATGGAGAGTTGTCTCATTGGCACTCATACCACATCTTCCTATATCTACGAGTAGCTTGTAGGAAGGATAATATTAAAAGATAGAACTTTATGCTTCAACTCAGCATGCTGGTCTTTTAAAGCTGAATACATTCATACAATATAAATATATAACATACTCATTATTATCAACCTGCATATGTATGTGATAGTTGCCGCAGTACATTTAGTTCTACCTTGTAATATAATCCTGGCTACAATCCTGGCTACAAGCCTGGCTACAAACTCAGCGCGTGTAACAGTGTAAAATACATATCACCAATATTCCTACTTTCGAGATTAACCCAATGTTCATTGCGACACCATGGATTCAGTTTTTATTCCGCACCAATACTTTAATAGAACTAATATCAATGATATACCGCAATATATGATCGTCATGCAATCAATAAAAAATAAAGACAACACGTTAAAAACTCCAGGACTCCGAAGCGCATTTGTGGATTTACCATCATCATGACAGACCAAAAGCCGAATCTATGAAGGCCAATGGTTTATAAAAACTGCAATAGCTGATTAAAAGTTAAAGATGATTGTTCAAAATTGTATGTTCAAAAGCTTCGCTCTGCCGACATGATTGCAGATAATAAAAAGTCGTAAATAAAAAAAATCTAAAGAAAAATATGACGGAATACACGTGTATTGAACAATTTTATGCCTTAACGTACAGTAAAAAATATATATTAATACTCAACCCTAACATACTATTTGGGTTAATGCAAGTTGGTTAGTTTTCACTGTTACTCCGAAATGATGGGCGTATGGAATACATCAGAACTGTGATTGTTTAATAATTCTTTAACTTAATTTCTGCATACCATAATCAGAGTAACAAATAATATTGTTTAAAGTTAACCATATATGACATCTGAGTTTATAAACATGGTTACATGCACAGTACTTTTAAAATACTTTGATTAAAAGTTCGTCTAAATACACGAGTTACGGTCATCTTTCAAAGTTACGACCATCTTGTGTCGGTTACGACCATCATCCAAAATACTATAGTTGACATTACGACCATCACACATTTGAAGTTACGACCATCATGCTCGAATTTTTGAATGACTATTTTACGAAAATTGAAATGATTTTATGTAGCAAATTTGGTTTCAATATCAAAGCACTCACGATAAGTGTATATGAGACAAGCGGTTTGGCTGAAATGAACCTTTTACTGCACGAAAATCGGAAAAGAAAAACTTATCCCTAGAGTTGTCTCCCATTTTCGGATGGTCGTAACTTTACGTTTCGACCATCCGCTTACCACCAGTGATTATCTTTGAAGCCCGGCTTTGATTGCTGATAAAATTGATGTTAATTTAGAAAGAGGTTTTGTGGAACGCCTGAAGGACCCAGCAATATACCGTTGTGTGTTGGGACACTTATGTAGTTTTGGTATCCAATACAGTTCTTCATCTTTGGTTGAAAGTCCAAAGGAACGTAGGAGAGACCTGTGATTATCCAGGATTTTATTTTTGGTAAGTGTCGCGGGGGTAACTGTTGAGCTTCCAAGTCAGTTATCAATACCTAATTCATTTAAGCAGTTAATGTAATGAGATTTACACACAAAAACAATGTTATTTTCGGGCTTTATTTGCGAGGACAACAACATATTTGCCATTGAGGTATGAAAAGTGTTTTGAAACATTTTGGGTGTTCAAAGTTGATTTCAGTATTAACTGAGATATGTAAATGACATACGACTAACTAGAGTGTATGTTACTGCAAAGAAACTGGAAGTAACTTGACAATCGGAAATTTTTTAGTTCACTGGGATATGTGAGATGTAAGCACTTATTTGGATAATTGAGTGACTGGATGTCATCAATATATCTGAAAGTGTAATCCTAGAACATTGCAAGATGCTTGTGTTGTCTTTGAGAAGATTCTAAATGAATTCTGTTTCATATAAGTACAAACATAAATAGGTTATTGTCGATTCATATCATTTTGACATTGTCATTCAAATTTGTCTTTATTTGATACTACTCTGAAAAAATTGAAAAAGTATGAACAATACGACCAAATATATTCAAGGGAATTCAAAAACCCGTATGCAAAATTAAGATAGACAGAAACATGACCAGAGGTTTACAAATAATAATAATACAGTAATTACTGCTTTAATTAAAAGCTTATCGATTTCGCAAATCTGATGTAAACGTATAACAAATGTATTATTATGAGATTTTAAATGGACATGACTGTTTTCATGTAGAATGTAAAATATCTAATTGTTTGCCTTCTTGTTTTGCTATTATTTATACTTAGAACGTGACATATATAAAACGGTACTTACTTGTTGTCGCTTTTATTTAACAGATCTTGTAAAGACTGTTTTTCTGCTTCTAATAAGTTTTGTGTGTCTTCTAATCTGTTTCTTTCTTTTTCTTTGGATTCTGTTTCAGAAATCTTAAATCTAAAAATAAATTATACTTTGTGTCTTAAGTCATTTTGGTTAGTTCTTGTTTTGTGTTTGTGCTAGCTTTGGGAGGGCTGTGTGTCATCTGATGAGTGTAGCCTGTTTCAACATATTTGTATAGTTTGTTTTTATGTTCCGTTGTTACATCAATGTCCACATTTAAGCAATGTGAAATATATCCTTTGGACTTTCATTTGACTCATACTAGGTAACATTTATAGTATTCAATGACTACATGTATGTTAGATAAATAGAAAACCTTAGGGAGAAATCAAATTTGATCACAATTAGATGTGAAAATTTTCAATCTATGTAGCTGAAATTCTAGCATAAAATTTTAGTGATCAGGCTTTTATGGGACTAGTTAAGCTAATTGATTTTGTGACGTGACTTTGGCATCTTCAAATTGTTATGGCAAATGTATTTTTTATGGCAGGAAATCTACACCAGGGGTAAGAATTAAACTAAGACAAATTTACAAACAGCAATAGATCAGCACAAAATACAAAACTAAATATATAAGCAACACAAACCCTAAATAATTCATGCTCTACATTGATTGTAAATTATCAACTCTTCCTTGAAATTCTGGAAAAAATTATTCAAAATAGCAGGTGAACAGATTCTGTTATGTTCATACGCGGGTAAATTTGTCATGCAATCTGAATTAAAACTGTAAATGAGTTGTAGATAACATAAAATAGATACGATATTGGGTAATTATTTTCCTGAAAAATGAGTAAGTCCCTAATTATGGAAAAATAGGAACAAACTTAAAAACCATTTGATTATTAAAAAATAGCAAAAAGTAAACACCAAAAAAACCGAACTCCGAGAAAAATTCAAAACGGAAAGTCCCAAATCAAATGCCAAAATCAAAATCTCAAACACATCAAAGAAATGATAACAACTGTCAAATCTTGACTTAATATATACATTTTCTTATGTAAGAAGCGCACAATTGCACATTGTTTGCGATTTATATGTAAAGTTTCATAAATCTAGGATAAAACATTATTGATTCTGAATATTTGTGTAAATGTAATATTATGAAATATTGAGTATTAGACATTATTGTTTTTCACAGATTATTTATGGTTACTTACTGGCTTTTTATATCATTTAGCAGATCTTGTAGAGAGTCTTTTTCTGCCTTCACCACTTTATTAGTGTCTTCCAATCTCTTCAGTTCTCTATCTTTTTCCCCTAAAATGTCTTGGGATTGTTTTTCAGAAAGCCTTAACCTAAAAACAAACAGCAGATTATTGCAAACTATAATTATAATTTCATATAAGCTTTTTCACCAGCTTAGTAATCAGTGCTTCGTTACTGACATACTTGATCAAATACCGTTCTAAATAAACTCATCATAGATACCAGGATTAAATTTTGTATTTACGCCAGACGCGCGTTTCGTCTACAAAAGACTCATCAGTGACGCCCGAATCCAAAAAAGTTAAAAAGGCCAAATAAAGTACGAAGTTGAAGAGTATTGAGGACCAAAATTCCTAAAAATTTTGCCAAATACAGCTAAGGTAATCTACTAGAATTCCTGAGGTAGAAAAGCCTTAGTATATCATAAATTCAAAAATTTTGTAAACAGTTAATTTATAAATACGACCATATCAATGATTATTCATGTCAGCACAAAAGTGCTGACTACTGTGCTGGTGATACCTTCGGGGAATTAAAACTCCACCAGCAGTGGCATCGACCCAGTGGTTGTAAATAAGCTCATCATGGATACCAGGATTAAATTTTGTATTTACGCCAGACGCGCGTTCTGTCTACAAAAGACTCATCAGTGACGCTCGAATCCAACAAAGTCAAAAAGGCCAAATAAAGTACGAAGTTGAAGAGCATTGAGAAGAACCAAAATTCCTTAAAGTTTTGCCAAATTCAGCTAAGGTTATATATTCCTGATGTAGAAAAGCCTTAGTATTTTAAAAATTCAAACGTTTGGTAAACAGTTAATTTATAAATATGACCATATCAATGATAACTCATGTCAGCACAAAAGTAAAATTTCCCATTGCTAAATTAAGATATTATCAGGAAAACCTACTCAAAGGCTACCTTTAGAGGGATTTGGCTATGATTTTGAAGAGTGTCTTTTTTTGTTAAAATAAGGAGACAGTAAATTACCAAATGTAAAAAAAAACTAATTATACGATCAAAAGTCATTCTGAAAAACTCTCACTCAAATTGAATCTTATTGATTCTGCAATTTGATTTAATGTTATGAATGAAAGTCTGGAGTATTTGCCATTTTATTGTTTTTCACTTAGCATTTAATACTTTTAAACGTTGCTTACTTGCTTTGTATATCACTCAGCTGATCTTGTAGAGACTCTTTTTCTACTTTCATCACTTCATGAGTGTCTTTCAATCTCTTTAATTCTTTTTCTGTTCTTTCTAAAACGTCTTCAGATTGTTTTTCAGAAAGCCTTAACCTGTAAAACAACCTCTTGTTGCAAACGAAGTATAATTGTATATAAGCTTAGAAATCAGTGCTTCGATACTGACATACATGACCACATTAATAAAGTAAGAAATTAATAAGAAAATCCACTCAAAATTGAACCTAAAGAATTTTGCAATTTATTTTAAGACTTTTTTTTGACAGTGAAAATACAAATATTCAAACAGTTCGTTAAACCATTATTATTATCTACAACGTATTCCGTGCTACGGTACTGACATACTTGATAACACACCTTTCGTTTTATTTCCCACGGATAAAGAAAGATATTATTATTAAGATACACCACTTAAATATTACCTTAGAAGGTTAAAACTATCATTTTCATGTTTATTTTGTAAAATAAGGCACAGTTAATCACCGATGTTCATAACAAAACATGCTATCAATACGAAGCTAAATAACTCATATATAAATTAGATCTTTTTTTATTCTGACTATTTGGTTTAATGTAATATTATGAAAGTTTTGAGTTTTAGCCATTCTTGTTTTTCACTTAGCATTTAACACTTCTTAAGGGTTGCTTACTGTCTTTCTATATCATTTAACAGATCGTGAAGAGTCTCGTTTTCTGCTTTCGTCACTTCATTAGTGTCTTCCAATGTCTTTAATTCTTTTTCTTTCTTTTCTAATAATTGTTTGGATTGTTGTTCGGAAAGCTTCAACCTTAAAAAGGAGCAAAGTATGTTTGATTCAAACTATTATCATAATGATTTAGAACATATTTGTTTCTTTAAAAAAAATTTTGATTTCTGAAACTCTGATTTGATTTACAGGTTTGCAGATTTTTGAAATATCAGATGTCAGTCAATGTAAAGTTCAACAGTTACTAAATCCTTAATAATAAACCATATGATTTACGATTTTTTTTATATCAAATAGACGTCAAATCAAGCTAACGAAAAACGCATTATTTATTGAGATTTACACTTAATCTTTTAAGATAACATGTATTTAAGCGTGGATAAATGTTGTTATAGTACTATCATCTTAAACTAGTAGTGTGCATCTACATTTTGGGGATATTGACACAGTATAGGAAAATTTAAGTTCATTAGTAACGAAAAACATATGCTTTCACCTGGTGGATATTCAAATTAGGATGTTAGATGTATATTCAATTTGTCTTAATTGTATTGACAGTTTGTAGTTAATGCACTGGATTAATAAGATATTTGAAATTTGGATAAACAGAAGAATTAATTTAGAACTTTTTAGAAACAAAATTAGAGACTGAAAATTAATATCAGCGTTTGAATAAACGAAAGATTAGGCGATTTTAACTAAATATAAAGAGAAATATGAATTTCAAATATTTTTACAGCGAATTTTAGGATAAGATAAATATTTGATTGCAAGAATAATTTGTTGATCCGTCAAATAAAATTCAAAAAAATTAGATGATTTTGGAATGTTTTTCCCTATTGTATATATGACTGTATAACGTCAAGAATATGACAGTTGTTTTCCATTCGTTTGATGTGTTTCAACTTTTGATTTTGCCAATTGATTAGGGACTTTTTTATTTTCCTTGGCGTTCGGTATTTTTGTTATTTTAGTTTCATCCTATCCAGCTAAATATCGGACCTATGTGTCTATAAACTCTTTGGAATAATGGATATGTCCTAAATCTACATGGTATATTAAAGCCATTAAAGTAAAGTCCAAGTACATTGTAGTATCAACAAACATACACATCACATAGCTTTTCATTGTGCAACTCTGCTTACATGTTTGTTTTTACAAATACTTTCGACTTCTTTCTACTTTTATTTCAGTACTAATTGAAAAAAAAACAATCTCGTGTTGTTTTGATATAAAACTGTTAGATACAAAAGTAAAATAAATTAGTTTATTACTGTGATGATCTGACTCTTGTGTACTCTATACAACTCAAACAAATTAAAGGTGGTAGTGAAATGCTAGTAATATTATTGTATGCACCATAAGGTAATGTATATCAATGGGAAGTCCTGACAAGTACATCGTAGTATGAAAGACCACCACACCAACGTAGCCAGAACTACAAACATTCAATACACAATTATGGACAGTACTAAAAATTGAGTAATTGTTTAATTATAGACATAGATAGTCAAAGACATTAATGTTTCACATAGTTTTTAACATATCATAATCCTTATTAAATATACTAAATGGCTTATATAATACTTATTGGATACCTACTTGTTTTCCATATCACTTAAAAGATCATGTAAAGATTCTGTGTTTGTTATCAGTATTTTTGTTGTGTCTTTCAAACTCTTCATTTCCTCATCGATCTGTTTCAAAATTTCTTTGGATTGTTTTTCAGAAAGCTTTAACCTGAAAACAAATTATGTTTTTAAAAGTAACTACTGTGGATTCATTATTATTCGTTTGATACCAATTTTCTTCGGTTTTGTGGGTACAGGTGAACCACGAATTCAAATATTAAACGAATAATATATTTGCCATAGGCTTTGTATAAAGAGATTCACAAAACCACGAAATCAAATATCCACGAAAATGCAAGTTTTCAGCAAACTGCGAGAATTGTTACCCACGAAAATAAATGAATCCATAGTATAGGCAAAAATCAAATCTGTTCCTTTATATGAGTTCACGTCATAAAACGTTGATTACATTTTCATTTGTTTTCGCTTTATCGATTGATGATTATTGAATAGCGGCAAACTAATGTTGCCGTTATTTACTCAAAATAACAAGTTAATTCAAAATCAGGCGGCAGAAACGGCAAATTTCTGCTATAAATCGAAATTGCATACTACAGTATATAATTGATGAATTATGACTCCTCTTTCGGGAAATACTTGTATTCGATATTCACGCCATTTTGCAATTATGTCACTTAACAAATATCGGTCTCAATATTTTGCCTTATGCTATAGCTAATGTCCTATTGGCTAAAATAAGATAAATTATTTGGAACATATCCCGGACATGATAAAAATATGATATACGGAAGAAAAAGATTAAAAGTGTATTATGGGTATTCCCAACCTGATCAGTTATTACCCCATGCTGACGTCATTTATGATTCTACAAAGCACTCAGTGCATTTATAGAAAGGATAAACTGTTGTCTCTTTTATATTTCAACGAAGCTTTCAAAAGGGAGCGGCGTTTGTACTAATATAGGCACCACGACGGGTGTCAAACGTGAACTAGGATCTGCTAACCTTTTCCGGAGCACTTGAGATCATCCCTAGTTTTTGGTGGGGTTTATGTTGCTAATTCTTTAGTTTTCTATATTGTATTTTGTGTACTATTGTTTGTATGTTTGTCTTTTTTTTTCTTTTTCAGCCATGTCTCTGTCAGTTTATTTTCGAGTTATGAGTTTGACCCGCCCTCTGGTATCTTAGGCCCTCTTTTGTAAAAGACCGCGTTTTTCATTCTATTTAAGAACAGTTGATGAACTGACATTTACCGCGTCTTTTTATATAGGTAATGGTTAAATGTTGGGTACTAGTAACCTACGAAAATTCATATTAAGCCAAATTTGGAAACAGAAGTGTAAAAATATTATATTGTCATACAAAAACTCATTTAAGGTAGATCATAGGTATATATTTCTTCAGGTAGAATTTTTTATTACTTTGCCAAAATAAAGATTTTTCTATGCTTTTTCCAAAAATATAATAAAAAGTATGGATCACCGTGCTATTTTTTTTACGGGTCGTACGAAATTGCACAAATTTACTTAGATTGTTCATGAAAAAACACATGTTTGTGCATAAAAAGAAATCTATGGGATAGAATTTTGAAATAAAGTATGAGAAGATAGGTTTTATAATATGCTTAAAGAAAATAAAAAGAAAAAATGGTGTCACCGAACTTGTTTTCTTGCTACAAGTAAGAAATTAAAATTTCCCTATCAGTCCAGTATAAATTTTTTAATAAAAGAGTTATCTCCCCTTAAATGGCCAAGTTGAAAAAATGATTCTAAAAACACAATTATTTGGTATTTATTTAAACAAATTTGAATAATGCAATAAATCACCAAGTTTTCTTTCATTAAATAAACAGTCTAACCTATTAATTGCCTATCTGTTTCCAAATTTGCAGATTTGGGCAAAGATCTAGACCGATTGTGTACTGCGATTGTACAATCCAAGATGGCGGTATACCATGAATCTACCTTAATATACCAGGCTTAAAATGCGGAACACCAGACGTAAGCTTCGTCTACTTAAGAATCATCAGTGGCCAAAGACTATCTAATTTATCATCTCTTTGGTCGGGTTGTTGTCTCTTTAACATATTCCCTATTTCCGTTCTCAATTGAATAGGTATAAAATCCGTAGTGCTAAGATTTATTTAACATTGTGTATACCGTTAATTTAAAGAAAATGCAATTTCATGTCAACACATAACTGATGACTATTGTACTGGCGATACTCTCAGGGACACACGTCCATCTATTTCTATTTTTTTAAATTACTTTAAAGACATGGGTAGTTTCATCGTTGTTCTGTCGTGAAAACATTTTTACAAAATTATTTACAAATTTAGTTTCACTTGTATGTTTTGAGATGATAAGTCTTAATTGTATCATATATACCTCTCGTTTTCTTTTATTAACCTTGGTATTTGATCTTTGTAGATGTGGTATGTTTTGATTTGTGCAGAATCACTGAAAAAAATAATAATTTAAGGAATATGAAATTGTATATATAGAAATCATTGAATTCTGTCCCGCTTTGTCTTGGCAGAAAGATAATCCATGTCAATATTACAAACAATTCGCCTATTCATAATCTAATGGACTATGGGTAATCTCATTGTTCGTACATCAAAATGAAAATAATGTTACGTCATTGGATGGATTTTCCTTGTTTAGAACATTCTAAACCAATCACAACGTTTTGGTGCACGCTTTTGGAAATATTACCCAGAATGCATGAGATTCTGGAACGGCGAATTGCCGAAACTACTATCCCATACTTTTTTCCTCGAATGTGACGTACATCACTGCCTGAGATTTTTCACCGATTTTGTTTTAATTTCGACGAGCAATAAGACGGGGGCAATATGTGGGCAAGATTTGTTTACCCTTTATAGGCACATAAGATATAGGTCGTGTTTCACAGTCTTGAGTTTTCTTTCTGTTTTCTTTTTTGTCACAGCGTTTTTTCTCCACTTATGAATTTTGATTGTATCTCAGGTATTTTTCGCTGCTTGTTCCTCTGTTGAAAAATTCTTCTTGTCTATTTTAGCATTAAAAATTGTTTTCTAAATCTATTTATATACATATATATATAAATTACTTAACTTATATGACACTCTTCATCATTTTTGATTTTAAACCGAAAATTGTTTCGCGATTACCTTAGCCGTATTTGGCACAACTTTTTGGAATTTTTGGTCTTCAATGCTCTTCAACTTTGTACTTTTTTTAGCTTTCAAACCTTTTTTGATTTGAGCGTCACTGCATGATGAGTCTTATGTATACGAAACGCGCGTGTGGCGTATAAAACTATAAGCCTGGTACCTAATTAACCAACAAATTCCTATTTCGCGTCGTTTTAAATATGCGATATATCCCTCCTACATTTTCATACATAATTTGTCAACTATACAGCTGTACATGTATACATCATTAATCACGTGATCAAATCAATCAGAAATCTTTTTGTCAATGAAAAAATTATTTAATCAGTTTTGAACTGTTCTTTAAATACATTTTTATATTGATTTAAAGATTTTATTCACGGTTGCTTGTGAAAAACAGAGGAGTATGACCTTATACTGTTAGTTAATCTTTCTTTTGATAATGTTTAGTGGTTATTTAAAACGTTAATTTTTTTCTCACTGTCGAACTTATGACGGGTGTCCCAGAAAGTGACCCATAGAGTCGATTGCAAAATCGGCTTCAGTTACAGTTAGTCAAACCCATCCTATACATGTGGTTTTTTAAGCTTGCCATGAACCTGTATATTTTATATGATGCATAGCGGTATTAGGTTATTTGTTTTCTTTCATGTACACGATTCTTTATTTATTTGTTTATGCATTCCTGATAATTTTCGTTAAAAAGATCATTAAAAGTTAAGTTTACCCCGTAAGTACTCTGTCAAAATCTAGGAAAGATCAAGGAAGTTTTGTTTTGTTTTTTTTTTTCTAACAAAAAAGTTAGAATTACTATGCTCTTCAGAGGAACATGATTCCACTTCTAACCAACTTAGGGAAAAATACTTTTTTTTGGAATGGAACAAAATAAGTATATTACCTCTTTTCGAATTGACTGGTAATGGCGTCTATGAGATCTTCTACAAATAAATTCCTGTCGAAGTGTGGTGGTCGTTTGCATTCAATAGGTGCTTGATCAATATCTTCAAAATCTACAATGTTGCCCTTCAAGTTGGGTATATTTTTAAACGAAGTGAAGTCAACATATTTTAAATCCGTAACAGTGTGATATTTCGTAGCAGCAATATCATCGTGTTTAGTTCTACATGGTTTACACAAAGCTTTTCTACATTCGAAACAACAGTAAATACCATCATTCACATGATTCACATCACAAAGATTACATTTTGGTTTTATCGCGGCCTGTGGCATCCTGTCAAGAATAAGGAAGTTGTATGCATATACCGTGACAAGGATACAATCACTGTATAACAACGTGCGAATCGTATAGGGAATTTATTCCTGGTTATTGTTGTTAACCACGTTTAGTTTAATATAACAAACAGTTAGTTTCAATAGAGTTAAAAATTAATGTGGTTAACAAGAATATACATAAATAAATATGCTTTTTGTGAATCAGAATGTTTAAAACTACATTCAAATTGATTCTAAAGTTCGTGTTTGGATATGATGGTTTTGAATGTATACATATATTATTCATGCGCTTGATGTATATAACTACTGAAATAATTTAATACGAAGTATGCAAGTATTTTCGTTCAGTATATGTTTACTTGTTTTTGTTAATATGTCTTTATAATTGAGTAAAGTCATTTCAATAGATATATTATAGTGTGTCTGTCTATGGTGTAATTTTACGCCACTGTTTCAGGTTAGGGTGACGGTTGACGCCTGCTAAAACGTTTAAACCCACTGCATTTGTTTGCACCTATCCTTAATAAAGGAAAAAAACAGTAATTTACCGCTGTTCAAAGGTCATAAATCGATTGAGAAAAAACAAATCCGGGTTAAAACTAAACCCGAGGGAAACACATCAACTATAAGAGGAAAACTACGAAACAACAGAAGAAGCGCAACAAAAAACAAACGACAATGCAACATACATAGAAACGAACAATTAGATAACAACTGCCATATTCGTAAGTAGTTGCCGTTTGTTGATGTGGTTTATAAAGGTAACAATATTATACCGCTGTTCAATGGTCATACACCGATTAAGCGAAAACAGATCCGGGTCACAAACCAAAAACCGAGGGAAACACATCAAACAGAAACAATGAACTACTACAAAAAAAATGCCAACTTACATAAAAACGGACAATTTGATAACTGCCATATTCCTGATTTGATACAAGTCAAAGTTTAAGAAAATTGGATTGAACCTAGTTTTATGGCTAGCCAAACCTCCCACTTATATAGCAATGTTTAGAATACCGCTTTAGTGACAACTTTACATGACAAGTAAACACATAAATAAATGACCATTATTGACAGGGGAATACATTAATAAATATATAAGACCGTTGGTTTTTTTTTTCTGTTTGAATAATTGTTATCTTTTTTTTACCTTTTATAGCTTGCTGCTGGGTGTAAGCAAAGGCTCCGTGTTGAAGGCTGTAATTTGACCTATAACTTTTTACTTTTTACACCTTTTGACTTGGATTGAGTGATGTCTCATTGGCACTCATACCACATCTTCTTATTTCGAAGTAATTCTTTTAAATAGAATTTAAATAGATTTTTTTTTATGTACTGATACCCGAGTCCAGAAATAACGTCTATGTGTCTGTGGCGAGTTAAGATGAATATTTGGCTTTTGATAAATTATGTTCTTGAAAGTGTTCCAATTTCTCTACAAACATAGTTTTCGGATATAATCATGTAAAAGAGGGACGAAAGATACCAGAGGGACAGTCAAACTCATAGATCGAAAACAAACTGACAACGCCATAAAATATTTGTTTTTAGACCGCTTTAGATCATTCTTAATAGTATTGCATAAATATTTAATTATTTCATAAGATATGTTTCTAATAAAAATATTAAAATAATTTATGTAGATACATTGTGACTTTAATGGATAGTTGTCACATTGGCACTCATACAAAATCTTCATATATCTATATAAGAAGACGTGGTATGGGTGTCAATGAAACAACTATCTCATCCAAGTCACAATTTGTAAAAGTAAACCATTATAGGTCCAAATAAGGTCTTCAACACGAAGCCTCGACTCATACCGAACAACGATCTATAAATGGCTCCCAAAATTACGTGTGTAAAACCATTCAAACGGGAAAACCAACGGTCTAATTTTTATAAAAAGTGAGAAACGAGAAATACTTATGTACCACATCAACAAACGACAACTACTGAACATCAGATTCCTGACTTAGAATAGATGCAAAACAAATGCAGCGGGTTTAAACGTGTTAATAGGGACCAACCTTTGCCCATATCTGCAATAATAGTGTAACATCACAACATAAAAAGAGGACACGCTTGTGTTTTAAATAATTTGAACCCGAGAAGGGATTGAAAAGACTGTAGTGCATCAATCTGTAGGTTCTTTAAATTCCTTGTTGAGTAGATAAAATAATTTGAAACATAAAGTTGATCTAACAATAATAAGTTGAAGAGCATAACTTTTACTAGTGTTATATTCGTGTATATTCCGGACCCGTCCAGGTAAATTATGACTGAGATAAGTTGGAGAACTACTGTTAGTAATATTGTGCAAGTATGTGTCTATGGGTCTCTGATATATCCTTTAGTTTTTGCTTTACCTCTTCTTTACATAGTGAACTAATTGATGTTGGCTGTGCTTCTCTTTGGACACTTTCTTTTCTGTGAAGTAGAACTAATTTATGTAGATGTTTCCAACACTAAATGCGCGTATTCAAACATTAGCAATACTTATATCATATATATAAGTTTTCCGTTTCAAAATTAACTTAATTTCTAACTATGTTTTATCGGAATAAGATTATTTTATTGTCATATCGAAATGTGTGTTTGACAAATTAGTTCAAAATGATTACCTACTTGGTATAAAGGTTATTTATGAAATTATGTAGATGAATTGGTTTGTTAATTACCCGAGGTAACATTTTACTCGAAATTTTTTTTCCATACCTTTATCATTTCCTATTTCTAGGTCATTTTTTATCATTGAACATTTCAGACATAATTCTGGCCTGAAGTAAAAACTGGATTTTGAGACAGAAAAGATATGAAAAACTTATTATTCAATCGAATCTGTATTTGTTCAGTAATTTTGGCTTAGTATGCCATCTAATCAGTTCAAAATTATCATCCATTTCACATCTCTAATGGTAAAAAGATTTGGTATTTCTATTTCAGATAAAAGAAAAAAGTAAAATCACAAACATACTGAACTCCGAGGAAAATTCAAAAAGGAAGTTCTCTAATCAAATGGCAAAATCAAAAGGTTTAACAAATTAAACGAATGGACAACAACTGTCATAATCCTGAAGTGATACTGACATTTTCTTATGTAGAAAATGATGGATTAAACCTCTCACTTGTATGACAGTCGCATAAGATTCCTTTATATTGACAACAATGTGTGAACAAAACAAACAGACACAATAGGTATAGAAATGTCAAATCAGAATCATTAATCAAGAATTGTCCCAATTCCAATGGTTTAAAAAAGAGATGGTAAATACCATGGGGACATTTAAAATAAAACACTTTAATCGAGAAAAATGTCATTGAAAAAAACAAACAAAGACGGCGAAACAACAAACTAGTTCCCAAAACACATCTTAGAATACTAAAGATTAAGCAGCACGATCTTTTGGATCCGCGAAAGAGTAAGCAGAACTTGCTCCTTTAGTGGCACTAGTCGTGTTGACATTTAAGGCAAAACCACTAAAGTTGCTTCACTTTCAGATCTTATCATAGATAATTTTACAATGCTTTAACCATGACTTTGGAAACATGACCACATTTATCTGAGCATCACTGATGAGTCTTATGTAGACGAAACGCGCGTCTGGCGTATTATATTATAATCCTGGTACCTTTGATAACTAATTATAATGTGCATGGAAATGTGATGAACCGATTCATATACAACTAAATACTTTATATATATCATAATATATCAATAATTCAGTAGTTGTCATTAGAAGCTGTACATGTATTTTATTTTTCATTTATTTTTTTAACATAGATCAGGATGTTATTTTTTTCCTGAATTGTTTACCAATTGTTATTTTGAGGTTCTTTTATAGCTTGCTATACGATAGGGATTTTGTTGGAGGCCTTGTGGTGACATTTATTTGCTAACTTCAACGTGAATTGTCACTGATGGAAAGTTGACTGGCAACCACATCATCTAGCTTATTTGTATAGAAAGTAATGGTACAACACGAAAAACATTTACTGAAACCTGTAACCCTGGAACAAAAAAAGATTTTTATCAAAAAAGGAACTTTAATCAATGTCAACACAATCAATTTAAGCATACTAGAGTACAAGTGTGCAATATGTGCCTTTTATCTGACAGTTAAAGTCCCTTAAATCAGGAATGAAGGACCGACAACTTTTCATTATGGACCAAGTTATTCAACATGTGAAAGAACATAAGGACAGAGGATAAGACACTTCTCAAGAATAGTCACTAAATATAGAAATTTCTATTTAATATCAATGTCATATTTTGCTTTTTTCTAAGCAAGAAGAGAAGAAGGTATGTCAAATGAACCAAACAGAAAGTCATTTTCCAATTATTTGCATGATTATCTTCTTGGTTCAATCTGAATTATCACTTATAAAACTTATTCATGTCATTTGAAATGAATAAACTACTTTCTGGTGTTTCTTAATAATCTCTCCGTCTTTTTTATAACCTCTGGATAAATATTTTGGCCTCAGACATCTGTAAAAAGATATTTATTGTTGAAATGTTCATCTAGTGCAGAAAAGTTGGTACTGCCTATAACATAATTTGTTCATTATAAACCCTTTTTAATTCTTTAACTAGAGGCTCTCAAGAGCCTGTGTCGCTCACCTGATTCTACTTTGGTTTTGGAAATCATGTTAAAATAGATTAAAATCATAACAGATACCCTAATAATGAGTGAGGCCAAATTTGGTTTAATATTGGCACTGTAATTTAATAAAAAATCCTGGCGGCCATCTTGAACAGTAAATCAGCAACAAAGAAGCAACACTTCATCAGCACCTCATAAGAAACATTTATGCCATGTTTGGTTTCATTCCATTCAGTGCACCTCTAGAGGAAGCATTAATATGTATTTCCAATAGGGTCTTATGTTAAAGGAAGTCCCCCGGCTGGCGGCCATCGTGCATGAAGGATCAGCTTCAAAGTAACAACACTTAGTCAGCACCTCATAAGGAATATTCATGCCATGTTTGATTTCATTCCATTGAGTGGTTCTCTAAAAGAAGACATTCGTATGTATTTCCCATAGGGTCTTATGTTAAACTAAGTCCCCCCGCTGGCGGCCATCTTGGATGATGGATCGACTTCAAAGTAACAACCTTTTGTCAGCACGTCATAAGGAACATTCATGCCATGTTTGGTTTTATCCATTCAGTGGTTCTCTAGAAGAAGACATTCGTATGTATTTCCCATAGGGTCCTATGTTAAACTAAGTCCCCCGCTGGCGGCTATCTTGGATGATGGATCGGCTTCAAAGTAACAACACTTGGTCAGCACCTCAAAAGGAACATTCATGCCATGTTTGGTTTCATTCCATTCAGTGGTTCTTTAAAAGAAGACATTTGTATGTATTTCCCTTAGGGTCCTATGTTAAACTAAGTCCCCCGCTGGCGGCCAACTTGGATAATGGATCGGCTTCAAAGTAACAACACTTGTTCAGCACCTCATAAGGAACATTCATGCCATGTTTGGTTTCATTCCATTCAGTGGTTCTCTAAAAGAAGACATTTGTAAATATTTCCCATAGGGTCCTATGTTAAACTAAGTCCCCCCAGGCGGCCATCTTGGATTATGGATCGGGTTCAAAGTAACAACACTTGGTCAGCACCTCATAAGGAACATTCATGCAATGTTTGGTTTCATTCCATTCAGTGGTTCTCTAGAAGAAGTTCAAAATGTAAAACTCTAACGTCGACGACGGACGACGGACACCAAGTGATGAGAAAAGCTCACTTGGCCCTTCGGGCCAGGTGAGCTAAAAAGAAATTTAGATCTAAAAAAATCTTTGATACTTCTTTGTATGAAAACATAAATCAAAATAAAAGTTAAAGTGGTCTTAGGCAACCAGAAATTCTATTCAGCACGGATAATTGACGATTTGAAATCATCACTTTAATGGAGTAATACAAGTGAACATTGGTTTTATCTGTCAATTTTTCTGATTTTAAGACTGGAATGCACAAGATTTATGTAACAAGTTAAAGTTGACTTTTTGGGAGGTACGCAACTCTTCGTTTAAAATCAATGACATAACAAGTAAAAAAAACAATATTATGGTAAAATTCTGTAAAGATATGTTTATAGTTCATTTGAAGACATTGATAAATACTTGTCAGTATAATCATTCTCTGATTACACTGCAAACATTTACCCCGGGCTAACTTATTTCAAATAAATCTAATATTAACTGCAATTGTCTCTTTCTAGATTTGAATATTTTAGTTTCACACGCTAAAATACAAAAAAAAATATTGACATAAGAGACGACTTTGAGTTTTCTATTGTTAGTTTTCCTTTTTTGGACAGCATTGTTCTTTTCATCCCTTCTTACGGTGTGTAAATTTCCCAAATCCTTTGCTATGCTCGTGTTTATAGTGATTTTTACATTTAAGTGAAAGTAATCTAGTACGTAAAACTGGTGGACATCATAAATGTGATCTTCAACAAAACAAATAATAAATACAGTGTAACCTGCCTAATCCGACACCTGAGTATTCCAACATCCTGCTTTAACCAACAGATCTTTTAGGTCCCAAAATATGCCTCTCTTTGCAGACAAAAACCTGAGTATTCCGACCCCTTGCTTAATCTGACATTTTTTTCTGGTCCCCCAGTATGTGGGATAACACTGGTTACACTGATAGATTAGACAGTAAGAAAAAAAACCAATTTTTTTATTAGATAAAGTTCAAGAACCTGCAACAGGATTTTTTTTATGGAAATGTGGCCACCAATGACATTACATTCTATATAATTAAATATGAGTCTACGAATAAAAACAATTTCATTCTACATGTTTAAAAATGTGTTCATATTTTTTTTATTTATCAGGTACAGCATAGCCTGGTGCCACAAGTGGTCCCTCTTTGTGTAAAAATACAGCAGGCCAAACAGTCATTCTGTATTTCTTTCCTTTCCTTCCTGAAAACCTGAATTGTTCTTTGTTGAACTTTTCACCTTTAACAGCCCATCTTATTTCCATAGGAGGTTGCTGAATACACATGTACCAGATAAGGTCTACACATTGTTCTACATAGGATATCAGTTCTTTACTTATTTTGTCTCCTTTTAAAAGTTTTTCCTTAATGTGGTTTTCAAAAATTTCCTGCCAAAAAAGCAAAAAATAATAAGTTTCATATCATTTGCTAAACACATTGTATAATATATATATATATGTCTATATATCAACAATAGACAGATGTTTTTAATCCCTCTAAGTTTTAAATATGTTCGCTACTCTTGTTTTTGACTTCTTGTCAAGATATTCAGAATCCTCTAGTTTTACAAATGTAGTACCAATGCAAATTGTGCCTGCAAGCCTCTACTTTTCTTTTTATAATTGTATTACATATACATGATATACATGTAGTTAAAAACACATTTCTCATAATCTTATTGAATCCTTGTTATTTGTTCATTTTTTGTTAAATGGGTCAAATGTTAGATGTAAGAAAGGTCTAGAGACAATCATTTCCTGCAATATTTTAATTAGGTTATATCTGAAAAACAAGGACTCGAACATTACATTTTTTTAGTTCTGTGTTTATAGGTGTAATACCACCATTCATTTTCCCCTATTAGTCTTTGTTAAATTTGCGGCTTGGTTTGGATCTTTCGAAGAAATTTTTCGCACTTTTCAAAAAATTGTGCAGAATTTATCTTTCTTTCAAATAAAGAAATATTTGGCATGAGTAAAGTTTTATCCTGTCCAGTACTATAGAAAAAATTTCACATAACATTTCATTGCATATAAGAAAATAACCATCCCTGGAAGTTAACCAATCAAATTTTCTCCTTTTATTAACCTGTGTTCAAGTTTTAGTAACCATGTAACCTCAAGTTTCCAAAATATTCTATAGAAACCCCAAATAAAAAAAATGGTGCTTTTAAATACCCAAGATATATGTTTATGACCCAGAAATGTTTTACTGCAATGAAATGTAGGATTAATTGCCTACAACTGTCAAATTCAAGGGAATATTTTTTTCAACCTATTTTCGTATGCAAGCGGATGTGACGTACTATGATTTGGTGGTATTACACCTTATATACTATAAATGTATAACAGTCTTTAAAAAAGCTTGTTATCTTTAAACAGAGGATCAAACATCCTTAGTAGCTTCAAAGAAGAAGACAACTAGGCTAAGCAATAACCCAATTGGAATCAAAAATTTATTTTAATGGGTAAGTTTTTCATTAATATTTCATCAAAAACAAATGAAGACAATTCTTAGAAAGTTTTGGTTAAAACGTGCTGAGAAGATGAATTAAAGTCTGATTTTGCTGAACTATTTGCCAACAATAGAGCAATGATTTCAATCTTTTTAACATCAAATAAGAAATGTTTGTAGAGATGGTAGAAAGCCTTTAAATTATCCAGGACACTAGCATCATCTTATGAAATTTTGTCCACAATTAAAAACAGAACAATCAATTTAACCATGGCTCCAGCTATATATAGTTTTGTAAAAGTATGAAGAAGCAAAAAACAACATTAAAACAAATTTGAAGGCCTCTTTAAGGTTTTGTGGGACTGTAACAGAAATCTTGCCACATAAAACCTCCATGACCATTTTGAAATGTTGGCAGGTATGTAAGTTTAATTTGATGTAAATCTATATTTATCTGGATTACATTGCCCTTGCCATCTCCTAGAGAATGACAGGTGAAAGGTCATCCATAAATGAACTTTAGACCAAAACTCTAATTGTAACAGAGGGAGGCATGGTATGTCCAATATGGATTACAGATTTTGTTATCGAGTGGTTGACATAAAAAGGAATGCTCCTCTCTGCTGTTTCAAATATAAAATCTTGTTTCTTTAGGACTTATACTCAGCTAGAGTAAAACTCTTATTAAAAAGGGATAAAACTCTGTTTCAGAGGAGTCTATGCCATAAAATCTTTGAAATAATTATGTCTATAATACCGTTTGCATCACTTTGACAGTAGCTGGGGCTACAAGCTTTCTGTATTCTCTGGCCATCTGCTCTGTCTTAGCTCTCATTTGCTCACTTGCTGGATATCCCTATAAAAACATTTCATCAATCAAAAGTGATCATTTTTACAGTTACAGTTATATTTAGATGCAATATAAAGTCACATTATTTATAAATAATGGAAATAGTAGTTGATGAATGTTCAAACCTCTAAAAAACAATTAAATTATACAAAAAAGGAAAAAACAACACACAAAATAAAAATCTTTGAATAAAAACTGAGCAATACTTCATGCCTGGTCGGGGTAAGCAGTAACTACTCATATCAAAATAATTCATATTGTTGTTTGATCCATTTGTCAACACCCACAGGTTATGGTGCATGTTTTTTTCATTTGTCCATTGTAACTCCAGTTAATAGATCCTTATGGACTTGTAGTCGAAGAAAGATTTATGTGTTGGGTTATTTTTCCATTTGTGTTTATGTGACAGTTTATGTTCAAAGATTTTAAGACTAAAATTTGCCCAAATTTCAAAAGCTACACTATTTTCAATAATTCCTGAGATTTATACAATCTTTTTATAGTGGCTTGATCAAATCCACATAAAACCACCACAGTTGGCAAAATTTGTTGTTTTTTGCAAAATGTGTGATAAAAGAGAGAAAAATGAATGATTAACCTGGTCAACTAATAAAGGTCTGAACAAGACCAATACTGGGTCTGGACCTGCTTCTCTGAATGAAATTGACTGAGGTTATATGTTTACTGGAGCATAACTGATCATTCCTTTTCACTCCTGGCAAGAAAACATTGATGAAATTTTTTCTTGAACAATGCATGAGTTCTATAAAATTTAAAAATATAAGCTACACTGCAGATGTAAAAAGTGTATATTATCTACAACTTACCATGATCAAGCTGCAGACAAAATATCAAAATCCTTTCGTTCAAAAGGAGCAAGAATATAACTTTGAAGAAAATTTTCTTTGTACAACATGTACAATGAGTAGAATAAATTTGCAAACTATCGCCAAACAAGAATTTAAGTGGATACATGGCAGATTGAAAAAATTTCTAGCTTGCTACAGCTCAACACTTTGTAGCTGCAGACCAAAAATTGTAAATCATTCCCTTTCATAGAAGCTGAGTAAAGTTTAAATTTTTTTTCGTTCATTTGGACGAAGAAGAGCGGTTACTTAGACCTACTGGGATGCAGGTTAGAACAAGTCATTATTATCCTTAACAATATACTTAGTAGTAAATACAGATTAATTGCATTAAATACGGTCAAAGGTAATACACCTTATCGCTATATAGTCCAATCCGAAAAAAACAGTCATTTAGACAACTTCCTGTTTGGGTCAGCAGTTAAGCAAAACAAAGGTCATCAGTAATGAGCTGAGGGAGGAAAAAAATTAGAAAGCGATCACTAGAAACTTTGATAGATTATGATCCACTTTTTCGAAACTCAAATTATAGTAAAAAAAAAATATTTTGTTTAAAGTATTTAAGATGGTTTAAACTGGTCTCATTAAAAAGTATCATGCATGATGCATTGTTTAAACAGGGTCCCAGAAGGCTTCAACTGGATGAAAAAGTTGTGTAATTTTAGAACTTACCCGGAATGGAATAAATAGCGATTAAGTGTATAGTCCTGTATCAGCCATCCGTGATGAAATTGATATCAGTGACGGATGCAAAGGCTTTATTACACCTTTAATCTGTATGTCATGTCATATAAAAAACATCTACTTGAGGCATATAATCAAGTGTATATGATATGGCTTTTTCAATATCACACATCATATCAACCCTCAACCAATATGATCCCTGGAGCAGAGTTCTTAGGATTATATTGGTATCTTGGGTTGATTCAGATGTGATATTGAACAAGAGGCTCTCAAGAGCCTGAATCGCTCACCTGTAATTTTTTGCTTAAATCTTTCATCAACGATTATTTTTGCTTTTTAATATATATTAATGAGTGGCTTAAAAATTCCATTGAGATGTTCTTTGTATCTGTCATATTTTCTTCAAAAGCAAAGAAATACATTTTTCCCCTATGTTCCATTTTAGCCATAGTGGCTATGTTTCTTGATGTTCAAGAAAATAAAATACAAAATTTAAACTAGATACTCTGAAACTCATTGAGCCCAAGCTTGGCTGAAATTGATTCAGCAGTTTCAAAGGAGAAGATTTTTCAAAGTAAGCAAACTAGATGTTTAACACCCCCCCCCACACATTCTCTATGTATATGCCTGTCCCAAGTCAGGAGCCTGTAATTCAGTAGTTGTCGTTTGTTTATGTGTTACATATTTGTTTTTCATTCATTTTTTGTACATAAATTAGGCTGTTAGTTTTCTCGTTTGAATTGTTTTACATTGTCATTTTGGGGCCTTTTATAGCTGACTGTGCAGTATGGGCTTTGCTAATTTTTGAAGACCTATAGTTGTTAATTTCTGTATCATTTGGTCACTTGTGGAGAGTTGTCTCATTGGCAATCATACCACATCTTATTTTTTATAGATGAACAAATTGTGAAAAATTGTCTTAAAGGGACAATAACTCCTTAAGGACACATTTGACAATTTTGGTCATATTAACTTGTTTGTAGATCTTACTTTGCTGAACATTTTTGCTGTTCCCAGTTTATCTTTATCATTAATAATATTCAAGATAATAACCCAAAACTGCAAAATTCCTTAAAATTACCAATTTAGTGGAAGCAACCCAACAATGGACTGTTAAGATTCGTCTGAAAATTTCATGGCTGATAGAACTTTGCCTAATGAACATTTTGACCTCTCATCAGATTTGCTCTAATTGCTTAAGTGTTTGAGATATATTAGCCAAAAACTGCATTTTACTCCTATGTTCTAATTTTAGCCATGGCGGCCATGTTTTGTGATGAAACAGACAATAAAACACAAACTTTATTCTAGATACCCTAAGGATCATTCAGCTTAAGTTTGGTTGGAATTGGTTCAGTAGTTTCAGAGGAGAAGATTTTTTAAAGTTAGAAAACATGATAAATTGTGTAAAATTGTCCTCAAAGGGCAATACTCCTTAAGGGGTCAATTGACAATTTTGGTCATATACACTTATTTGTAGATCTTACTTCGCTGAACATATTTGCTGTTTACAGTTTATCTTTATCATTAATACTATTCAAGATAATAACCAAAAACTGCAAAATTTCCTTAAAATTACCAATTTAGTGGCAGCAACCCAACAATGGGTTATTAGATTCATCTGAAAATTTCAGGGCTGATAGAACTTTACCTTATGAACACTTTTACCCCGTGTCAGATTTGCTCTAACTGCTTTGGTTTTTGAGATATAAGCCAAAAACTGCATTTTACCCCTATGTTCTATTTTTAGCCATGGCGGCCATGTTTTTTGACAAAACAGAAAATAAAACACAAACTTTATTCTAGATACCCTAAGGATCATTCAGATTAAGTTTGTTTGGAATTAGTTAAGTAGTTTCAGAGAAGATGTTTGAAATAGTTTACACCAGACGGACGACAACAGACGACGACAACGACGACGACAGACAATGAGGGATGCCAAGTGATGGCTAAAGCTAACAGTTCCTTCGGAACAGTGAGCTAAAAAGCCATAGGATTTTCTCTATTTAACAAATAATTACCTCCGACTTTGGATTATCACAAGTGGGATCTACAACTGGAGGTATCATTTCTTTAATTAGTCTCTGTATCTGGTCCTGTGATATTTCTTGACAGAAGTCATAAATAACCTGCAGAAAAGTAACAAAATAACAAATCTTTTATGCAGTATAGCAACTGATATTTGACTGTTGACATCATGATTTCAGATTGGCAGAAAAAAATCTTCGAGATTGTTGAGTGAGCAACAGCAATATTATTTTGATATGTCATAATATTATAAATTTTTGTTTGTACATTTTAGAGTATATATAGTGCTTCTTTTTGTACTGTTTTCATCGTAAGTCCTTTGATGATGACAATTATGGTCTCCTGACCCACTTTTGCTTTTAAAGTTTCCCTCTCTTGATTGTAGTTTTCAAGATTCACGTGAAGCGGGACATACAGACGGAAGGACAACAGACGCACAGTCCAAAAAAGATTATGACCTTAGGTGGGGCATAAAAATAGTACAGACCTTAACAATTTGTTGTAAAGTGTCCATTGTTCCTTCATCACTCTCGTCATCATCAATATCTTTAGGCTTCAAAGATTCATAGGCACTGGACCAAGTCTCGTCAAACAACTCCGCAAATCTCTCTCCAAGTTTCTGTGGTCTATTCTTGTCTCCAAGGTCTGTAAACCCGGGGTCTCCATCAGCCAACTGCTGACTGGCAATACCACTCAACCTATTAATCATATGTAAACTTGTGTTTTATATTGATAAAGGGAGTATTACATGGTCGAAACAAATAATGTTAAATCAAACAAGAGGTTCCCTGAGAGTTATTGTACTCTTCTTGTGAACCAAATGAAACCTTTCCACAGAATCATTTTCTCTTTGTCAAGGTATTTAAATGTTTGCAAATTCACCTGTCCCATTGTATAAATACAACAGTTTAATCAATGGAACTTTAAAATGTTTTTCTTGAAAAGTCAATCATTTCATTTACTGTAAATTATTGCGATTTTGTCATTTTGGACTTAAATGTTTGCGATATTGAGAAAAATCCTGTTAAATTCATATAAAAATTTTCAAAATGCGAGTTTAAAATTATTGCCATTATTACCCTGTCGCATTTTTCGCAATAATAAAAACATCGCAATAATTTCTGAATTTACAGTATTAGTTTAGCTTTCTAGCTTAAATCAAGGTAACTTATTTTTTCATTTGGGAAAGTCCAATTATTAAATTGCAAGCAAAAAAATTTTGGTTTGCAGTAATAGAAAAACATCCTACCTGCTAGCTAGATCTTCAATCTGATTTCTCTGGCTTGTGATGGTTTCTTTAAGCTTTAGATATTCAAACAATGGAAGCATTTTGAATTTGTCTATTGGTCTAAGTGGTTTACTCGCTGCTTTCAAAAATCTAGATTTCATCTCACTGACAATTTCTCTATATTGCCCTTGTTCTATGTCTATACCCTGTGGAATCTACAGATAGATAAAGTCAATTATAAAATGATGAATAAATAATTACTTACTGTGGATTCCTTTTTTGTGGATTTCATGGGTACAGATGAACCACAAAGAAGTATGTTCCATAAGGCCCCCAAAATGGCCCCTATTTCTAGTTTAAATTTCAAATTAGGATTTATTTACTTTTTAATAGCTAATACAATGACTAGAAAGGAAATATTTATTTTTGTTGAAAGATAAGGGATTTTATTCATGACTTCCCAAATAGAACTCATTTTGATCTTTTGAAATGCAATAAAATCAGATAAATTTCCATTGACAACAAAAATCTTTTAAAATGTTTATATGAAAAACTTACATATCTGACTTGCCTGCACTCCATATTTCCTGGGCCCTTCATTTAGTTCAAATCTGAACGATTTTGTCAAATTTCAAAAAAAATCTTTATTTTTGATTTAAGTTCGGGCATATAAATGTTGAAGATATGCAGCCCAACCCTATATTTTGACCTTTGAAAAAAATAGTAGTGCATATGAACTTTCTATTCTAGGATATGAACTTTCTATTCTAGGATATGAACTTTCTATTCTAAGATATGAACTTTCTATTCTAGGATATGAACTTTCTATTCTAGGATATAATTTTTTGAAAAACGTGGAAGTAAAAGTGGCACAGTTTTAGCTGTAAAGGGAGTTCCTATGGGAAATTGCATTTTCTATATTGACAGAAGTGCAACCTGTAGACAATTTTTAACCTCTATCAAAATGTATTTTAGTTTTTTATGCAACTGGGTTGCTGTCTCATCTGTAAAGTGAAATAACAACTTACGGTTGCCATCATTTTTTGTGAAACCATATGCTGCTCCAATACAGTGAGTTTATGATATTCTTCTGCAGCTTTAGCAGCAGCTTTTTTTACATTGTCGTCTTTTGAATTGTCTAGTATTGTGCATATTGCAGCATATAAAGGTCGATTTCTTGGTATACCCCTAAAATCCTTCATGGAGAAAGGTGGACATTTTATGTCATCCATTTTTACTCTTCTCAACTGTAAAAAAAAATAAAAACTATTACATCTAGAAATCATGTATTTCAGTAAGTTCATTGAAAGTAAAACAGTGTGACAGTTTTCTATCAGATTTATCAACATAAGTACAATACAGTCACTTTTCCTTATTTAATGATATCGGAAACATCCTCTTTTCCGCGATTGCTACAAACATTACAGAAAGAGACTTATCACTAGATTTGTAGAACAGCAAATTATAATAGATGCAACACACATATGTGGAAAACCGATTATTAAATTGAATTTTCTTAGTCCAAGAACAAAATCATCAGACTGGAACAAAATTCAAACTTGATCTGACGCGTCCAAGCGCAAAAAAAAAAGTGTGGAAAACTGATTTGCCTGACTGACAGATGGACAGACAGACAGACGGAGTGCAAACCTGAAGTCCTCTGGGATTTTGTGGGAGGAGGACTTATTATATCCTGAATTCCCAACCATTAACTAGCTATTCCTGAATTCCAGTGAATTAAACAGCTCAATCCAGATGTCCCAAAAAAGGTCTTTCTGCCTCTCTATAAACCTCTCTTCTGTTCATTCTGTTTTTATTTCCTCAGGCACTTTTTTGTGTTTGATATATATTTCAAATGAATTTTTGAAACTAAGGAAACTAACGTGTTATTGCCCATTTTCTATATATGCTACATTTAACTTATTTACAAACTTACAGTTCGGCGCCATTGTTTTGCCAGCAGACGATAAAAGTTGTACTCTGCCTGTGCACGTGATAATGACTTCGGGTCAAAACATTCGTGGTGTGTCCAAAGTAAGGCAAGAATATCTTGCTGGGAATCGTCTCCTTCTTTCTCCTCGTCTGAAGCCTCACCATCTGGATGAGGAAATCCAATGTCAGCAAAACGATGCATGTGATGGTGTGCTCGCCAAATGTGCTCGGAAATTCTTTCAACATTCTGTAATGGAGTGAAATATTTATTCATTTCAAATTGGTTCTTCTTTCATAAAGAAATAAATTGATTTCAAAATGGTTTTAAACAATGCTGTATTAAATTTCATACGTCAGATTTTTGTGTTTTCTGTTTCATTTATTCTTATCTTGTTTATACTTATAGGGATTTAGGGCCTGTTATCAGCAAATGCCAGATACAAGCTCCTTGCAGCTTTTAGCTGCGTTAATTGTTCTTAAAATATTTTTTAACGACACTACAGGGATAAAAGCGGAGGAATCTGGCATAATTCCAAAACAAGAGAAGTGAACATCCTTAAGTGGAAATCTATTAAAATCATTCCATTTGCTTTAAATAGTTCATCAATAATGAAAAACTATGCAGATGCATAGGAAAATGTCACACGATTAGACTTTTTCAACCTCCACATTGAAACAACAGCTATATAAGGAACTCTCCTATCATCATGCTGACTTTTGTTCTACAGCTCAGATGAAAGTGGTGGTCATCCACTGACAATAACTGAGGACAAATAACTGCACAATTTACACCTTTAAGAAAACATCACAAAATATAGTGGAGAGATGTCAATGAATGTTTATTAGGCAATCAGCATTCATTGATCTGGTTTATAGGTATTTAAATCTAATTAAGTTACAGTAAATGGACTATATCACAGATTTTGGTAAAATTTTGCTTACAACTTTAGCTTGTTGAACTATAACTGAAAATCAAAAAAATAATGCATTTATCTCTTTTATTTTCTGTATGGTTACCGATTAAATTCTTTCAAAATAGATGAACATTTGTGTAGAAAGCACATAAAATTGGCAAAAAATTTGTCTTAAAATCATCAAATCTCTAATTTCAAATCCATAGATTTTTCTTAAAAAATTATATTTTGTTGATACATAAATTTCTGTTTTAATGATATAAAATAATGCATTATTTTTTTTGATTTTTAAGTTACAGTTCAACGAGCAAAAGTTATAAATGTTTTTTCACCAAAATCTGTCAGTAGTTCTTGATCTTAAATATATACAAAAATATGCACAAATCCATAATATCTTACTTCTTTTGGTGTTTGTGATTGTGTGACAGGAGCACCTCCTGACTGTGGTCCAGATGTATCCATTTTTTCTACTTTTCCTTTCTCTTGATTTACTTGTAGCACAGTCTTGTTCATTGCTGCACTTTCAGCTCCAAATTTAGGACGTCCTGGACCTGATGCCTAGAAAACAAAAAATTATTCCTGGATACATTTTGATTAGGTTAAAAAAATTGTTTCTGAAATATTCTGCTCAGTCACAGAAGAGCATGATTTAACTTCCAAAATTTACCACTGAAGCAGCTAAATATAATGATATAACATAAATATGTTTAAATTTAAGATTTCCCCTTTTAAAAAATTAAAATATAATTGGTTATATGGTTAATTGATCATATCTGTAAAAATGCCATGAATAAACAATATTAAGATCTAGAATTATTTCTTTCAATATGAACAGAGCATCAAACCCCATAAACAAAATTGGATGCCAGGTTTTTCAGAAATGAACATGCAAGAATCTAACACTTTATTTACATGAAATTTAATAGCTTCTATTTACAACTGGAGGTACTAGTGAGCAAAGCTCACAAAACTATACCTATAACCCCATAGAAAGTCTGTTCCCCCTAAAAAAATATTCCCCTGAAAACTCTGTTTTAAACAATGCCATAACATCTGTTTTTGTTGTAACAAGTATATTCTTTACCCTTTATTCAGTAAGGAACAAATACTGTAATATTTGTTCCAGTGGAAATAATATAACAGAATATTTCTTCCATTTAAAATTTCAATATTATGAAGGAACTATAAGTCTATTTCATGACAAGTCCATGCTTTGATAAGGGAAACCCCAAAATAATTGAGACCAAAACCAAAATAAGAGATGCACTATGGTATTATACAGTGAAGATTTTGAGAAAATTACATCAAATTCTGATTAGGGGTTAAGGAGAAGGAATATAAACAATGATAAATGTGTATTGTGTAATGGTGCATAGTATTTGTTGAAGTAAACAGTGAAAATGAAACAAATAGGAGATGCACAATAGCATTATATGATTAAGATTGTGAGAAAGTTTCAATAAATTGTATATTTAAGAAGTTAAGTTAAGGAGGAGTTGTATTATTTAAACTTTTCAAACTGCATCTACAAACTGATCAAATGATTCACTAAATTATTACTAACATTAAAATAAGTTATTAACTGCTAAGCTCACAAGGACCTTTTTTTGTCATTATAAGTCCTTTTTGACTTCAATAAGGACTTCAAAGTTTCAACAATTCTTTTATATTAGTTTTCACAGAAGCAAATAAGAGCAAAGCAAGGAAAGTAAGTAAAACATTATCCATGTTGAGTAATGATTTTGAATGGCTATGACTGGCTCTAGATACCAATATCTTATTATTATCTGCCCATCCCCACCTGCCACCCCCCCCCCCCCCTCCCCCCCAGGTCAGGGTATAACAAAGAAATTCAGTATCTGTTCTTTTGATGTCTAAAATTATAGATTTTCCTCTAAATTACTGTCAGTGTCATAATACTGTTTTGGCGGACATCAAAATTGACCATCCTGATGTCATGTTATTCAATGTAAAATAAATGGGGAATGTGTCCATGGGACACAGATGATGCCCCACTTCCATATCATATAAAGTTGTAAAAGGGACATAAATGAAGAATGGTAAAATTGACACTACCCAAATTTGTACTTGATCTGAGTTTTGTGGTAATAAGTATTGTGTATAAGTTCATAACATTTGGTTGAGGCTAGCTTAAGTTAGAGAACAGAAACGAAAAATTCAGCAATTTTTCCATTTGTAAAGGGGCATAACTCTAGAACAGTAAAAGTGACACCACCAAAATTCAAACTTGATCTGTATTTTGTGGTAATAAGCATTGTGTATAAGTTTCATAACATTTGGTTGAGGCTAACTTAAGTTAGAGAACAGAAACGAAAAATTTAGCAATTTTTCCATTTGTAAAGGGGCATGCACTACAAAAGTCTAAAAGTCTGAAAAGACCAGTTTTTGTCTTAATTTGCATGAACTTTTACTCGACATTCTCCAAAAGTATGACTTGTGTCTTAATTTTTCTTGACAAATTCTCATTTATATTAAATTTGTATGAAATTTACTCGATATATTCTCGACATTCTGAATATGGTCTTAAAATTTCTTGACAAATTCTTGACATTTGAATACTGTCTTGAAATTTCTCGACATATTCTCGACATTCTTATTTTTTCTCAGTATGGCTTGACATATTCTGAACATTTTGAATCGTGTCTTAAATTTAATTGACAGTTCTGAGTTTTACAAATCATGACCAATATTCTTGATATAACTTTAATCTTTATTTCTCTTTATATGATATACTGTTGTTTCAAGTTACACTTCTTTACAACAAAAATAAAAGTTGGGCATGTAAAATAATTGAAAATTTGGGTATATAAATATTTTTACAAATGCAAATATGGCTGAAATCTAAAGTATAAAATAATTCAAATGTGGGTGTGTTGATATAAAACAATTTCAATGTGGGTTTTTAAATAATTACAAATTTTGATTCCTAAATCTTATAAATTAAATGATTCAAACCAATCATACTGTAGACAATTATTTCATTCTACATTCATAATATTCAATGTTGATATGGTAAATAATTATTATACCAAAATGTGGTTTATATAAATAGCAAATTATGATGATATACAAATCATTCATTTAACAGAAGAAAAATTAGTGTTATGTCATCTGTTGGAATATATTAAGTATTACACATGGACAGGATGTTCCCCATAAAATTAAGGTATTCCACACCCCAGAGTACACGCAACTGTCAAATAGAAGTTATTGCTTTACCTGTAATCCGCCATACAACTTATCAGTTGACCGACCATGCCACTACAATTTATAAAGTTTGTTGATAGATGAAAATGTAAATCATCATTTTGATGAAAAAAAATTGAATTGAAATGGATTTTCTTCATCAAAATTATGAAGTTAATTATTTTAACATAAAAACAAATTGAATAATTCCCAAAGATTAAAAGAAAATTATTATCTACTCCAGGAATAATAAAAAAAAAAGTATTTATAATGGGTCCCATCAATGATTTCTATAGAAATCATCGGTCTTATGAAATGGTTCTCAAACAGACATGCATAATATAGATCTAAACATTTTTTTCTTTTCAGGAAGGAGTTATCACAAATATTTATTTTTGATAAAAAATTATAAAATTCAACACTCAAATTTGAATAAAAAATGTTTTTGGGTTGTTCTAAAAAATGAATAAGGTTTTTGAATCAAGATGGGAACAAATTCTTTGACCTAAACGAAAGCCCCCCCCCCCCTCTTTTTTTAGCCACACAAACCCAAAAGATGAATTGTGGGGTCCAAAAGAGATACAAGACACCTATTTCAGTAAAGCAAATTTGACTGGCAGTTTTGCGACTGGCAAAAATCTAAATGCTGTTTGTCAATACCTTTGACTTATATTCCAAGTGAAAACAATTACTTAAATGTTTAATAAAAATAAATCAAAATTAAACTACATGGGGGATTATTCAGGGTATTCCAACTTAGTTGCACCAAAAGGGTATCTTACTATACCAAATTAATCCTTGATTCTTCAAAGTTTAGTTTAGCCATAATAAAAAGGAGTATACAACAGCAATAGAATGTCATAAACAGTGCAGAATAAGTCTGTTCACATTTCAGGCGAAATTTAAACTGTTGAGATAGTGTCAAGACATATTTAAGACTGTCAAGAATGTGTCGAGACATATTCAGACATTATTTAGAATGTCAAGAATATGTCAAGACAGATCGAGACAAATTTAAGACAGTCAAGAATTGGTCGAGACTAATCCAGACTCTTATCAGATGATACAGGAAGTGTCGAGAAATTTTAAGACAATGTTCATACTGTCAAGACACTTGTCAAGAAAAATCAAGAACCTTTTTAGACAAATTCATACTATGTCAAGAATTTTTAAAAATTATTCAGACAAATTAAGAATGTCGAGTAAAAATTCATGCAAATTCAGACAAAAACTGGTCTTTTCAGACTTTTTGACTTTTGTAGTGATGACTCTAGACAGTTAAAGTGACACCACCAAAATTCAAACTTGATCTGTATTTTAAATAATAAGCATTGTGTATAAGTTTCATAACATTTGGTTAAGGCAAACTAAAGTTAGAGAACAGAAACGAAAAATTCAGCAATTTTTCCATTTGTAAAGGGGCATAACTCTAGAATGATTAAAGCGACGCCACCAAAATTCAAACTTGATCTGTGTTTTGTGGTAATAAGCATTGTGTATAGGTTTCATAACATTTGGTTGAGGCAAACTAAAGTTAGAGAACAGAAACGAAAAATTCAGCAATTTTTCCATTTGTAAAGGGGCATAACACTAGAACGGTTAAAGTGACGCCACCAAAATTCAAATTTTATCTGCATTTTGTGGTAATAAGCATTTTATATAAGTTTCATAACATTTGGTAGAGGCAAACTAAAGTTAGAGAACAGAAACCAACTTTGGGACGTATGGACGGACGTACAGACAAGGGTAAAACTTAATGCTCCACTACGGCGGGGGCATAAAAATAACTTGCATGATACAGTATATTTTTCTTACTTTCAAATTATTTGTGTATTTTTCCCTAACTTATAGATAAAAAAGCATTTGAAGACTTAATAATAATGAGATGATTGTTAAGAAAACTAGTTGTCAAAGTGGCTATAAAAAATTGACTGGTCTCATGGCACTAAAAATATAAGTCTGTATGATTTACTTTAGATAAATCTTTCATTTTTCAATGCACAATTGTAAAAGGAATTAATCCACAAAAGAAAATAATTTAAAGAACGTTCTCTTACAAAGTCAAATCCTTGTAAAGTATAGTTCATTGTGAATTTCTGATCTGTGATTTTTGATTCTATCATTTTGTTTACTTTCTAGAAATAATAAGATGTGGTATGAGTGCCAATGAGACAACTCTCCATCCAAGTCACAATGTGTAAAAAGTAAACAATTATAGGTCAAAGTAGTGCCTTCAACACGGTGCCTTGGCTCACACCAAACAGCAAGCTATAAAGGGCCCCAAAATGACTAGTGAAAAACAATTCAAACAGGAAAACCAACGGTCTAATCTATATAAAAAACAAGAAACAAGAAATACTAAAGAACCACATCAAAGTTTTAACAGGCGCCAACCTTCACCCTAACCTGAAATAGTAGTGTAACATTACAACATAGAAAGACACACTATAACCTTGGACAAAATGGCGTTAAATAAAATAACGTACACAGGTAAATTTAAATATAATAATTTTGTTGTTAGGAGTACGGAGATATTTTTTACAAAATAAATAAATTTGTTGTTCATAGTTAATGTAGTACGAGAACAGCAGTGAAAATTTATCGTCATACTAAACACTTATCAAAGGTGGTACATATTAAAAATAGTGAGACGAGATATAACACAAAATAAGTAACATTGAATAACAAAAATGCATTACAAATGGTAAAAAAGGTCAAATTAACACGAAAGTACGATTTGAGAGTACTCACAGTTACTGAAAGCTAGTTAAAAGCCAAAAACAATAAATAATAAAAAATCATGCATCAGAGACTAAAATCAACTAAAGCACATCCCAGGGATTCAGTGTTTTAACGCCATGTACAGTCAAAGAAGACAAGACAAGACTTGTGCAATGCCAAAATAAAAGTATCGACAAGCAGTAGGATAGTTTGGATTTAACCTTATAATAAATATGTATAATGTTATAAATAGCTAAGCAATCTCTATATAGAAAATGAACTTGGATGTGTAATAATACATCCAAAAAACCATTTGAAAAGAATACAAATTTAGTTATGTTTTAATTTGCTGGTGACAAAATTGATATTTGTGCCAATGTAAACAATATTCAAAGATCTTATTACAACATTAATAAGATAACCTTTACTAATAAGTTTGTTTAAAGGTTCGATGAGTTTACACGGATCACATAGTGATTTCCACTCTTTTAGTACAATATTACCGTAAAATTTAAGATGTGAAATACCGTTTTTAATAAGTTTTCTTCAGGTACAGCCAAATTTACTAATCAAATCTTTATATCTATGAAATAATTTAGTAAAAATTTTAAGTAATTTATGGTAACGAAATCCTAGACTTAATAATTTACCAGTGATGCATTGATTACGTTCGTTAAAATCTATGACATCACTACACACACGGGCATAACGAACAAGTTTGGATATATAAACACTGTATGATGGAGCCAAAGGAACATCGCCGTCTAAAAAAGGACAATTAACAATAGGGAATGAAAAACCTCTCTTTTGTTGTAAATTTTAGTATGGAGTTTCCCTTTAGAAATTGAAATGTCTAAATCATGAAAAGGACAACTACTGCTGTTTATGTTAGATTTATTTAAAGTAAGTTCCTTTGGGTAAATTTCGGTAGTATAGTTAGGGAACTCTGGAATATTTAATGAAAAAACATCATCAAGATAACAGTAGATATTCTTGAATGTGTCAACCATATGTAACAATGACGTGTCTTTACTGAGTTTGGTCATAAACTGAGATTCATAGCAATACAGGAATAAATTTGCTATTAAAGCAGCACAATTAGTGCCCATAGGAATATCTACTACATGTCGATATACTTTAACGCCGAAACGCACATATATGTTGCCCAGGAGAAAATTTAAAGATTCAATCATGTCTTCACATTTCCAGTAAGTGTATCTAGCATACTTTCCTTTTTCGTTAGAGTAAAAAGGCTTTAAACGAGTTACAGCAAATAAATTTGCAACGAGATTTTTCAAAAGACCATTTAATTAAATATGAAAACTATTTCTTGATAAGATTGTGTGGAAGTGTAGTGTAGAGAATAGAAAAATCATAACTGTCAACAGAATTAAAAGAACCATCAAAAGCACGAATTTTATCTAAAACCTCTAAAGATTCTGTCCATTTACCTGAATTAGCGGACAGAAATCAGTTTCACAATCTACAAAGATTACCTATTCTTAAATTAAACATCCTTAAATTATGTTGTTGTCTAAGCCATATTAGATAAAACATATAAAGTAATACAAAAGCATAGATTTCAAACATGTAGTTTAATGAGCAAGCATGATTTGGGGGAATCAAAAAGTTATAGTAGGTTAACTACCTTTCCTTGTAAAGCCTGTAATGTTCTTTCTGATTGTGTTAATACATAATAGTCCCAGCTTGCTTTTAAAGCAACTGGATTCTTGTTTAACTGATTTAGTATTGCTCTTGATAGAATAGTATCATCAGCAGTCTTTTTAAATATCTCCATGTTAAATAATTTGTCATCAGGAGTGTTTGGTAATCTTTTAAACTGCAATTAAAAACGAAGGAAGATTTTTTTATTCAAATGCACTAAGTTAATGAAATTATTAGAAACAAAAATAAACGAATTTTGCCATTACCGTCATTTAAAAACTCCATAAAAAATTTAATTATTGCAAATTTAATTTAATGATTATTTCAGGTAACATTTTGTTGACTCTCGCGTTAAATCATTACGCATGTCAAAACTATATTTTCTTTTTTGATATAATTAAGGTCCAGTAACTCCAAAACGAACGTCAAAAAATAGAATTAAAAAAAATACAAGAATTTGTATGCATATTAATAAATTACTTGATTATAAGTGAAAAAATTACAAGCTCAAGTCTACAAATTATAAGTAATTTACAGAAAATTCTGAACAGTTTGTTAATTTAACGATTTTAAAATTATAAATTCACTATGAATGAAAACAATGGTACCTGATCCTTTAATATGCCCTTCAGGTTGCTTTCGGCATTTAACAACATTACGTATTGTCTTTGGGCTTCATCACGTTCAGCTTCACTTGCAAAATTTGCAAGGTCACTGACAAATTGATATAAATTATCTCGGATGTGTTCTTTCACTGATTCTGGTATAGTAGGTATGACCTAAAATTTCAAAGTATTGCAAAATGATACTGTTCATCATATTCATGATAGTAAATTAATGTCTATATAAAAATAAGTTGATGTGGCATAGTTGCAATAAGTTGTCACCACCATACACCAAATGAAGTAGAAGTTAGCAGCTATACGTCACTGAACGACATGCAACAATGAGCAAACCCATACTGCATAGCAAGCTATAAAAGTCCCCCAAATGACAAATGTAAAGCAATTCAAACAAAAGACATACAAACTGATTTATGTACAAAACAATAATAAAAAAACTAATATGATTTATAGCAATAATTGATTGACTGATTGATTGGTGTTTATCGCCACTTTCAACACTTTTGTGCTATTTCGTGGTGGTCAGTTTTTATTGGTGGAGGAAGCCGAAGTGCCTGGAGAGAAGCACTGACCTTCTGTAAGAAAAACTGACAATCCTAGTCAATTAAGATTGGAGTCAAGTGCACCTGCCACATGCAGGATTCAAACTCACAACCTCAGTGTTGACAGGCACAACCACTGAATTACAGGCTGCTGACTAGGGACATGCACATACTGAATCTGACAGAGTTAAACAAAATTAGCATTCTAAGAACCAATGTTGAGATAAATTAAATCTTAAATTTTCCTACAAGACTAAAAAGAGACATCAATAAATTAACAATTAAAATTCAGTTAAAAAAAACACTGCACATACTTATTCTCAAGAACTAAATGGATAACAAATTTAAAAACACTAGTTTATTCATTTTTACAAGAGAAAATCATCCTTTGGTCAATAAAAAAAATATTTATCAGTTAGGGATAATATCTAGATCAATTGCTTTCAACATATTCAATAAACTGTTTCGCTGAGTGCAGCTGGATATGCCCGCAGAGCTCCAACCCTAAACAGTTGGGGCAAAAATGGACACAATATTCAAGCTTGATACAGGTCTGAATTTGGATTGTAATTAAATATTTGACATATTATAGGTTTCTGAATAAATGTAGTCAAAGAACTTGAAATTGGTTATATGAATTGAATTTATATTCAATTAAAGATTTCTTGCTGTTGTGCAATACACTGTGCTGTTGCGCAATACTTAGTAAATCTGTTGTCAGACTATAAACAAATAAAGTTCAATTTCTTCTCAATGTCATATTTGAAATTTATGAAAATCAATAGGGAGATTACATCAATAGCTATAAATAATTCAACAAAGTTTCATGAGAACTGCTGAAAGCATTTTTGAGTTATTGTCCAAAAACTGGAAAATCCCCCCTTTTTTAATGAATAAAACCCCATAACTCAGAAATGTAAAATCTAAAATTTTTATAAAATTCTAAAGGGAGCTTACATCAACAGATATAAACAATTCACCAAAGTTTCATGAGAACTGCTGAAAGCATTTTTTAGTTATTGTCCGAAAACTGGAAAATCCCCCTTTTTTTATGAATAAAACCCTGTAACTCGGAAACGTTAAATCTAAAAAAGGGAGCTCATATCAATAGATAAAAACAATTCACCAAAATTTCTTGCAAGTTGGTGAAAGCATTCTTGAGTTATTGTCGGAAAACTGGAAAATCCCCCCTTTTTTAATAAATAAAACCCCAAAACTCGGCAACGGTAAATCTGAATTATATAAAAAACGAAAGGGAGCTCACATCAATAGATATAAACAATTCACCCAAGTTTCATGCATATTGGTTAAAACTTTTTGAGTTAATGTCCGACATGTTGACGACGGACGGACGGACAGACGGACGGACAGATGGACAACGGTATACCATAATACGTCCCGTAAACGGATGTATAATAAAAAGGAGTAAGTTCTCTCAAAATGGCATAAAATTAAGTTGAAATAATATATACCCAGTTTAATTACAGTATCTGCCCTTCAATTGAAAACATTAGTTCAAAATTTAGCTCCCCTGGCAAGATCACCGCTCCTCTACTCACAAATTAATTAATATCTAAATTGCACTTGACATGAATGGGTTGATTTTTTATCGCAGCAACTAAATATATATTTTGTTATCACATTTTTGCCAGATATCCTTATGCAAGGCCTAACATTTGTCTTAGTAATACCACTCAGGCCAAATAAAAAAAGGAAATGAATCAGTCCTCAGTCAACTTTACTGATTTGTAAGGAAATATGTATTTAGAAAGTTTCAACAAAAATTCAAAACCACCTTACTTTGATCCCTAAGTGTTAGTTAATTCTAAAAAAAATGAATGCTACAAATGCAACAATTAAACATGTTAAATACCAAAATTGGATAATTTTCTATATCTCCGATGATGTTTTAAATGTACTGAGAATTAGAGAAAACAAATTTATTTGCAGAGGAAGAAGTGTATAATAAAGATAAACAAGAGGCTCTCAAGAGCCTGAATTACTCACCTGTAATTTTTTGCTTAAATCTTTCATCTATGATTATTTTTGCTTTTCAATATATATTTTTTTTTTTTTTAATTTTTATTATTTTCCAGAATTACAACAAATACAACACATCAAACATACACACGATAATATTAGCAATACATTTGAATATCTATTTATTTATGACAATAAACATTGTCGAAAATTCAGTTTTATATAGAAAAGAGAACATAAATACGGAAGAAAAGATAATTTGTGTTAAATGTTTATGTACCACTGTGTGGCACATGAGAAGGCTAAAGTATTTTATGAAAAAGGAAGAAGTTAAAATATCCTGTAAGATTTTCAGTACATAATAAGTTGTGCTATTAGATACAATAATATATTATGTTAGTTTTGGCAATAATTATCTGTAAATAATAAATGACAAATTGAATTATAAAAATAATTCTTTAAATGCATTCCACATGGTATCAAAGTGCTCTTGTCTCTTATTTTTGACTGCCATTATTTTTTCTAAATTGTACATATATTATAGCTTTTCAATATATATTAATGAATGGCTTAAAACTTCCATTGAAATGTTCTTTGTATCTGTCATATTTTCTTCAAAATCAAAGAAATGCATTTTACCCCTATGTTTCATTTTAGCCGTAGTGGCTATGTTTCTTGACATACAAGAAAATAAAATACAAAATTTATACTAGATACTCTGAAACTCATTCAGCCCAAATTTGGCTGAAATTGATTCAGCAGTTTCAAGGGAGAAGATTTTTTAAAGTAAGCAAACTAAATGAACAAATTATGAAAAATTGATTCTAAAGGGCAATAACTCCTTAAGGGGAAAATTGACAATTTTGGTCATACAAAACTTATTTGTAGATCTTACTTTGCTGAACTTTTTTGCTGTTTACAGTTTATCTTTATCATTAATAATATTCAAGATAATAACCAAAATCTGCAAAATTTCCTTAAAATTACCAATTAAGTGGCAGTAATCCAACAATGGGTTGTTAGATTCATCTGAAAATTTCAGGGCCAACACAGCTTGGCCTTATAAACATTTTTATATCTCATCAGATTAGCTCTAAATGCTTTGGTTTTTGAGATAAAAGCCAAAAATTGCATTTTACCCCTACGTTCTATTTTTAGCCATGGCGGCCATGTTTTTTTACAAAACAGAAAATAAAACACAAACTTTATTCTAGATACCCTTAGAATCATTCAGCTTAAGTTTGGTTGGAATTGGTTCAGTAGTTTCAGAGAAGAAGATTTTTTAAAGTTAGAAAACATGATAAACAAAATGTGTAAAATTGTCCTTAAAGGGCAATATAACTCCTTAAGGGGTCAATTGACAATTTTGATCATATGAACTTATTTGTAGATCTTACCTTGCTGAACATTTTTGCTGTTCACAGTTTATCTTTATCATTAATAATATTCAAGATAATAACCAATAAAATGCTCCGCAGGGCGCAGCTTGATACGACCGCAGAGGTCGAACCCTGAACAGTTGGGGGAAGTATGGACACAACATTCAAGCTTGATACAGCTTTGCATTTGGATTGTGATTAAATATTTGACACAGCATAGGTTTCTAACACAGAATAAATGTGGTCTAAGAACTTAAAAAATTTTAAATTGGACATTCACCTATTATGGTCCAATATCCAAAATCTAAATACACGGTTAGATTCAGCATATCAAAGAACCCCAATAATTCAATTTTTGATGAAATCAAACAAAGTTTAATTTTGGACCCTTTTGACCTCAATGTGGACAAAGTTGATAACGGGGCCCAAAAATCAAAAATCTAAATACATGGTTAGATTCAGCATATCAAAGAACCCCATATATTCAATTTTTGTTGAAATCAAACAAAGTTTAATTTTGGACCCCGATTTGGACCAACTTGAAAACTGGGCCCATAATAAAAAATCTAAATACATGTTTAGATTCAGCATATCAAAGAACCCTAAGAATTCAATTTTTGTTAAAATCAAACTAAGTTTAATTTTGGACCCTTTGGACCTTAATGTAGACCAATTTGAAAACGGAACCAAAATTTAAGAATCTAAATACATGGTTAGATTCGGCATATCAAAGAACCCCAATAATTCAATTTTTGATGAAATCTAACAAAGTTTAATTTTGGACCCTTTGGACCTCAATGTGGACCAATTTAAAAACGGGGCCCAGAATCCAAAAACTAAATACACATTTAGATTCAGCATATTAAAGAACCCCATGAAATCAAGAATAAAACCCCATTGAAATTGGTCAAGAAATAAGCAATTTATAGGAAGTATCTTCTTTTGCACAATCCTGTGCTATTAAATATTTCTTGCTATTGCGCAATACTGTGCAATTGAAAATTTCTTGCTATTGCACAATACTTATTATATAATTATTTACACATCCTGTTTGGTGTGTATCTCCTACCATATCATTATTATTTGATTTTAAATATAAATCAGAAATAACCAACTTAAAATGGAAAATTTTAAAAGAAACAAAAAAGGAAAAAAAAATAAATCCCCCCCCCAAATTTTTTGAACCCCCTTATGATTCATCACCCCCAAACTCAATCCCAGCCTTCCCTTAGTGGTATGGTACCTTGCAGTACAATTTCAGAGAGATCCATACACTTGAACACAAGTTATTGTCTGGAAACTAGAAAAATGTGTTTTTTGGGCCCCTTTTTGGCCCCAAATTCCTAAACGTTTAGGGCAATTACCCCCAAACTTAAACCCAGCTTTCCCTTTGTGATATGGAACCTTGTAGTACAATTTCAGAAAGATCCATACACTTACACACAAGTTATTGTCCTGAAACTAGAAAAATGCTTGTTTTTGGCCCCTTTTTGGCCCCTAATTCCTAAAATATTGAGGCAATTACCCCCATCATCAATCCCAGCCTTTCCTTTGTGGTATAGTACCTTGCAGTACAATTTCAGAGAGATCCATACACTTGAACACAAGTTATTGTTTTTTGGCCCCTTTTTGGCCCCTTTTTTGGCCCCCAATTCCTAAACGTTTCGGCAATTACCCCCAAACTCAATTCCAGCTTTCCCTTTGTGATATGGAACCTTGTAGTACAATTTCAGAAAGATCCATACACTTACACACAAGTTATTGTCATGAAACTAGAAAAATGCTTGTTTTTTGCCCCTTTTTTGGCCCCTAATTCCTACAATTTTGAGGCAATTACCCCCAAAATCAATCCCAGCATTCCTTTAGTGATATGGAACCTTGTGGTACAATGTCAGAGAGATCCATACACTAACACACAAGTTATGTCTGGAAGTTACAAAAATGCTTATTTTTGGCCCCTTTTTGGCCCCTAATTCCTTTACTGTTGGTACCATAACCCTCAAAATCAATCCCAACCTTCCTTTTGTGGTATTGAACCTTGTGGTAAAATTTCATAAAGATCCATTCACTTAAACTAAAGTTAGAGTGCGAAAACCAATGTGTCTTCAGACGACGCAGGACACCGCCGGACGAGGACGACAACGACGACGACAACGACGCCAACGTCATACCAATATACAGCTACAAAAAATTTTTTGCGGTCGTATAAAAACTGCAAAATTTCCTTAAAATTACCAATTTAGTGGCAGCAACCCAACAATGGGTTATCAGATACAACTGAAAATTTCAGGGCTGATAGAACTTCACCTAATGAACACTTTAACCCATGTCAGATTTGCTCTAAATGCTTTGGTTTTTGAGATATAAGCCAAAAACTGCATTTTACCCCTATGTTCTATTTTTAGTCATGGCGGCCATGTTATATGACGAAACAGTAAATAAAACACAAACTTTATTCTAGATACCCTAAGCATCATTCAGCTTAAGTTTGGTTGGAATTGGTTCAGTAGTTTTAGAGGAGAAGATGTTTGAAATAGTTTACACCAGAAGGACGACGACAGACGACGACAACGGACGCCAAGTGATGGCAAAAGCTCACCGTTCCGAGCTAAAGAAAGAAGTCTGATATTAGATATTAGATTTGTTTTTTTCTCAATCGATTTATGAATTTCGTACAGCGGTATACTACTGTTGCCTTTATTAGACATGTTAGAGCCACACGCCCTTGAAACTGCAAAATTAGTTAATTCTACAAGCCTTTCAAATCCATCTATGTTAATTTTATCGATAAATGAAAAGGATGACATGATCTTTGAATTTGAGTGCAAAATATAACTTCTTATGTTAGTACGATTTCATGAACATGTCAAAATTGATATACAATGGTAATTTTGCACATTAGTTTTGACAGAGCAAGATATAAGCCAAGACATCTTATACCAGAATACCTTTTTAGGTTAGGCCTTGGCTCAAACCTAAAATGATCAGATCTGAAAATGTGACAATATCACTCCCAGTTTTGCATTAAATGCAAGATGCTTGAATAGTAAACTTTTTTTATATTTAGGAGAATTTAGAGCTTGACATATATATATTGTATAAACACAGTCTATTGTTGAAGCCTGTATGTTGCCCTCTAGATATTTTTTTTTCTTGTTGGTTTGCTGTTTCATTAACATACATGTATAGTATTCATGTATACACTACATCTTCTTTTATTCATATGACAGATTGACCATAAACATATACATGATGACTAAATTAAAAAATATAACTGCTTATACCTTATAGACTAATTGTCTAATGAACATTTGAAGGGTGCTATTTGATAGATTTATAATATGTTTTCATTATCAAATTCAAGAGGCCAAAAAAGAAGGCCTTATTATACCTTCTGATAAGTATAGTATTTGTGTCATATTATCTGGTAATATTTATTTCAAAGACAAACATCAGAACATCTCTGTTTCCTTTGCAAAAGATTAAGTTTATGAATGAAATATGTGTTTCACTATGCTTTATGCATAATGAGTAGAGCAGATATAGGTGTGGCACGTCTGATGCACACAAACGCTAACACATCTTATAATCAAAAATAAATTCATTTAAAATTTTTGGCTTAACATAGCAGAATTCTAACATCAAATCCTGGACCCATGTCTGATGCACCCTGTGACAATTTTTTTTTTACAAAGACTTCTGTAGGGCAACATACTAAGAAAAATGAAACATTTAATAAGTGCAGCCTTAAATACTTTGTGTTGAAATTTCAATGGAACCAGCAGGATTTTAACCTGCAACCTCAAAATTGAAAGGCAGCGGCACTCTAACCAGCCTTACTTAAGAACATGTTCCTTAATTTTACTGAGTTAGACTCAATTTACTCACTCTAATTATATTGTTATGCTTATGGGTGATCGTAAATTCCCCTTTTTCTATTTTTAGGTATTATATATAACTATAGTTGTCCGGTCACTTTTTTGCGGGGATCGTTTTTATCGTGCTTGAGACTCAATGTCCTGACTTGGATATTTAAACCTCGCCTGGACAATATTTCTTTAGATTGGGGATAACTTTCGTACTGGTAAGTTGTACTTTAAATTTCATTTTATTCGTATTTCAATGGTTGACTTAAATAATATTTCTTTCTTTACTTTTGATATTTCTTTTCGGTTTTCGAGTCAAACATTTCTAAAATAAAATTTACGTTTCTGTTCCCAAAAAATAGAAGGAATTGTACACTAGCTAGATATTTTATAATTTCGGGTTTATAAAGAAATGGGGTGCATTTTGATAGCGATATTTTAGAAAGATGGTTAATCCGAGGGATATTTTAGAGTAAAGGTCGTCAATCTTCGGAATTGTTCGTGCTTTACTCTGAAATAGAATTTTTTATCTAAGGTCTTGAACTGGTCAATGATATTGAAAAATGTGTTTCAGACATTGCTCTGGTTGGACCGAGAATTAAACAGGAATAGGACTAATGCAATGTTTTTTTTATTTACTGGATTGATTTTGTTCCCTAGCACATGGAATTACTAGGTTCATGTTCTAGTCTAACAAAGTCGGTGAGAACCGGTGGGTATATTTATTTTATCTCGGAAGGTGGGACGTCACGAACTTGATTGATTGAATTTAGTTTATTGTTAACGACGACTAGTGTATAGCTCTTCATATTTTAAGTAAACGGACACCTATAAAGTTCTAGTATCTATTAATAATAGATACTAGAACTTTATAGTTGATATAATAATAGTATTATTATATCAATTAGATAGCACTAAGGCCAAACCCCTAGAATTGGTTGACCTTTTATTGGTATTTTTCACCGCAAATGCATCGTTTTATCCTATTAAAGGGGAAGTTCCAAAATGTATTGAAATTCTAAAGAATTTAAATTTTCACATGGAGATACAGCGATATTTATATATGTATTTATATTGTCTTTGTCTATTAAATATGAAACTGTTTTATGAATCTTGGTTATTTGTTATATGAGCAAATACATTGCTTGGCAAAATCGTCACATCTGGTTATTTCTAGGTTTCTAATACCTATCATTTATTGAATTTATTGTTCCTTTGTATTGTCAGTATGCTGACCGAAGTCCTGGAGCGAAAGCACAGCTAGGCTGAACCCTCTCTACCAGTAACGTAAACGGCTGAGCTAGCGGGGTATAACTTCATGAGACAAATTATGAAAGGAAAATCTGTTTACACACGAAAACCTGTTTACGTTGCAATATTACAACTTTTTTTTAACTTTTTCATCTCAAAATTCCAACAGTTGTAATCAAACTAGACTGCTAGTAATAAAATAACTTAAAACATGTGAAAAGGATAAATGGGGAGGGGTAATGGAGCTACTTATATGGTTAATGCATAGCCTTTTCACAAGTCCCACTTTAAGGTTGCCTTGGTGTGCCATCCCCATCCCCCTTTTTTCCAAATCCTGGTATCAAACCCTTTACCTCTGTGTTCAACATGTTCAATGTCAGAACTCTAACAGACTGAGTGAAAGAAGTGCTTCCCTAGCTTAACCACTCACGTCTAGCTAAGTATATACTACACAAGGGCACCAATCCCGTCACATATACATTTATAAATCAAAGATGTCCTAGACTCCTACTGTTAAAATCTTTGTATGTATATAAATCAACTTTGTTTGAACTCTGACAGTAATTTTTTTTATCTACCTTCAGTTAAATTGTACGCAGTTCGGTTTATTATTATTCTTGAAACCTTTATTTTGACTTTTGTTTCATACTACTAACAAAAATTGATGTTTTCCTACTTTCGATTTCGTTAATTTACTTCCCTAAAAAAATTATTAATTTTTTAAATAAAAATTTCATTTTAGGTGGTCTTCCTGAGAAAATCAGCCCATCTTACTTTTTGAGTAGCCATTCTTCCGTCTGCAAATTTCAGTGACTACTTCTTTTATAACATTGACAATATTCAACTTATTCGTTGGTCCGACTCTATAGGCTATACACAGTTCATATTGAAGTTTGTCATACGGAGTTATTTCCCATGAAGAATCAACAAACCATGGTCTGTCGTTATTATCTCCCTTCGTCCAATTTAAATAGAATTTCAATTTTACACAAGATTTGTCCACGGGGGGGGGGGGGGGGGGGGTCTCAACATGGGATTTTGGGTACAGTTGTGCAGCTGGGATTTAAAAAACACCTCCCATTCATATATTGAATAATTGTGAAATCCCTACCTATACATATATTTCACAGTGAAATCATAACCCATTAATATATTTATCAGCTCAAAACTTGTGTCAATAAGTTTCAGCAGATGTGGAAATTTTAATGACAAAGAGTTTTGATATATTTCCTCGGTAAAATTGCACCCCATTAATATTTTTGACGTATCAAAAAAGGGACCCATTCCAGCGGCACATATGTATATACCTTCATATATATAGGAAGAGACCCCCACCCCGTGAATTTGTCTCGCTATACAAATCCTTGTTTTACACAAGATTTTATTCCTACTATTGAAATTCTTCCATAAACCCATAAATGATAAAATCTCACCAAAGAAAATCTAGAGGCATGGTGACAAATCCTGCAAAAAGAAATAATGAATAAATAAATGATGAACCAAAATAAGTAAATAGAGAATATAGAGGCGGATTTTAATAGGGGCGGGGTGCTACATTTATGGTTAATCCATACTTTTTACCTATTCCACTCCAAACTTTGTCTTGTTTGGGGCCCCCTGGCCCCCTCCCCCTGGATCCTGGATCATCATCTGGAATAATAGGGTGCAAAAGTATAAAGATTGATTGTGGATAATAAAAGAATTATGTACCATTACCAGAGACATATATACATGATATACACATGTGTAAACACGCGACACTTGACAAACCTTATAATGCCGGCTATCGGTACTGCAGATGCAACAAGTAACACGGTTAAATCACGGTTATATTGCCATAGCAGTCGGAATGGCAGCCAAAAGTCTGTTGTACACGGCAGTAAATTGAAAATAAATTGTTTTCAATTCAATCAAGAACACAGATTCTTTGCTATTTGCTCTATAATAATATAACCGGTGATAATATTTGTTTTAGGGAAAGAGAAAAAACTGATGTTGGAGTCAGAATAAGGTGTCCGGGTAGGGAAACATGTCTATCTGTGGACTGTTAGATGTACCTTGTGAACTAGCACGTTTAATCTGGCAATGCATGTCTGTCTATAACCGAACCGGTTCATATCTATATCACTGATCTAATATATATATAGACGTTACGCGCGATGTTCGTGCCTATAAGCGTAACAGACGTTATCGCTAAAATCGGACGTTTTTTATGGTTCAGACACAACAAAAATACTTCTAGAATAAGTAACGTTAATAACAATTGTACTATAATGATATGTATTCCCAATACAATAAATATGATCACTTATTGCAAACCATTTGACCTCTTTTTAATTGATTCATTTCAATCTAATTCTAATACAGATAAAACAAGAACTGTGATCACGATCACCTCCCCCTTTCCCCCTCAGATTGAGATAAGCTCAAGTAACAGTTGTCAGACTACATTATTATTTTTTATGCACATCTATGCACATAGTATACTTCAGTAATGTAAAGTTTCATTGAAATCCAATAAACGTTTTAGAATAAGTTGCACTTACATAACAAGACTATATATTACCCTATATTGTAATATTTAACGAAGTGATCTATCTTCCTGCATGCACGTCTTTAGCTAGTGTACTACAACTACATTACATTGTGAAAAGTTTCATTAATATCCGTCAAGTAATTTATTAGGATTACCGCTTACAAGGAAAATGGACAGACAGAAGGACAGGGTGATTCCTATATAGCCCAAACCTTTTTTGCTGGGGGATATAACAATATGTTTTTTTATGGAAAAAAAGAGGTTTTTAAACAATAACTTTATTGTACTCCTTCCATTTCATCCAATACTGATAAAATGTCAAGATGTGTAGTTTCCAGAAGACTAAGAGTTCCACGCGTCGAACATTGAAGAGTTGGTGAAATGTAAATAACAGATGCAATGGAAATGATGGAATGTTTCTTATCCAATAGTTTATACGACAAAAGTTTTTTTGTTTGGTCAAAGTATAAACCACGAACAACTTTGGATCCCTTTACGTAAGTTACGCCCCAATCATCGGTGGTGTCCTTTTTAAGAGTTTCGGGACAAGCATCTGCTTTAAAAAGGTAATAATTTGAATCTGCTTCATCAGTGTATACTGCCAGTATTGTGCCAAGCACAATGAGGTCTTCCATTTCGTAATTTTCCGTGGATTCTGCGGGACCCGAATGGCGGGTTCGGTTGTTCTCGACAACTATCGGTATGGTCGCCTTACTTCCAATGGAATTATTTATGCAGTCTTTGTAAGTACCAACCAAACAGTTTTCACAAGAATAACATGACATGTACCTAACTGTCAAATTAGCATCGTCCAAAGAAGAAAAAACCTGATGGAGACTTCTAATACCAGGAACGGGTTTAAAAGATATTGTGTCACGATCTATATTCTCGACATATCTAAATATTCGGCGCTTACAATACAGTGACTTAGTGTCCTTCAAATGTTTCCCGCAATATTTAAAAAAATCTGCCGCAGATTGTATTATTTCGTTCCCGCGAAAAACAGCCATGTCTACTTGATTCTTTAAAAAGCCCCCGTCTGCGTCCTGAGGTCCCTTTGCGTGAGAATTTTCGAAATAATTTCGAATGAAAAGTTCATAACCGTGTTTGGAACAAATGTCGGTTAACATTCCAAAACAATTTCGTGACTTATACTGAACCGGACAACCGTCAGTAAACTCATGAATAACTTTTACATCATATCGAATCGAATCTAAATACTCCTTGACAAGGGTTTGAACTTTTTGGGTAAAAATTGGTCATTTTTCTCATCCGGGCTTATTACAAAGAAATGCTCAGTGATAATACATGGAATATCCGGCAAACTTTCTACTCCGTCTACCTCCAGAATTGCATGTCGATAAATTACGGACACATGGATTGATACCTCGGTGCGCTGAAAATAAGTTTGTTGAAGTTCAAACTTTTCTTTGCAACCTTAGTTTTCGGAATATTCATGAATTATAATACAGTGATTAGGTAATAATTAAGTTTTCTTTCAAACATTTAAGTTGTGCTTTAAAAAAAAATTGCCACTGTGCACGGAACTGATGTCCAGCGAATTTGTCTAAAAGTTCTCTAAAGTAATTAAACATATCACCCGGTTTAGTGCATTTTCTGACAAGTGTAATTTTTTTCTTAGAATTCACAGTGATATATTCGTACCGTTCCCAAGATACATTGGGAGCATCATCCGAAACATTCAACTCTTCGTCCGTAAATTTTAATAACAAAAGTCCACATTTACTACATTCACGATCTAAACACGCCTTCGAGTAAGAATTATTAACTTGATCCTTATCACATAGAGTAGCAACGGCGATATCAGTCAGGTGTTCATACACAGGGTACAAGTTTTGCTCGAAATCTAAAATGTTCGGAATCGTGTATTTTTTTCTAAACTCCATTGTTTTTGAAAACAAAGATCTGGCTTCTACGTGGTAGCGACAACAGCACGTAAAACGATCCTTTGGTCTTGCTGACCGGACAAAATACGGATTTAATCTCTCAAATGTTCTTTGGTTCATTTTTATGTTTGGATTATTTATACAAAAGTCATTAAACACTTCAGCAGTTTTGAACATGTGACATTTTATTCACCGGACAAGTTTCTCGAAGCATCAAATACGGCCCTGTAATATGCCATTTTTTTTAAATTCAACGATGGACTTCCATTTCTCTCCGAAAGATGGCTAGATATATTTCTGTTATCGATATGATGTTTTTTCCGTTTTATTGCAATTCTTCTATGGCCAAATAAGTGTCTAAAATCGGGTACGGTTACGGAAAACGACGTTTTTGGTGGATTCTCCCGCAAAACTTGGCAATTTTTACGTTGGCCGCCACTCACGATCCACAATTTTTTTAAATTATATTATTATGCATTCATTTGTCAAATTAAAAACATAAAGACATTTTAGATCGTGGGTGGCGGCCAAAGCGAAAATCGACTTCAAAGGAATTGCCGATGTATCCGGAAAGTGCAATAAATAATTTAATCGCATACAAAGTTTTTTTTATATAAAATGTATTGCACGCAGAGGTTAATAAAACTAAACATAAATTGAAAAAAAAACAATTCTTGACGCTAGTACAAAAAAGTCAGAAAAAATCAAGTTGCAGACGACCAGCGATATCCAGTCAGAATGATACACAACAGTAACGAGTAAGCCGATGTGAATAAGATGTATAATATTGCAAGGAACAAAGAAGGAAAAGAAATCTGAAGTAAGTAAATATGTTGGAAATATAATCATGAAAATAAGAATAACGACAGTTTATAAAAGAGGTGTCTTGATATGATAGGTCGCCGCTAAGTAATACGGCTTCACTCACAAAGATCGGTGTATCCTCCAATGAATACGGCGTTGAACGGGAATGAAACTTCGTTGGATTTGAGTTACTTTCCCATTCCAAATAGAACAAATATGAATATAGTTTCAAAGTGACACTTTAAATCAATTCTAGATTTTGATTAAAATTGAATCTCTCCGGTCTCCGACGTCAGGAGAAAAGGAAAACAGACAAAAGTTCTACCACATTTATAGGCCTGTAGGCTACATGTAGCTGATGAGTCCTGTTGTAAATGACCTTGCAGTAAACTTTGATGTGTAATACTATTAGAATATTACATTTCATTTCATCATAAATTATCATAAATAAATAAACTTGTCATCGTACGGTCTACCGTTATGACGTTGCGCATGATGTTCCTACAACACGACGTTACACCAAAAATGCGACGTCAAAGCGGGTTTTCTGAAATTTTGACGTCGATTAATTAAATTTGTAAGTTTCATTCGGTTTTTTCTATGTTGTTGGTT